TTCTTTCTTAAATTATTCTTTGCTCCATCCACATCCTACAATCATCGTTTTTACTTTTTTCATATATATTTATGTTTCTTTCTCTCCGTCTGTCTGTCAGTTAGCAGTGTCGTGTCCGATCTGTATCTTTTAAATTGAAACTTTTTGTAAGAAAGGTTAACCATAATAAAATGATGAGCAGAGCACATGTTTGGGTTTCCTCAGATCAAGGTCAAAGTCACATTTTGTGATATTGTATTAATTTCATGCACACTCCGTATCGTTTAAAACGATTGTAGTAAATTGAAAATATATGGCAGAATATTCATTTTACTGAGATGATGTTCGGAGCAGGTGAGTTTGGACTTCGTCGGGCTCAGGTGGAGGTTACACACACTCATTCAAAATCCTTAAATAACTTTAAATATTATAAAGGGAGATCAAAATGTATGAATTTATTAATATGTTTCCTCGATATATGTAAGTATGTAAGTAGTATGTTACCTCCCTTTATTATTAACAAATGTGTTACTTTTCATATACAAAATTTATTAAATGACTGAATATCAAGCTGGCGTCGAATGCAGAATCGGCTCTGAGATTTATTTTAAAAATCAAATATCGTACTAGCATTGAACCGATAGTCAGCTCTGCGATCGATATCCATTTTTGGAAGGGCAAAATTCAAGCTAACATCGAATTTAATGCTGGCTCTGAGATCAATTTTCAATATCTTTTAAACCTGAATATCCCGCCAGATGTGAATTCAGAGCCAGGCTCTGGGGTGATGTTCAAATTAGATTGTACGAGCAAATCATTTTTCAAAGGCAAAATTTAAAAATGTAAATTCAGAACTAGTGCCAAATTAAAATTATATGTTATAAAACGGCTCAAAGATTTTGCTTAAAAATGAAAGCCAGACATGAATCATAAATTAAACGTATAACAACATATGATTCACTCCGTGGTATCTCTTTTGGAATCAGTTCTGGGAGTCGCTCGCAAAAAAATGAACTTCTTTTTCCAAGACGGGAAGTCTTTGTGTGTAATGCATTAGAAATTTGTTACAACTGCCTAGGTAAGATTACAGACATTATATTATTATTATTATTGTTATTTTATTAATATTATATTGATAGTTTTTCATTTAAAGTGGAATTTTAGATTTTTGCAAGACTTTCAAATTTTAAAGCTTCTAGACAGTAGTGGAGCTTTAAATAACAACGTTTCCCGCTGCCTAACACAATTCATGTACCTATATTCGGACAATTAAAAATACCCGTACATTATGGCCAGATAGTTATCCAATTTAAAGGGAAGTGATCAAGAATGTATTATATTTTTAATATTACCACAATTAAGTGATTATAAACAATACTATACCGCGATTCTTTAAAAGATATGTCTTTAGTACATGTACATATAAAACATGTTCTAATAAGGAAACCTGCCAGGAGCTCGGGTTTCTGTAATTTGTATGTATATCTTAACATAACTTCATAGACGAAAATACAGGCAGAGTGTCCGTGACCAGAGATGTAGTTATCTATGTCATTGCCCTGATATAATACATCAATAATGATGGTCACAATAATAATAATTATAAAAAAAAACTTCAAAAGTGAAGCATTTAAATAGTCCGCTCTAGCTGTCGTTACACCGCGTGCCTCATATTTTAACCGATGTCTCTTGACAGCTGCGACGGATACCAGACGTTAAGATTTGAAGAAATTTCTACTATAAAATGATATTAATCAGCATTTTTAACTTTTTAATTAGTCAGATGTCACTATGCCATAAAAAGGAACCATATATTATGACCCCCTTTAGTGCAATATTTGCCTGTTATGCAATAATCTAGCGTGAAACGTAGGGGTCTGAGAGAGAAAAGCCGATTGATGACGCCTCGTCGTAGGATTAATGTTAATTCGGCATATCTTTTTTAGTAAGCAAACAATTAGCATGCGGTTTAAAACACATTAAAAGGAAATTCATTTACATTGGAAACCGTGAAAGGGTTCTCGTTTGCTCAATCAACGACTTATCTTTAATTATGTACCATGTTTGGTAAAAAAGTCGCATAAAATGTTTGACGTCACGTAATATTTTTTTAGAAAAGATACAAACGGTCTAAGACACGATTCCCTATATATTATAATGATGTTTATTATAGTTTGATGACAAAAACAATGAAAAATGACTGTGATATGACAATTTCAGAGTATACCATTTTTGCTAAAAATCAATTGTTTACAAAGGCATTTAAAGTTTTTTTTTATCAAGATCAAAGACATTTAATGTATAAAATTTAAATAAATGTCCATTATAATTACAGAAGTTGGATTTAATGACATTTATGGTAGTACCACGGAAAGTGTTCTCTCCTTAAAAGAAGTTGAATAACAATCACAATCTCCGAGCCAGCTCTGTTTTAACGACGAGACAATCGTTCCTTTAAAACAGAACAAATAAAGGTCTCAGAGCCAGCTTTGTGTGTGCAGCTAGTGCAAAATTCATCCTTTTCAAAGAGAACTGTTCATGGTCTTAGAGATATCTCTGTATTCGACGATAGCCTGATACTAGCCCCCTTTTTAAACAGGCAAATAACGAGCTGAGTGTCAGCACTGGCTTCACCGCTTGCACAATATTCACTTCTTTAAAAGAGAATAAATAACGATCTCAGGGATAGCCTTGGGTTTATTGCTAGAACGATTTTCACCTTTCTAAGAAAAAACGAAAAACGATCTTGTTCACAACTGGAACGATATTCGCTCTGTTAAAAGTGAACGAATAACGATCTCTGATCCAGCTCTATATTCGGTTCATTTAATGGAAACAATTATCGACCTCTCGGTGGTTAAGGTTCGTTTCGCCATTAGTACGACATTCGCTCCTTAAAAAAGATATTGTATAACGATCTCAGTGCCTGCTCTGGATTCAACGCTAGTGCGGTGTTCGCACGTTCAGAAGAGACAAAATATTGATATCAGATCCAGCTCAAGTGAAATTATCACTTCATTTTAAGTGAACGAAGAACAATGTCCGAGCCAGCTCTGATATTTGTTCCTTTAAAAGAGAGCGACGAACAATCTCAGTCAGCTCTGAGTTCGCCGCTAACACGACTTTTGCTTAGTTATGCAGGCTACATAACCTCTGATCCCCTTTCAAAAGTCCTTTTTATTTAGTTCCGCCTATTGATTTTTCGTTTAGGGGACACGCATTATTTAATTTGGAGACCATATACCGCTTTTCATGTAACGGCGCTAACGTGTCACAAAAGGTTCAATGATAACAGCTGTATCAACATATTAACGGATGGATGTTTCTAAGTTCAAAATTTCACCATTTTTCCTGTTTAAATGTTGAAAGCTGCTTAAGCTACCGGGTGTTGACGGTAACTTGCACTTTCCAGTACCGTCTATAAACAGGCTCAATCAAACATTTTCAGTTGTGTCGACTGGGCGTTCTTAAGGGACTCTTTTAGCACGATATTTGCGCTTTGAAAACTGAATTTTGTCTCAGAGATTGCTCTGAGTGTTATTTTAAATCGACATTCGCCCTTTTTGAAAAATGCCAATACCGACATCAGAGCTAGTTTGAAATGCAATGAAAGCTGGATATTGGTTACTTTTCAATGAAAAGCGATCTCAGAGCCAGGTCGAAGTTTAAGTAAAAATTGAATTTCGATGTAAATAATTGACCGTCTAAAACCCACTGAATAATTTTTATGATTAATAAAATGTCAGCTATAATTGATTGTTATTTTGCCAATTTTTAAATACACATGTACTTTATTTTATCATAGAATAAACTTTGGTACGAGAGAGTTAAACAGGCTCAGTGACACTTTGGAGATTCAAACAAGATTTCGTCGCTATGGTTTGTTTTCTGGCTATTCCGATGTTTGCGGAACAATCTTTATTCTATTGGACCTGATCCATTTATGTATTTTAGCGGCTGCTCTTGTCTTCTAATAAGGGCCCCAACACTAGTGCATAATTTTGAATAATGCCTTTTGTTAGAGCACATTTTATTAGTATTATAATTTATATGTGCATCATATTCTATTTAAAACATATAAGGATTTGTATAATAATAATAAAATTTTATCAGTGTCTTTTAACATACGCATGACATTCCTTTTAGCAACGTTTTACCAAATCGATGATATGTTGCCCGAACGTTTTTGTTTTGTTCATGAACAGGCTTAATCAAATCAGGCCTGCAACATTTTCAATTTTTGGTTTTGGGCGTTCTTTAGGGATTCCGTTTTTCTCTATTTATTTTTTAAGCTCATATGACACTTTTCGACCAGCGGTTGGTTTTGTTTTCCCTAAATAAAAGTTAAGAAAATATGAACTATGAATAAGCATAAACCAAGCAACCAAAGTTTGATTTAAAATAATACCATTGCGTGCAGGAAAAACTGTCATTAAGCAACATAAAATTTAATTTCCGTAATAAGCATGCCCTGTTTTCATTATAAAATAAATGAGTATATGAAACAATTAACGTCTTAATGATAAATTCGTATTACAAAATTCTATATATAGATATGTGATTATTAATCAGAAAAAGGAAATGATGAGACTGTTCACTTTTTCAAACCTTAAAAAAGTCTTAGAAAGTAAATTTGTACATTGTCAAAAGTAAATGAGTTGTTCTCATCACACAGAGTTTCGTATAATATAAGTAGGTTTAAGAACGAAATTTTTGTGACTGGATTTGATTTGAAACAAAAATGTGAAATTTTAAAAGAAATAGCATGTAAACGTTCTTCACTAGATGGTACTTTTTGTGTGAATATAGGACATGTGATAATGACACAAAAATCTGGTTGGCTTCTAAAATGATATTTTGTATCAACTTATTTAAGATCCTTTTTCGATGTTTCGATGTTTGTTTGTTTTGTTGTTGCTTTTTATGAATGACTATAATATTTGAAGGCAGACTGCAACTATTAATCTTTGACCATATTGTTAGCACTATAATAGCACTGCATTGATAAGACAAGATAAGAAAAAAGTACATATTTTTATTTACGTAACATTTGTGACAATACAAATACATTTGAATATAAAGACTAAGTGTAATCTGGTTACATGTTAATTATATACATCACAAACACACGAGATTAATAGGCCTATTAGTTATACTTATAGGTTTTTAGTTATCAAACCTCCAATTTTCATATAATTTTGCTGTTTATAATACTTCCAAGGGATCACTTTTTACCAGATACTACTTATAGTAAATCAACAAGCTTTTATTTGGAAATTTCATGGCCTGGGCCGACACTGAGGGTCTTCCTCAGCATAATGTGTTTGAGGCCGTAAAGCCGAAGAGAAAAACCGATTTGAACAATGATAATAATTATCCATTTTTATACTGCGGTAATCTACATAAATATATCAGTTACCTTTTTTGTTAATTTGTTGATCCTTAAAGCGCAATATATATAGGTTTCTTCTTCATTAATAGAAAATTTAAGTAAATTGATTGCATGATTAGGTATCAGAGATATATTTAAATACAATCAAACCGTTTACATTTCGCAATATATTAGTTGTAATGAAAACAATATAGAAACTGAAGCTGCTATTTATTTTGGCCTACGTTGACATGTTTGACAGTATTTGAAGCATCTACAACATTTATGTTTCGTATTCAAGGTAATGTTGTTGCGCTTGAAATACATTGAATATATAAGTCTAGATTATGCTCAAATATTAAAGTCAATAGTATAATACGAAATGGTTCTGTGATCACTGTACGTATTGGCAGACCCTACAACACAGTATAGGCGCCGCTACAAGTAAAAGCACATTATGCCACAGAAACGCATATTTTTCTCTTTTTTTTAGGAAGGGCAAATATGGGTTTTAAAATACTGTCATAATTGATAAAGAACATTTGAAATGCTTATTACTTGAAGAACAAAACAATGCATATGATTGATTTTGTGATAAAACTAACAAAATATAAACAATTCCAAACACAAAGTAACTAGGATAATTGCTTGAACGCAAAAGAAGCTAAGGCTGTTTCAGGTAAATGCATATGGCCAATAAGTAATTTCTTGGAAATAAGTAGAATGATAAACATATCCTGGCTCTTCCTAAAGCAATTATGTTAAGACGACCCTAATGTTAAAAAAAAGCTTTTATTGCTTCCGTCAGTCGGTATCGGCTAGCCCTAAAATTCTGTACTGGGACTATAGTTAAATAAATATAGACTTTTAAGGTACAGAGTTAAGTTCGTTTGAAGAAAATAGTAGGGCGATAATGGGCAAGGATTTTATAATCTTTCTGAAATAGTTTGAGTCATATCATTTGGAACACAGATTCCCATTTCTTTGTCAACGCTTTCCACATTTCTCTTACATTTTCGCCATATTTGTAAGCATTCTTCTACTGGCGGCAACACAACAACTATCACTGTACAAATAAAACAGTAAATCTGAAACGTTTTTAACCATGATGAGAACTGGTCAAAATTCAGAACCTCGAAACTTAATGCAATCGCTGGAATAATAATCACAAAAATCACCAAACTGATTACACCACCAACTGCAGCATATAATTTCGCTTTTTTGAACACAATGTCCATAGTTCTGGCTGTAATATAAGTTCCTGCATTCACCGCTTTTAACTCTTTCTCGTATAATTGACGGAATGGATTCAATGGATTATCTATGTTGATAGTTTTGGCCCATTCCCTGTCGGCATCGGCGTCACAGCGTATGTTATGTGTACAGAGAGATACACCGACACAAACAAAACAACTTACAACGAAACCGCTAACCATAGCCGTTAAAAGACTGTAAGATTCTGCCGTGTTAACGTAAAAATTACTGAGTCCACCTTCATATGTTGATCCCATCACCAACATACCGGCAATAGAACATATTGTACCAATTATACCGCCTGAAATATGTCAAGTTGTACCAATTATATCACGCTGTACCAATACAATCATGTTGTATCATAGCTTGTGGATCTTTATATTGAAAAGGTGTCAAAGTTAAATTGTATACATATATATGCACAGTGGAGTGCAGGTATTAGTTACCCGCACTCCAGAGCATGCCACTTGATTGGCTCATTTTTTTTCTAGGGTTTCATATTGTGACAACATGGAACGTGTTTTTATTCTTGACTATGATACAAAAGAGAAAGAACATCAAAACACTCGGCAATCTGATCTATACTCGGGGGCTACGATCCATCGTACAAATCAGATAGCCTCGTGGTGTTTCGATGCTCTTTCAATTACTTGTAGCAATGTAAGAATCTACCATCTGAATCATAACATATTGTTCTGATTAAACTACCTGAAATAAAACATCGTATACATAAATGTGCTACATGTAATTATTTTACACGATATCGTATATCAATTATATGTATTTGTAAAGGTAACAAATCTTTAAGTAAATATGGCTATTATTAAATGGAATTGGTCATGGGTTTGGTCATGTTTGGATTTACCAGGGAGTAGGAAATATTCACTTGTTCTGTCGTGAATTATCTCAAAGATTGCACGATATTGATGTTCAAATTGACTTTATAAGAGAATCGTACCTAGATCTAATTGAAAATTCATATTTCATGTCAATCATTGGTTAAATTAAGAGACGGTTTACTGCCCTTTGGTTAAAACACTGGATTCTGCAATAATATACCAATTGATCAAAGGATATGTCCTCTCTGCTATACGGACTTAGATGATGAATATCACATTCTCTTGATTTGTACTCACTTTCATTCTATACGTAAAACATTCATATATTGGTTAACAATCCTTCACGTGAAATATTTATATCTGTTCTAAGAAACGCAGATGCGACATTATATAAGACTAAATATCTTAAAATTTCTTTGATATGATGTCTACCAATGCTCATATTACAATATACTTTGCATATTTTTGATTACCTCATTGTATTTTACATTGCTATGTCATGTTTGTTGTATTATGTTGTATTTTAGGCCTGAGGCCTATGTTGCAACAATAAACTTTAATTTTTAGTATATATGGCTTCATGACGTTCAAAGAGACCGCAGAGTTAACTTGAATAATATTTGTTTGTATCCGAACCATGTAAAAAACAACTAAGTAATCATAAAGTGATAAGATTAGTTGTAATATTTATATATCATCTTAATCATTTATATATTTATCCACATGCTGGATTTAGACGAGACATATGATTAGATGTTACTGATTGTTTATGTTGTAAAATACGAGTATTACAGATGTAAGATCTCGACAGTTTAATCAATTTATTTGATATCATGTGTCAAAATAATCTAAAAATTTCCTTCCTATCAAAAACAACACAACAACATTTTAGATAAACCTAAAGGAAAAACGCTTTTATGAAAAGAAAAGATGACTAACCTGCTATAACACCTTGTGCTGTTGCCTTGGACCAAGTAATGGTCAAGAACAGTGGCCATAGGAAGGGGCTCGTTAGAACTTGAGAGCCAAGTGTTGCCCAGTTTACGTTCATACCGGTTTCAGATACAAGCAAACCATATGGTACGATACAAATGACAACCCATATCATGCACCAGCTCTGAAATAACAACCGTAATCATATACCAGCTCTAAAATAACAACCTAAATCATATACCAGCTCTAAAATAACAACCTAAATCATATACCAGCTCTGAAATAACAACCGTAATCATATACCAGCTCTGAAATAACAACCTAAATCATACACCAGTCCTAAAATAACAACCCATATCATACACCATATCATAAACAACCTTTATCATATTCCAGCTCTAACATAACAATCCATATCATACACTAGCTCAGAAATTACAACCATATCATACTACAGTCCTGAAATAACAACCCATACCATACATAACCTCTGAAATAAAAACCTGTATCATACACAAGCTCTGAAATAACAACTCATGTTATAGCCTTTTTATGCTCACCGAAGGTAGAGCATATAATCGCCGCATTGTCTGTCTGCACGGCCGATTAGGAATAAGGGGACATCTTACTGTCAGAACAATAGAGTTCATTCCGTAAATGTAGAGTAAGGCGCCAATGGAACCCTATTAAACTAAAGAAAATAACAAAAGTAATTGCCCCTTTTTACATTTCGGCCGGACGTCCGCCTGTCCGTCTTTCCATCTCACCGTCTGTTTGTCCGTTTTGCTTGTGCGGAGCATAACTTGAAAACCCTTGGAGATAATTTGTTTAAGCTTAACACAGTGGTAGAGGGCATTGAGGCGGAGTGTAGTGTCAAAGAACCATAACTCCGTTTTGTCCCGTTTTTAAATTATCCCCTCTTTTCAAAAAATCTTGCCCGGATAACTATAAAACTGCAAGAGATATCAACATGATACTTTGTAAGTAGATAGATCTCAATGTGTAGATGTGCAATGCACAATAACCGTAACACTGTTTTGCCTTATTTTGAAGTGTCCTTTGTTCATTTTACACTTTGAACGTTGTCCAGGACATAACTCTGTAGGTAGATAGAATTCATTGTGATCATTAATTAAGATAACAGTAATCTACCAAGTTCGCCAAGTACCGCTAAGCTTGGAGTTTTTTTGTTTTAAACCTGAAACATTCTAACAAGGTCTTAATATATATAATTTGTCCTTTTTTCGTAGTTATGAACCCCAACCCCAATCTTTGAACCATATAGAAGTATTGGCACCACCATGGTATCAAACAATGATAATTCAATTTCAACTTCAAATTTCACTTTGTCAAATAAAAACATAAGATTGTGGTATACCCTTAATGCTTGATCCTGTAGTGTCTTAACTGCATGTGTCATATTACCTATTTACTTAAACTTAATGCCTAAATAAGTAAAGCTATCTACTTGCTCATTTTTTCTCACAGTTTATATAAAAAAATCTATATTTACAGCGTTAGACCGTTTTATAAAAACACATATTTTGATTTTACTGACATTAGATTTTAAACACTCTTTCACAATAATGAAATATAGTATCAATTTGTTGCTGTAGACCTACAGAAATCGTAGCAAACAATTAAAGCTAGCTGATTTATATCTTTTTGACTATGATGCCTAAAAGGACATTTAAAACTTACTTAAAAAAGTTATCTTGAACAGTTACATAAACAATTAAATACATTTTAATGAATGACGTTTCTGTTAACAAATTGTTGTGTCACGCTTTTCTTCTTCTTTTTGTGCTTTACATATTTTATTCCATAGGCTGTTAGATAAAATGTATTCAAATTTTGATTATTATAATCAACGTAAAATATACCTCGGTTGAATGACACTCTAAACACTAGCTGTAAAAAACAACCAGTAACGTGCCCATTTGTTCGACACGTGGCACATAATCGAGAAAGTGTACAGTTACATATATGTAAGTAATATATAATACATGTAGTATATGAAACGAGTTAGTTACGAGCTGGGGCGACATCAAGGGATGTTTCTGTTTAAAAAAAGTCGCGGCCCAGACGATTTCTTTGCAGAAACATCCCGAGATGTTATATTATAACTGTTTCATCGAAATTTTATAATGATTTGTAACAGAAATCACCAAAAACTTACTATTTTTAGTGCTTTTCCCTCTAGTGTGCCCTTTCCCTTTTGTTTTGAATGGGGAAAATGAACAAATACCAGCAGCATTTGCTAGCGAGAATGTATTATAACCCGCCACATTCCAACCTCTGTAATAACCACACTGATATATAACAGGTGCAACCCCCACCCCCCAAAAAACAAAAAAAAAACAACAACAACAAGAAAAATAAACACTGCTTATATATAAACTGAGGTTCTTTTCTTATATGAATCATTAAAAAAAGAAATAGCACTGTTGTTTCGTAGTTTGGTGACCTTAACATTGAAAATGTTTCAAGAGTTAAATTCATACCCATACATGAAACAGTGCATTAATTTTAGTGCCCATTTCAGTTACTGCACTGTCTGTCGGGGATAAAAATAGAGCATGCTCGTTGATTAGCTTATTTTGTCGGGTCTACTAATTTTAACGACAGGGAAAGGGATAACGATAAACATTTAACAAAAAAAATATCTATGAAATATGAATCAGTAGATGAAGTGCTTAAAAGTGGGTTTTAGTAGCAGTGTGTGTAGTAATAATGTTCAGCCTATATCTCTCTTCGTAGACAAAGCTTACAATGATTTAATAATTTCACAAAATGAGTTTCTAACATATTTGATTTTATGAAACCCAATACCTTATATCCATAATATATAATGGGTGCTATTTGCTTATAATTTAAGAAACGAATTTAAAGCACGATAAAAGTGAAACATTTGAACACCTTTTACATATATTGACTTGAGAGTAACGTTGCCTTAAATCCTTATCTGAAACATTGATAAGCGGCTGTAGGAACGCCCGATCAGTATGCTTTTATTTACTATTTCGATTTATGTTTTTTTACAAGAGACTTAGATCTTTTTGATTCATGGATCTTCTCTTTAAAATTAATTCTGAATTTATTAACTTGGGTGTTAAATTTTTGTAACGATATCTCTTAGTTCTTAAATCATTTTGAATAAATAAATATGTCGATGCCCTTATACAATGTGATACATATAACAAAGCCATTACACTCTTCTATATGTCGCCGTTCCGGGACGGCGATATATACAATTAAAAAGATTTGAACAGTTCTACCTGTACACCGCCTGTCTTTAGCCAATCAAAGGGAATAATTTAATATCACATGATAACAAAATGGACGTAAAAAACCGCCCAAACGCCATTTTTGCCGGGTAAACTATTCGTGCAACTGAAAAATACCATTATCAATGTACGAATTCAGAACCAGTCTTTAAGTTCTTGCAGGAAAAAACACAGCAAAATCCATATTTTTGCTTCATGTCATTATTCATTAAATAATGAAATCTAAAGAGTGGGGTTTTTTGTATTCCTTCCAAAAACTTGCACTTGAAGAAAAAAACCCTTTCTTCCCGCGAGTTTAGATTTGAAAGTTTTATTGCATCATATCTTCAGTATAGCAGGTCAGTAAAGTCCGTTTCAAAAAGAAAAGAAAAGCAGTCGAAGTAGGTAAGCATGAAGGAAAAAATTCTCAGACATCAATATTAATAGCTTGACTAAAAAGAAATGGTAGAGTAAATCAAGTATTTTGTTGGCTTTATGTGTTGACCACATACAATAAAAGTATAAGGCACGACATATGCTCATGGTTGAACGGCGATTCCATGCATCTTTGAAAATGCTAATACTTGTATGGATATAATGTTTTTGTTTTTTTATTGATGTAGGCACAAACAATGGCACGTGTATCTTTTAGGATAAAGAACTTGTTGGTATGATAACTAACCTTATATCGAATAAGTCCATCTTCATACTGCCTGTATTTACCATGAGTGGAGCAAGTATAAACAACATTGTCAATACCGTCTCTCGCTCGGTTTTCAATATCCAATTCACATGCTTTACAACCAATAGAAGATTGACACTGGCACAGATCGTTTCCTTCAGCACACATTTCCTTCAACTTTTCCTTTCCGCACAATATACAACTTGTTGGCGTAATATTTTTTCTTAGAAATATAAAACTCATCAATTTAAAACTATCCGTTATGAACTTGCATATATAGAAAAGATCTAATCAACGTTACCTGCAAAAACTGTGTAAAAACCAAATCATGTTGGAATCCTGATTTGAGTGACTTTGGCAAAGTTCTTTTAAATTTTAATAACAAATTATGCTCTTTCTAATACTAGATGCTTTTTGTGATAATGTTTAAACTCCATATGAGATGTGATGTTTAAAGGACCAGACAAGAACAATAAATTTATTCATGTTACTCAAAAAAATAGTAATTATTCATAGCTATAATCAAGTACTCTAAAGAACTAATAAGATATATGAAATGAATTTGTGGTAGAACTATAATATGTACAGAAACATCTCTAGTAGTCAAAGCATTATCACGTGTACAGAAATTAATCTAGAAGTGGTAATGAATATCTGATATCCGTACAATGTATGTTAAAATAACTTTAGTAGTGATGCACCCTAGAAGTGAAAAAACTCATAGAGACAAAAGGGTTACATTACCTGAACGGTTTAATGTATGTCTTGTAAATATCATATACAATAATAGATGACACAGCCATAACTTCTCCGGAACCTGTCGACATTAGTGACATCATCAACATGGTTAACAACAAGTAAGCACCTGTTTGTCCCAGCAGATCATTCATCACATATGGAGTTATGTAACCTAGTGAAATCCATGAAAAATGCAGCAGAATTTTATTGTACCTATCATATAATTTGGAAGTATACTAAAGCTTCTATAAATTTTATTTAGTGTGATCATTGTATGATATCTCAAACTTTGATACATGTACAGATCATTAAAAGATTGCATTAAAATTATACAAGTACAAACTACATGTATGTTATATACATACCATTGTCAATTTCCTCCAGTGTCAAGATATGCGTGCCATTTTCAGCACTGAGGGAAAAATATGTCATTGTTGCTGTAAAGGAGAGGGCTGTCGGTATAACAAACCACATGTATGCTGCTAGGAAAAATCCCAAAACACCTTGAGATGGTTTAGCCGCAATCCTGCTTTGCCAGTTTGCCTGGTCACAAAAGCTTATTGATGTTGCCATAAACATAAGGACAACTCCATATATAATTCCTGGTGCCGACCGGAAAGTCAAATAAGAGTTGTTAAAGTTGTCATCAGGAGCTTTCATACATGATGCTGCATTGTACAGGGCTTCTATTGATGTAATATCCTTAATATCTTCTGACGGAAAATAGGTCGTATATAAAATGAAAACACTTACAGTTATAAATGTCAGTGCAGTGTTAAAATATGAGATATAGAACGTCGTACCAAGGCCTCCAATCATACAGTACGAACCAAACATAACCGCTAAAATAAGCACAATAAACTCATTGTTTGTATCTTTACCGAGCACCTGTAACGTAGATTTCCCCGCCAATAACATGCTGGTTGTCACGATTAGATTACACACGAGACCCAAAACACAGAACAAAATATGTGCTGATTTACCAAACCTGGCATAAGCTATCTGAAACAAAAAAATCAAAACGTGCATTTACAAGTAACGTTAACATATTCTTTTTGTTTTCAATCAAATATCGGCAATGATAGTCCCTGACAAAAAAAATGAAAACAAAAGGCAGAAGCAAATCACACAGTTGCCATGAATATGTTATTTCAATCCATGGCACATTATTCCCTATTGATCATTTATACTGCAAACTGGTGAATTATTGTTTTAAGTTTAACAAATACAAGTTAACAAAACGTTTGAAACATGATAGAGGTTGTGATTGTATGTAAGACTATTATCATATATCACTTAATTATATGTAAATGGCGTTCTGTTTGGAGAACATAAGAGTGAATATGGCAGCAGATTTTTTAAAGATGAGTATTTATTTGACTCTTGTAGAATGATGCACTTATAATTCATTAATGTTATCAATACAATTAGTCTTTATATCTCCCATGATTCCCTGTAACATGTATTCCCGCCTAAATATACGCAAGTAAGTAAATTTAACAGTCAATATCTGGAAAAAAGTGATCCCTTGGAAACATTGAAACAGCATAATTACATAAAAATTGCAGACTTGGTTTGATTGAGTCTGTATATGAGGGATAATGAAAAAGTGCAACATCCCATATGTCCCCTAGCACCGGCTTAAGCAGTACTCAATTTTCAGCACTTAAAAGTGCTGGGGTCAATGATCCTGAAGGACCAGAAAAAATAACATCACTGAAATGAAGTACAGGGCAACTTTTTACTACTGTCATACAGCATTTGGTATCTGCTGTTGTGATGTATAAATATCTGGAACACTTTGTGTTAGTTGTTTACAACATGACCACTGTCCATACAAATAACCAAACAATACAGGACCGACTGTCAAAACAAAATACATTTTCATATATACTGTATTTGATATGTTTCCGTATTTGTTGAGACGGATGATTAATTACGACTTATTAATTTGTTGTTTTTTAAAAATGGAAGGAATTGTACGGCTATCTAAGAGATGTGACGACAGCAACTTCCCAAAGGCAGTCGAAATTTTGTATGACATGCAAGTCTTCATTGATCCTTTGGCAGAGAAAACAGAAAAGGAAAAAGTGTACTATCTACGTTTGTGGCTTTGTGATAAAGGCCATTACACCCGTCATTCTTGGACTGATATAACGGAGAAAAATACAAAGCTGCTCGATACAATCTTTAAAAAATTTAGAACTTTTCCAAGGCCAACTCTTAATCCAATTGTTATGCCTCCACCAAATAATGGCTGGGGCATATAGTGTTACCCTGTTCCGTCATTCCGTCCTTCCGTCATTCTGTCATTCCGTCTTCATCACTTTCCGTTCATTATCTTAGAAACTGTTAAACACATTCAACTCAAACTTGGCATTTTCAGTTTCCGTTCATTATCTCCCCAACGGTATTACACAATCAACTCAAACTTGATATATGGATATGTAATGAGAAAATACAGGTCAAGTTCGAATTTGGTCATGGTTCGATGATTTTTGGCAGAGTTATGCCCCTTTTACTTTGAAAATAATATGAAATTTTCTGTTTCCGTTCATTATCTCCCCAACGGTATTACACATACAATTCAAACTTGACATATGGATATGTCAAAGGAATGGGCAGGTCAAGTTCGAATTTGTTCATGGTTTGATGATTTTTGGCAGAGTTATAACCCTTTCACTTTTAAAGTTATAAGAAATTTTCAGTTTCCGTTCATTATCTCACCAACGGTATTACACATTCAACTCAAATTTGACATATGGATACGTTAAAAGAATGCGCAGGCCAAGTTTTAATTTGGTCATGGTTCAATGATTTTTGCAGAGTAATGCCCCTTTCACTTTAGAAATAATAGGAAATGTTAAGTTTCTGTTCATTATCTCGCCAACACTGTTACATATTCAACTCAAATTTGACATATGGATATGTCAAAGGAATGCACACGTCAAGTTCGAATTTGGTTATGGTTCGATGATATTTGGCAGAGTTATGCCCCTTTAACTTTGAAAAAAGGACATTTTCAGTTCACATTCATTATCTCCCCAACAGTTGTACATATTCAACTCAAATTAAAGATATGGATATGTCATAAGAATGCATTGGTCACTTTCAAATGTTACGAGCCAGGCGTAACGAGAAAGAAAAGCCAGCAACAAACTTGTAACAATAACAAATTTATTACAGAAAAATTAATAAAGAAAATCAAAATAACAAATTTTGTGTACAAATACCTGAAGTCCAAATAAAAATTACAAATGTCTAGTCTGATCCTGGAATGATCCTTTTTCAATAGCACAGTTAAATCCAAGTTAAATCCAAGAACACTTTAGAATAAATTCCCACAATAAAATCCACAAGAATAATTAATAATCCAAGCTCCAATAAATCACTTAATTTCCAAGTTGAATAATACTCCAAATATATTGATGACTTAAAAGATCACTGATGACTAAAAAGGTAAAGGTAATGAAAAATGTCACTTTATATATATTAACTAAGAAAATTCCAGAAAGGTCTATTATGTTCTAAAGTAATCATAATCTAGCAACTTCAACAATAAAGAACATTCCAGAAGTTTCTATCTAAATATAATGCATGAGTTTTCTACAACAGTTAAGAAAGTTCTAGTACATACATGTAGTTAATGTTCTAAAAATAGAACAATGATAATATTGGAAATACCAACTGGTCAGATATAAACTATATACATGTAATATGTTGCATACATAACACAAATTTGGTCATGGTTTGATGATAGCTAAAAGAGTTATCTCTCTTGAACTTTGAAAAGAAAATCAGAAATTTTAAGTTTTCGATCATTATCTTCCCAATTGTTGTACACATTTAACTCTAATTTGACATATAGATACATCTTAGGAATAAGCAGTTCAAGTTTGAATTTGGTCGTGGTTCAATGATTTCGGACAAATTTATCTTTCTTGAATGTTGGAAAAAATTTGAATTTTCTGTTTCAGCACTCATATTTTGGGGAAATGTATGTAGCCATTATTTTGGCTAAAAATATGCAATATGCAATTTACAAAAGGTTAACACTGAATAGTTTCAGTGCATTGAACTTTGTATAAAAATGGTTGAACACATCTGCGGATGTTTCTAAATTCAAAATTTTACCATTTCATGTTTAAATGTTGAATTCTGCTTAAGCCGGTGCTAGGGGGCGTGGACGGTAACTTGCACTTTCCAGTACCGTCCATGAACAGGCTCAATCAAACCGAGCCTGCAACATTTTCAATTTTGTCGTGTTGGGCTTTCTTTAGGGACTCTGTATTTCTCTATTCTATTGTGTTAACATTGGATAGTTTTAGGGGCTTTGAACTTAAAATGAAAAAAATAATTTGTGCAAACAAATTTGGAACTAAATATTATAACATCTGAAATTATGGTTGTATGCGGGGGCATTCGAGGCGTGACGACACATTTCTAGTTGCTACATACTTTTTTTTCAATGAAATCCAAAAACACGAATCAATAGACTCCAAATGTGGATGAAATACTATGAGAAAGAGTTGTATTTGGGACAAATTCAAACAACATTCAAGAAAGATTGATAAATCAAGAGAAGGACTTAACTTGAAAAGCTGTTCAAATATGTCAAAAGTACGGATATTCCAGGGGACTAATGAAGGAAATTAGCGATGACGTGCATGTGAGTCAAAACACGTTCAACCGCCTCACGTGCAAAAGTTGGCAAAAGTAATCAAAAACAGCACTGGAAAACCTAGGAATTGGGCAGTCATTGATAAAAATGTGATAATTATTGACAGAGAGTGTCGTGCAAAGGAAAAAATGTGACAAATGTAGAAAATTTAACAATTTTAAGAGTGCATACCGTTCTAAAACAGTACATGAAATTCAGGCAAATACGCATTATGACACATCAGAAAATTCTGATGTTGCTTTATATGTAAATACGGTAAATAAGTCTTTATCTCAAAAAGATCAAGCATTTGCATTAAACATTGGTCCCAATTGTACTCAAATCTTATTCAGTATTGATACAGGTAGTCAGGCCAATATCTTGCCGGAATCAAAAATCAAGCACAATGGTATTAAGAACCCCTTAGAACCCTCAATTGCAAAGCTTTCATCATACCCTTGCAATCGCCATAAGGTAAAGGGTACAATCAGGTTATAAGTTCTTAACAAGTTACATGTACTATGCCTTCTACAAATTTGTTATAAAAACTACATCCTCACCCTTGTTATCTCTTCAGGCATCCACTGACTTAGACTTCATCGAAATTGTTGACTCATTAGATAGCCAGGGAAATATCTCCTGAGATTGGCTAAAAGCCCTCTATACCCAATGAATTTAAACCTGTCTTTGATTTCATCGGTTTAATGTTATACGAAGTGAAATTACATTTTAGGCCCGACTCTATACCAGTCGTAAACCCACCTCGGCGAGTCCCTGTCGCATTAAAAGACAAACCAGGGGAGGAACTTGACCGCATGGAAAAGCTCGGAATTATCAATAAGGCCAAAATTCCGAATGAATGAGTTAACAATCTAGTGACTGAAGAGAACCCTAAAATTTAGAAACATAGGGTACGCCTATACTCCAAGACACTCAATGAAGCCTTAAATAGAACTCTTACTCTATGAGTACACTTCAATAAGTCACTTCGCAACTTGCTGGTGCAAAATATTTGTCAGAATTTGACGCCACGAGTGGTTATTGGAGCGTGATATTGGATGAAACTTCAACATATTATAGAACCTTTAACATACCATTTGAAAGATCCCATTTTAAGTGATTATCCTTTGGACTTATATGTTCACAGTCAAACAACAATTAGCAATCATTCACAATTTCATTTGCTAATTGATACCATTTTAAATGGTGGGCGTAATCTAGAGCAAATCATCCCGCCAAATCATAGGTTTCTGTAATCACAGAGATGAATTGTCCGTGGGAAAAGATACAATTTTACTTTACTTAATTTCTATGTTCCTCTGGTCCGCCCGGAAGCAAGTATGGGGCAAGTGTGGGGCAACCGATTTGTTGTTGAATGCGACTCACAGAGATAGACGCAAATAGAGAGACATGATTTCCTAATGGCAATATATGTTTTAATCTAAACATATTACATATTAAAGATATACCTGGGGGAATGTTTTAGCTCCTGGTGCTCGTGTCTTCAAGTAGATAGAGAGAGTGGGAAACAACAAAATGTCAACAACAACTCCAATAGCCATCCACAGACTTCCACCTAGACCAGACTGTAGAAAAACACGATACATGCATATCTTACAATGTGAGATAAAACAATTCATGTTACAGGCAGATATACAGATATGAACCAGGAATGAATTCCTGAGCTTTAATAAACCGCCGTGACCGTGATATTCATGTTGTAAAAAACTTTTAAATTGATCGCTACTAGTCTGAAAAATGCTCTATATCTGTCTGTACGAATCGAATCTAATCATGTTCTTCCGTGATATTTATACATGTTGTATGGCATTTATGTATACTTATTTAAAATTGCCCTTTCAGGATATCTGTAAGAATGACACATATTGATTAAATATGTTAAAATATATTAGGACAACAACATTTGCCGTTTTAAGACATCTTTACCTGATGAAAGTGTCATTTTTAAAAAGTAAAATATTAAATTTCAATTTAAATGTTTGTCAAACATCTGACCACTTTTTGTTGCTAGAAACAGGTATGCCGAACTGAATTAATTTTAATACCTTGCTAATAAGTGTTGAACTTTGAAGAAAGTCTGCCGGCCATAACAATTGTGACGTCACAGTTACTGCTGTCAAACTAAAGCTAACACGACCACCAGCATCAAATACCGTATCAAGATGTTGATCGTCTTTAAACACGTACTTGCGGAGTGACTTGTAACCACGGGCAATAAGAAGAGAAAATCCGCCAAACCCAAGCAAAAGAAGTAGTGCCAAATAACTCTTTGGTATAGATGGGGAGATCCTAGAAAAATATAGAAGCCATTTAGATATTGCAATCGTCGTTCATTATTATACGTATACGTTTTTGTACATTTGTACCAACAAAGTTATTCAAATGTGTTTAATTGAAGAAATATCGTTTGACGATGTAATGTTTAAAGTTTCTATTTTAAATACTATTTGTAAGAATATTTCAAAACGTGTGTTTCTGTATACGTTTTTGTACATTTGTACCAACAAAGTTATTCAAATGTGTTTAATTGAAGAAATATCGTTTGACGATGTAATGTTTAAAGTTTCTATTTTAAATACTATTTGTAAGAATATTTCAAAACGCGTGTTTCTGTGTGTATATGCGTGTATTGCGTGTGTACTTATTTGATTTACTTTTTATGTAATACCTTGATTGACCTTTGTACTCCTTCAATTGAGTTCCACATGTATCCTGGCCTCCAGCTTCAGCTTTCAGTGTACATATGCACAACGCAAGGAAACATATGACAAAAAAACTCATCTGAAATATGATAAAAATTGAAAATAACGCAAAGTAGGAGATAGAAAAGAAATGGAAGAAGTGAAATATTAAAATGTGGGAAATAAAAAAGGATAATGTGAGAACAACAACGTGTCGGATAACGAAAGAAAATATAAAATAACAATACGTCAGAAAAAATTCAAGACATAGTAAAATGTATGAAGGCAAATAAATATGTGCGCAAAAAAATCACCACAGACCACAGGGCAGGTATACGCATCGGTGATGTTTGTTTCTTTTCCAAAAGGGATCTGAGAGGTACATAAATAATGTTAAAAGAAAAAAGGGAAAGTAGACACTTCTGGAGTTTTGAAGTCCACGACCATCAGTTTCAATGCGTTTGACAGTAATTCAAGCATATTTGAATACTTTTTAATGTATTGCAGTATTGGTGGGGGAGGTTATTCCTTTATTACGCCATATCTTACCCGGATGTAATAGTGAATATTGCACTATTCAACTTTACGAAATTAAATGTAATAATACTAATTGACAGGGGAAAATAAAATATATTAGCTCACAAAAGCATCTTGGTATGTTGAATTGATTTGTCATAGAAATTACAACAGTCTATAAAAAATAAAACTGTATGGCCAGTTGTGCAGATAAACTGGACAATACCAAAAATATGAAAAACAAGATCAACAAGGAAGGGCGACATTCAGTGTACGCAAAACCCACACGACCCAGCAATACAGAACCACGGGAATTAAGCCCTGCAGGTCACCGAACAAAAACTGGACAGGACTCAAAGCAAAGCTCGGTGATAATACATAATACAAAATAGGAAATAATAGAAACCGGCAAGGAAATTAAAGAAGATGATAAATCAATAGACCTACAAATAAAGTGGTGTAGGGGAAGGCGGATTGAGGGTCGTGAAATGGGGACTTGAGGGCGGAGAGGAGGGATTAAAAAGAAACTAGGGGCAAATGGAAGATACTTACAGTAGTGGAGGAAAAAAGAAGGGAAACAAAAGTGTCACCATAAAAGTATGAAACAACAAACAATACATAAATCTGATGAACACAGAGGAGCGCCGCCTTATAACGGTAAGCAGCATAAGCTCTGTCGGTGGAGTTTAAACCGGTTTATGGTTCATTAAACCTCACTCTTAGTCCCCAAATATTCCTTTTAAACGAGACAGTGTAAATAAAATAATCCCCGCCAGGTGAAAAAAGTTGCTCTTGTTACAAAAGATGAAAAAGTAAAACACAGAAATAATCATGTAGATACACGTAAAAGTAAAGCAATTTACCATAACAAAAGTATCCAATGTATTAAAGGCGGACAGTCAAAATCTCCCCGACGAAGCAAGGTAGAAAACGGAAATTAAGATAACTGAGTCCGAAAGGGCTTTAAGAAATGTCAATCAAAGAGTTTCCCATTAGTCCCTCAGATGCAATCAAAAGAGGCTGCTGTAAAAGAGTTGAACACTAAGCATGCAGTATGTCTTAATATAGTAGGATCAAAACCTCTTTTAACAAAACGTCTAATAATTTTAGTCAAGACCATGAAGACAGCAGACAAATTACCATGACCCAATATCTCACGAAGTTTGTAAATCAAATCAAATCAAGCTCTAGCGAATCTTATTATCTTAAGATACATATACATATTCCCCGATGTTGCATCGGGTACGTCTCAATCTAAGCCTGGATAATATATAATATATAAAAATTAACAACTTTGCTTTATTTTTTTATATAAATATTTGAAGAAATACTAGTCATTTTTATTTATTAACATTTTTTTTTAGATTTTTTAGATTGTTCAGTAAGTTTTTTCTTAGGTAAATTGTTGTTCAAGAAATTTTGATAAATTTTCTTTTTAAAGTTTTTTAAAGTTTAATTTACTTTGTAGCTTATAACGTATAACCAAAAATTGGATGGACTGTAAGTCTTCTTTCTTCAACCCGTTGCAAAAAGTGTGTATATACTGAATCACTATAAACTACGCTTTAATGCTTAAAAATCTATTTCTATAGCCGAGTGGTTAAATTGTTCCCTTACACCCCTAACACACACAGATCAAAATCAATTGTTTGTGTAATTTTGTTTGACTTGGTGTTTTTCCCATTGCAATTCTTGCAATTCTTTTTCTATAGTCTTTTTCTATAGAAAAAAGAAAAGAATAAGAAATAAAAATGTAAGTGTCGACTGCTCTATATGTGCATATACCTTGTTTGCAAATTTTGCAAGAATTGATTGAATGTTATCGTTCGCGTTGCAAGTAAACAAATTTAAACTTACACGTGTACGCGATATGAAGTTTATACTATCTGATGGATTGGGGCAATTATTAGATTGTATACAGGTGGTGAAAGCAGATAACTAGCACACACAAGTACTCGAGCTCGAATCTTGAACGAGCTGATATTTGTTTTATTTGAAAATAAAAATAGCAGCTTTATATTATTATAAACGATTTGAAGAATAAGAAAGAATTGAGAATCGAACAATTCGACGACGATTTGAAGCAGATTATTTTGAACTCGATCAGGAAAATATAGATCAACAAAAAAGTGATAGAGAAAGTGAAATATCTTGAATACAATCGATGAATTTGTACATTCTAAAACATTAAACGATATCCAAGACTTGAAGATTAATGAGCCACAAAATTTGTTTACAGTCAAAAGATCAAAATAGAACATTGGAAAATAATTTTGCATTTTAGATGATTACATAGAGATACGTCGACAGTATCGGGAAGTGCTATTTAATGCTACAATAAAAACTTGTTGTGTATCTGGAGTGAGGCTCAACATAAAGTCTTTTTCATAGTATTACAAAACAAATCGGCGAACAGCGGTGCACAGTTAGTATATTATTTAACATTCAGCGTCGATGCCGACTGGGTGATTCGTTAAGTTGTTATATTTTTATTTCATGTCCTGAAATACTTTCGCAGAAAATTGGATCAAATAACAATGTTAAAGGAATTAAAATAAATGTGTTAGAACAACGGTATCTCAATTTGCAGGTGATGCTGCATTTATTCCAGATTGCCTAGATGGACATTTGCCTCACACTTTCTTCTACCTCAGGTCTGAAAGTTAATTTTAATAAAACGAAAGTCGCATGGAAAAGAAAAATTTCGTATAAAAAAAGCGTATATATGAGGTAAAGGGTTAAACAAGTTAAACTAGGAAAAGCATAAGCAATTGAACGAGAGCATTTGTGAATAAATAAGGAAAATTAAAGATAACGTTGAGATGTATGGCGAATTGGTATTTCGAGGGTTGTAAAATTGCAAATTGAGAGAAAACCGAAAAAGAATGCTTCTGCAACAATAATAATCAAGAAGTGTAATCACAAGACGTTACACCGCACACAACCTGTGACAGTTCACAACAAATGATGAAACACAGAGGGACTCCGCCTTAGAACGGCAGTATCAAATCGCCTTTTACATCTCAACAATAGGTGGAGCTTAATAAAATGAAAATTCATATTACATAAACTAGTCTGTATGGAATTATGCTGGATGAATGGCTAAAACGTTGCTGATAAATTATTAATTGAGATTTTGACACTATAAGAAATTGGGCAGAATCATGGTTGGATAATTGTCTTCATTTAAGATTTATCATAAATTGCGGCCTAATTTTAAATAGAACCTACAATCCTTACAAAACCATTGCTAAAAAATGAAATTCTTATTCGCTATCTTCTATTCTTCTCTAGTCTATTCGTTTTGAAGGCGACTTTTGTGTTTCTTCGAAATTAAAGTATTCGTACTCAAAGCATTTAAAACTTTATGTTCTGAATATTCAGTATACCTTAGACATTTGCCAAACTATTAGTGTCATATCACACTACACTTAAACAGGTTGACAAAGATTATGCCGGTTTTTATGAAGTAATCAGAATCGTTCTCGAATTCTGCGATACCTCGTCAAAGTTTATCTTACATATTATCTTCTAATTTAAATGTAATAGGACTCGAGTAGTATGTACTGTAATTGACATGTATTTTGTCTTGTATTTGTATGTATGCAAACAGAGAATATGTAAAGAAAATTTGAACCTAGAAACAAGTGTCTGAGGTACACCGAATATTAAAAATCATAATGTAATATATGCGCTTTTGTATTTAAATATAACGAAGAAATACAAAAGTCGCCATTGACACGCTAGAATGATCTTGTAAAACAGACACTTTCATGGAATTTTTTATTGATGATGTTTAAAATATTATGTCTCAGCAGTCGTATTCGCTGATTTATTTCTTTTAATTTGTTGTACAGTGAAAAATAATAGTTTATTTACTCTTCGTAGTGCTGTTTCTGTCCTACAACTCTGTGTTAAAATTGCACAATTCCTGCGTTATTTGCACAGTCCACAAACGATGATGTACTTCTGTGTCAAATACATTAAATGCTAACTGATACGTTTGTTTAGGCTTATAATATGTTTGGTATTTCATTATGTTGATCTGCTTGATTAAATTTTCAATATGAATAATGTGTGACGGACACTTACCTTTATAGTTTATGAGTGAACAGCACTTACCTGTATAATTTATGTGTGAAAGCACTTACCGTTATAGCTTATGATAAAATATTAATTAATGTCTAGTGTAAATATGTATATTTTCGGCCATCAGAATAACATCAGACATTTCTTAACTAAATTAAAATAGATATCTTTCATATTCATGTACTAGAATAAGGGAAAAAAATCCAGAAAAAAGCCTTAAAGGGCGAAAATGAAAATGTTGTTAGCTCGGTTTGATCGGGCCTATTCGTAAATGCAAGCTTTTACCCATGTCCGACGCACCACGATTAGCAGAATTAACGTTTAAACTTTCAATGTTGAAATTATGAGATAAAAATAGCCTCTGAGTTTTTTAACACAGCTTATATCACGGAACCTGAATAGCGGCATTTGGTCCTCCAAGTAAAAGTATGCTTGTACTCTAAACGAAAATACAATGCGCTAAATAAAACGATTTTTTTGAAAGGTATCAAAAGCCTGCATATCACAGACAAGACAACACAAGCTTTTCTAATAAACAATTGAAAAAGGAATTATCCTATTGATACGTATTTGATTGTATTGCAAACTAAATGAATAACACGATTTTAAATGTCTGGCGTTGTTGCAAAACTTTTATTCACATTTTCTTCAAATGGAAAGTCCATGTTTTCTTATATCCGTATACAAATAATTGACTGTGCATTCACCGAAAATAATTATCATGAAACAAGGCTAAATCACGTTGTCTTCACATAAAAGGGAATTGTTTCGCATTTGGACAAAACGCATCGATGTAACATATGCCTTTAATGTTTATGCTTAAATTTGATGTTTTATCGTTGGTCATTTGCCTATTAAAAGTTCATAAATTATATCGTTTAATCGGGATATAAGACCCGCATTGCGACCACCCCGATTTCGAGACCAAACGCTGATAAGAACGTTTTTTTTCAGAGCCGACTTTCTTCTTCTTTTTCAATGGTCACCAACCCCGATATCGAGACCACCCCGTTATTCCGTAACTCGACCAGTTAATTCAGTTCCGTTTGGTAAATAGTGTACATTTGTTAACCCCTAAATACGAACGAATACACTTTAGATGTACTGACCATGTATATTGCTAAAATCCTTTTAACACGTGATGTAAACAACAGTTGTCCCAGCTCAGTTTAACGACATTTTACGATATCCACTTTACGGTAGAACTAGGTGAAGGTAGAGCTGTCATCGATATCGACAATATCGATGTATCGTTGATATTTTTTTGCCGATCAATAATCGATACACATTTTAAAAAATCGATACTTTTGACTAATATATTAAATGTCTAGAAATTATAAAATTCACCCAAAATATATACAGAAGCAGTTATTTATATCTAATGTTATGCCTTTGTTATATAGTGGAATTATTTCATAGCAATTGTGACAAAAAATATTGTTTGGAAAAAATCATGCAGTGGACAAGACACTGTACAGAACATGTTTTTGACTGAAATCATTGAAACAGGTATGAAAATGAATGACAGACAAGTGAGTATAGGATATTATCGATATATCGGTGTATCGTTGATTTTAGTCACTTGATATCGATATATCGTTGATATGCTTTGCACTGAATCAATGACAGCTCTAGGTGAAGGTAAGTGTGTATTAAACCGGTAATAATCGAAAATACCTACAGGCACGAAAACGTTCTGTCTGTTTTTCTCACAGGTGTTCGGCGCGTTGATTGGTCAATACTCTACAACCCTCCTACATCTCCAAAACCATGTAAACTGCAGTTTCTTTCATTTTAAATATGTTTTAATATTTGAGATTGCTTTTAGTTCTGTTACCGTCATTTTCCATAAATAAATAAAAGAAAAGAAAATGAAACATATATATTTAGTAAAGGTATGCAACTCGCCGCCTATTTTTAAGCACTCATCTTAATGTGAACTCCATAACTCCAACATTTTCCCCAAATTTCAAAATCTTGGTACCAAATGGTAGATAATTGAGTACTTAAAGAAAATAAAGCTGTTTTTTACAATCATTTCAAGTTATCTCGAAGTCACCGCAATTGTAAGTCGACTGCGACCTGACCGCTGGGTTTTTTTGTTGTTTTTTTGTTGTTGTTTTTTTTGTGTGAAAATTACCCGACTGAACGACAGTTTATTCGAAATGAATAAATATATTTTTATTGTATTTCGTATATTATTATAATAGAATTATGTTATTATTTGTAATAACTGTTCAATCAAAACATCATATGAAACAATTACGAACCGATTTCCTGATTTGCCAAATTCAGAATCGAAACGGAAGTAACGGGTGTAGCAGAGTGCTCTCCCCTTTATTCTTGTACGGAGTATTTTTATTGATCTGAGGTTTTGACATGATCAATGAAAATACTTCATACGAAAATTAATGGGAGCAATCTGCTGCATCCTTTACTTTCAAGCCTCCGTGGTCGAGGGGTTAGAGTCAATGACTTCTAATCCAGTTACCTCTCTGGCGTGGGTTCGATCCCCGGGAGATGCTTTGGTAGTTTAGCACGGAGGAAGGTAGTCTTGTACTGGTGTAACTCTCTAGGAACGATGGTTAGTAAACTACCTGCCTATATGACTGAAATACTGTTGGGAAAAGGCGTAAAATGAAACAAACAAACAAACAAATTTACTTTCATTTAATATTAATATTACAGTTTGAAGAAAGTCCAGTATAAATACGTTACATTTATATATTTTGTATAAATATTAATGTATCAAAGATCATAATGTCCCGATTTTCAGAGAAAACATATACTAGAATTTCAAAATATATTATCACAATCATTGTATAGCCATGTAGATTATTTTCTTGATTATTTACGTGCAAACACGTGTTGTCATAACATTTTCGCACCACTTAAATTGACAGTAATCACGCGTTAATCCCACGTGTATGATGTTTAATGGCGATGAAAGAAAACTTCAAAGGCAGTGTACAGTATATTAAATTTTAAAAAATCCATTTTTCTTTCTACATCTACATAATTTTATACCATTAACAAAAATCATATAACTCAAATCAAAATTGATTTTGCGTAATTAATTTATTTTCTCTTTTTGGACCAGGTACGTATATATTAATATACGTACCTGTTTTGGACTTATTTGTTTGTTGTTTTTTCTTGAGTGTTGTTTTTCATTCCTACCTTTATAGACGTCAGACGAACTTATTCATATTTTTCCGTATTAATCTATTGCACCAAAATTTAAAAAATCTTACGTATCTATTCATATATACAATGGGTAACGGCCAATACATTTGTTGTTTAACCCTTAGGTATTACTGTAACCAATCATCGATTAATGTATATGTAGCTGATGACACTTGCCCGTTGTTTATTGAAACTAGATATCTCTGCGCAGATTACAGTGAAATCATGCTCATCCAAGTGTAAATGGTCAATGCATAGGTTATCATTGTGTTAAAATAATATTTTACAAAGTAAAAAAGAAAGAAAGATAGAAACAAGTAATCCACGAAAATTTCTAATGATATTGTACTGAATGTATCGGTAAAGTTTATTGGGGAAATATTTTATTTAGGCATTTTTCTATATTGAAACCTTCATAAATTAACACTACCAATATGTTGTTCCAAAATTATGGTCATTTCCTGTATGATTCTATATACTTGCATTGTCTACTTACATCCTCATTCATTGCTTGTCCAATTACTTTCAAATTTTCTGGATCATAGGTGATTAACACCAAAACCTATCTGCGCATGATTAAAAAAAAGATCTTGCCTGTTTCAAGACCTATCAAGCTCACTTTTTATGCCAGGAGGACTATTGTTTCGCAGATGTCGGTCACTCGGTCTATAACCTTCTCGTTTCCGGATGATAACTTGTGAACGCTTTGGCCTAGGATCATGAAAGGTGATAGGGATGTTAGTCATCACTGGCAGATGACTGCTATTGATTTTGAAGTCAAGAGGTCAAAGGTCAAGCTCTCAATGGGCCGAAATGGTAAAACCATGATGGTCAGTTGAGAACACTGGCCCAGGATCATGAATGTTGATACGGAGGTTGGTCATCATTGGTAGATGACCCTTATTGATTTTGGGTCAATAGTTCAAAGGTCAAGGTCACAGTGACCCAAAATGTTTAAACCGTTTGAGGAAAATAACTTTAGTATGCTTTGGCCGTTTCCGGACAATAACTTAAGTTTGCTTTGGCCCAGGATCATGTAAGTGGTGGTTTGTCATGATTGGCAAATGACCCCTATTGATTTTGAGATCAGTAGGTCAAACGTCAAGGTCACACTGACCCAAAATGGTAAAACCATTTTGTGGATAATAGGCCTAGGATCATGAAAGTTGATATGGGGGTTGATAACTTCTGGCAGATGACCCCTATCCATTGTAAGGTCATTACGTCAAAGGTCAAGGTCACGGTGACTGGAAATAATAAAACCATTTCCGGATGATTACTTGAGTATGCTTTGGTTCAGGATCACGAAATTTAATAGAGAAATTGTTTTTCATAGGCAAATGACCCCTATCTATTTTGAAGTAAGTATAAGTCAGAAATATTTTATCTATCACGTGCGCACGCGATGGGGGACATCGGAAAATATTTAAATACCACGTGCGCACGCGATAGCTACCACGTGCGCACGCTATGACTACTACATGCGCACGCGATAGCTACTACGTGCGCACGTACAATTTATTACGTGCGCACGCGATAGCTTTTAATTTCAAACAAGTCATGAATAAGCACTTCCCTGTCCATTTTAGAAATTGAAGGTATTACGTGCGCACGTAGTAGTTATCGCGTGCGCACGTAGTAGTTATCGCGTGCGCACGTAGTAGCTGTCGAGTGCGCAATTAGTAGCTGTCGCGTGCGCACGTAGTAGTAGTATCGTGCGCACGTAGTAGCTATCGCGTGGGCACGTAGTAGCTATCGCGTACACACGTGATAGATAAAATATTTCTGATGTCCCCATCGCGTGCGCACGTGATAGATAAAATATTTCTGATGTCCCAATCACGTGCGCACGTGATAGATAAGATATTTCTGATCTCCCCAATCGCGTGCGCACGTGATAGATAAAATATTTCTGATGTCCCCTCTATGCCACCGTACGAAACAAAACGACTTTCTGAAACATTTTTTTTATTTAAGGCTATTTTTAAACACTTTTTTGTTTCGTTTATTGTAATGTTAGTATCGAAATCTATTGAAAACAGAAAAACATGTCTATCCTCGTCCAAAGACCTTTAAACATAAAATGTTAGCTTCATAATATATCTACATTGATTATCATATGTAATATATAGAATCATACCTTGGATCGTGACATCTTCCACTTTCAAAATTTATTTCCAAATATATCTCATGCTTTGTGTAAACAACGATGATTACAATATTTCAAACGTACAGACGTTTATATACTGCTCGCCAGGCGTGTAAAATACCGACGCAGTTAAGGTAAGGGTCTGAATATTTATCGTTTTAAAGTGGATAAAATTATATACACATATATGTATATTTGTTGTCTGAAGTTTACAAAATTATTGTTTGGATTTTTAAAAAAAAACGATACTGACAAAATACTTGTATGAAGGAAATGTATATTTTTATTGTTTGCTGATTTATAAATGTGTACGAATACTTTTTTCCGTCAGCCTAAAACTCAAAGCATTCTACAGTTTCATTAACCCCTTTAACAATATTGCTGTAAATCTAATGAAATACTGTTCAGAAATTATGATTTTAAAGGGAACATTCCCTTCTGTTAATTCAACAACTTTAGTTTTTGCATATTATAATGTTCATTATCAGTATTATGACGTTCTCCAAACGTCGTTATAGTATGGAAAAAAAAGCATTTGTTATATAATGCGGAAATATACCACTATTTAACGCCATGGGTGATGTTAGGGTGCTTCAAAGGCGGAGTTTCTCTTGCAAACAGAAACTGTACTTTGGAAGTTCCGCCACAAGGAGCTTGTAGACATTAAATTTTACGCTTATAAACCTGGACACCAGAACGGTATGAAACGAAACTGATGACAAATTTATTTAAATGCACATTATGCCTCTGAAATCAATATTCATTTATTTCTTTTGAAATGTCAAACATGTGTTTAATAATGTTTTAATAATGGATTTAGAGCATTTTAGATGTTAAACAGATGTGGAAAGTAGTACTGAATGTGCAGTCCTTAATGTGTTGTAAAAGTAGCAACATGCAAACAAATTGGTACATGCATTTTGACTTACATACGAAGCAAAAAGAGCACAGATAGTTCAACTAATTGGCAGTTAGAGTAGTTTTTGGAAACTGTTAACAAAGATATCGAAAATGAAAAAGATTTTGAGAAATAAAAATTGTAGTATTTCTGAATGATAATGGAGCTTTGACATTTGAAAAGGGGGCTATGTATATCAAGTAGCTTTATTGCAAACCTGACAATAAAAAAGATAAAACGTATTGTGTGTGTCAAGTATTTTGTTCGTAGGTTTCATTTATCGTGCACACCTGAATAAGCTAACATAAAATGATGATGGAAAGGTATGCGACATGCGCTTCATACAAATAATGTTGTCGTATAGTTTATTGCACAAGTTAATTAGTCATACATGTTATATTCAAAAAGAATGACCAAAAAAAAAAAGATCTTACAAGTGCATATGTTTATTTCATAATGTGAACTGTAAAACATGACATTGATTTATATATATTATACTACAAAATACACGCAGGCTGGGCTGGATGGTAATAATATGTCAAAATGAGAGTTCTGCATGTAACTCTAAAACGCGTGCATGTATAAAATTATAAGTTGTCATTATTGCAGGCTGTCATTATAAAATACTGGTCTCAACGCCCATTCAGATAGTTCGAATTTGGTATTTGTATATTAAAAGTATGAAACATCTGTGAGTTCTTTCTCCGTTATACGACAATATCATTTTGTAATTTCGTACGCAAACAAGTCAAATCGGCCACAAGTCAGACCGGACCAAGTCGAACCGGCCCCAAAATTAGTCAAATCGGTCTCAAAATAAGTCACAGAACTATCGTGGCTGATTTGGTACGCTTTTGTACGCTGTCGTCTTGTCGTCCTGTCTCTAGCGCGGCACGCCAAACAGCGTGATGTCACATTGTCGCTCGGTTCAAATTGAAGGATTGGCTTATAAGCCATGCGATAGGGCGACATCGCGACGACAACGCGCCATTTGGCGTGCCGCGCTTGAGACAGGACGACAGTGCGACAACGCGCCGTTCGGTGCGGCGCTTTGTCGTGTTGTCACTAGCGCCAACTAGACGAACAAAAACGAACCAAATCAGCCGCCATACAGAACAGATACGGTATTTCAGTATAACGTACGCTCAGAAACTAAACACGTAAACAAATAGTAATTTTACTAATTTAATGCTGGGAGTTGTTGGCAAGTTTTATTCCTCCAATATATCAAGTAAATCTGCCTTAAATAAGTGAATTCATTGATAAAAAAACAGACTTCATAAACGAAGCAATATTCCTGGCAATCAGCGTACAACAAGCGCATGAAAGTGTAAAGAATTTGTACAAAATTGCGTTTGTTCCATTTAATATCTGGACATTTTATCATTTGTTATTTCTTATTTAAGTACATGGATATGGAGCAAAATTTGGGTATTATTTCATTTGACTACTTGTTGTTTTCATTTGCCTAAGTTTAAATAATATTCCTACAAATTTGATTCATCTGTGAGTAAATCAAAGTTCTTTATTTAAATATTTATTTATTCTTTCTTACTATGTTATAGTAAGTTGTAATATTCTAAAGCCAATGCCAGTACTTCATCTTAATTCGTTTAATTAAATATTAAATACAAATTAATTACTTTTTATGCCCCCACAAAATGGGAGCATATAGCGTTGCACTTGTCCGTCCGTCCGTACGTCTGTCCGTCCGTCCGTACGACCCAAAATCTTGTGAACGCAACTCCTCCTAAACTGGATGGCAGATTTTGCTTAAACTTACAGAGATGATCAACCTTAATGTCTAGATGGTAGTAAAGGAAGGAATTTTTGCTGCGACCAAATTTAACAGAATTATGGCCCTTTGTTGATTTTTTTTCACCATATACCATATAGAAATTTTGTGAACGCAACTCCTCTTAAACCGGATGGCAGATTTTGCTTAAACTTCTAGGGATGATCAATCTTAATGTGTAGATGGTAGTAAAGGAAGGTATTTTTGCTGCAACCAAATTTAACAGAATTATGGCCCTTTGTTGATTTTTTCACTATATACCACATAGAAATTTTGTGAACGCAACTCCTCTTAAACCGGATGGCAGATTTTGCTTAAACTTTTAGGGATGATCAACCTTAATGTGTAGATGGTAGTAAAGGAAGGAATTTTTGCTGCAACCAAATTTAAGTGAATTATGGCCCTTTGTTGATTTGTTCACTATATACCATATAGAAATTTTGTGAACGCAACTCCTCTTAAACCGGATGGCAGAATTTGCTTAAACTTCCAGGGATGAACAACCTTAATGTGTAGATGGTAGTAAAGGAAGGAATTTTTGCTGCCACCAAATTTAACAGAATTATGGCCCTTTGTTGATTTTTTCACTATATACCTTATATAAGTTGTCAGTGGGGGCATCCGTGTCCTTTGGACACAGTTCTAGTTTTTTTAAACTTGTGCTATTTCTACTTATTTAAAAGAAAGTGTGTTTTCTCAAACTTGTTTTTATGCCCCCGGGCATATAGTAATTGAACCGTCCGTCCGTCCGTCTGTCCGTCTGTCCGTACGAGGCTAACCTAGAACGGCAAGTTGGATTTTTCTTAAGTTCTACATGTACCAATGGCTTCTAAGTTTACACCTTTACTAATCAATACAAAGTACATGATCTGGGCAAGTTACATAACTATGGCTTCCGTATTTACCAAATTATTGCCCTTTTCAGCACTTAGATAATCTAAAACGGCAAGTTGGAAATATCTAAAGTTCTATCTATACTAATGGCTTTATAATTTCCACACTTACTTATCAATACAAAGTGCATGATATTGCCAAGTATATAACTGTGTCATCCATATTTCCCTGTTATTTCCCTTTTTCACTTTGAAAATAGGGCCTTGTCTGGTTAACCTATTTCGGCAAGTTGGATTTATCTTAAATTTCTCTTAATTGCTTAATTCTTTTTTTTGGAGTAAGCGGTGTAGGAGCACTGTAACACCGCAAAACGTCCGTACATAAAAACGTACGTATATTGGCGTTTTGCGGCGCATATCGTCCACATTTTTCTGACGTACATTTTGCGGCAAAAAGGCATGGTCCTGCCGCATAACGTCCATATTTTAAAGTTTATATAATTTTCGTTAATTTTGACCAGTTATTATCAGGTGTTATTGAGTGTTAATATAGTTCACCTGAGTATGCGCCTGTCTGTCTGTCCGTCCAAATTTAGCTTGTTACCACTCTAGCATCCACATACCCTAAGCAATATGTCAAGAGTTATCTGTCCATGAATTACAATATCTGTTATATTTCACATTGTTACCACTCCAACGCTTTCATTTCTTCTTTAATCTTGACAATTTTCAACAGAATATCTATTACCATAAAATCTCAACAAAGTTAAAATATAGGCTAAATCTAACAAAAAACAACAACATTAACGCACAAATTATCACCTTGTTAGTGCTTTCGTTTCTTCTCCATTCTTAAAGTATTTTATACAGAATATGTATAACAATAAGGTCTCGATAAAGTTCATTTATGAGCTAAAACAACTGAATATGTCAAGAGTAATTTGCCTTTGAATAATAAAAATAAAGACATATTTTAAAGTCAAATTATTGAATTGTGATAAAACTGCCATTTCTTTCTTATCAATGATCAGATGTCATTCATACATTTATGACAGAACGGACATCTTGAATAGTTCAACTATAATATTGACCTTGAAATGACCTTGACCTCAAGGTCACTATTGAATTTTGCTTAAATTACCATATCTTTGTCATTTACAGATATTTGGATATTGATGACCATTTCATACGTAGAATTGAGTACTGGTATCAGTTACCCAGATTCTGACCAAGTAAATGAAACGTACTTGCTTTTTATTTGTAATATTCAATGCTATCTACCCTTGTCATGTGGAGCCTTTATAGGCCGGTGGGCGATATAAGGCCACCATGACCTTTTTGCTTTGTTCAATTATAAAGTTACATTGTTCAATTATAAAATTACATTATGGCATTCAAACAAAACGCTGGCATTACGATATTTTAAAATATGCTTTATTTTTTATCAATAGAACACATTGAACTTCTTTTTCATCATTTCCTATGCGGAAGAATGTTTGTTATAATATACTCTGTTACATATTATCTATGTAACTTATAGGCAAAATGTTTTGTTCTTTAGGCGATAAAATAATACGGTTTTAGTAAAGGGACGGATTTTCCGGCTTACCTACAGATTAAATCATTTTTTCAAAGTTATATTTTATGACAATTTCAAACTTGCATTTACTAGATTTGTAGTTCAAAATATTTGAGCTGCGTCACGCAGAAATAAGCACTATCGTTATTTTTTTTCCACATATTGATGATGTTGAAAAATTACAATATCATCTTTGAGAAAATATTTTAAAAAGTACAGGGTTAGTTACTGACCCGATACGGGGATACACGGTTCTGTAGGAAACCATAACGGGACTCAACCCACAGAAACGTATATTACGATATCTTACCCTTTAACGAGTCTATCTCGCCGAAAACCTTCCTCATCGTAATTTAGTATAACCAGGGAGACCATACCACGTGATAGTATGTTTATACAGCAAGTAACAAGAAATATCTTTAAAAAAGATAAACGGCGTTGATGGAAAAGATTTTCATGTATAAGAAAGAAAGAAATATAGAGCGGCAAAGCGGACGCAGTTTAGTAATTATATTTTACTTGTTATATCTGTTGCCAAACCATCACTGCCTTCTTAGCATGGCCTAAGGATTAAGCAACCGAGTCGTGGAAACCCCATAACTTCATTCAAGTGTCTGTCCAAAAATGTTGAAGCTGTTGCAACAATTTCGTCTGGTGATAATACGTCGCTCAAAGAAGCACTGTCTTACATTAAGTCGTAATCTACATTTATTCAATTTCAATGCAATACCTCTAGTAGAATTATAATTCAAGATGAATAAATGTTCTTGAAGTATTCGTGAATATATTTTACTACAGAAATTGTGGACGATATGCGGCGCAAATACACACTCTCGCCGCAAAACGTACCAAGTACGATATGCACCGCAAAACGTCCACATGTGTACGATATGCGACGCAAATCGTTCACACGCGAACGTTTTGCGGTACGGACGTTTTGCGGTGTTACAGAGCACATTTGTCTCGGAGCACATTTGTCTCACGAGATGTGACTGATGTGCTCGTAAACATTCATATTTCCTCGCATGAATAGTTCGACGCTCCGAGTGAGTGTCAAACCTAGAGCGGTTAGGCGCAAGTAGTTTTTTTAAATCACCCGGCCACGGAGACCCCTAAATGATCTAAGGACCATCCCACACGTATTTTGTTTTCATCAGAAACATTTAAAAAATATCGCCATTTTCAGAGAAGTGATGCTTTCAGATCTACCATTGAAAAGCACTTACAACGTGCATGAGTTCCTAAAAGAATCCGGTTAATCCATAATTATGGAATATCGGACCTCGCAGAATCGGGCGAGACGCAACATTCCGACGAGACCAGAAGCGAGGCACGATACTGTATCACGAGAACTCGCAATGTCTAAGTATCCCGTATCACGAGATTTCACGGCTCGCTTCATGTTTTGCAAGAATGCCGCTTTTCTTGTCTCTAGCGCATCGCTTCGTGCATGTGCTTCTCAAATGCCTGACTATGACAAAGGAACCAGCGCGGGAGCCATCTTGGCTTGTCGCCTAATAGTTATTGACACTTTTTTCACACTGCATGGCCATAGACGTCAACACGTCAACCTTTTCTGTTGAAATTTCATCATGGAAAGGTTTTTGACATTTGGGTTGAAAAAATGCGAGCAAAGGTTGTATTTGATTAAGTGAATTTCTGTCTTAGTTATGGTAGTTCTTCTTTCACGTCACAGCACTGTAATTCTTAAGTGATTTTACAGTAACAAATCTGACGCTAGAAATTTTTCTTTCATCATTTTATATCAGTTTTATCATAACTCTTTAAAATGAGATAAGGATTTGTTTTATATAGAATATAAAGGGAATACTATTTAGTGCTATATTGCCTTTTTCGCGTCGACGTACGAGATGCGAAGCGAGACGCGAGATTCAGGCGAGATGCGAAACGAGTCGCGATATTGTATCGTTCAAATATCGCCCGATTACGGTGATCCGTGACATTTTTGTCTCCCTGAAACCAATATGCACGATGGTACAATGGTGATTTCAAGCGCGAAGGTACGATGGTGAAAATACGACGGCATGATGATGAAACAATGATGGCACGATGCTTAAATCACAATGATGCAATGACACGATGTTGAAAATAATATCGCGTTTTCAACATAATGCCATTGCAGTTTCATCATCGTACCATCGCATTTTCACCATCGTACTTTCACGTTTTCATCATCGTGCCACGCTGTTTCACCATCGTACAATCGTTGTTTCAAGTTTGTATCATCGTGTTTTCACCATCGTACCATCGCGTTTTCATCATCATGCCATTGTGTCATCTCGTTTTTACCATTGTACCATCGTGAACAGGATTCCGTATGTTTCAGTGTTTGCCTTCAGGTTTAGCCAATCAAATTTCTTGAATTATAGATATTATAATTGATAGTTCCACTGTAGGTTTTAGGGTTAAGATTTAATAAAAAAAGACATTTGCAAACCTATTGTTGATTACATTTGACATAAGGTAAAACGGCGAACCTTGAAAAAATCTGCATGAGACACATGTGCTTTCTTGTCCCTTAAAAATCATGAGACAAATGTGCTTTCTGGTCCCTTAAAAAACTTGATCGGAGCACATTTGTCACACAAATGAGTTTTTTGGGGTACCCATTTGTCTCACGTGGGACAAATGCGACCGCATCGGTCTTACGTAAGACAAATGTGCTCCGAGACAAATGTGCTCCTACAAAGCGGTCTCTAGGGTCAAGGTCAAGGTTGCTGGTTTAAAAAATAAATATAAACATTTTTGCTCATACAACCTTTATTTTTTAGTTGATGTCTTAGTTTAATACAAACATGCCAAGGGAGGTCCTCCTTCTTTGGGTGTAGTAAGGGGTCATTTGGGTCAAGATCAATGTTACCAATGTCAAGGTCACTAATGTTAAAAATAGATTTTTACATTTTTACAGGTGTATTGACCGTATTCTATAGACAGATATTATTTATAATTGATAGAAACATAAACTTTGATGGAGTTAGTGGTCAGTTAAAAAAGTTTTCTTGAATGAAGATTGAGATACTGCTTAAGTCTAAGAAGTAAATAAAGCTGTGAATTGCATTTTATTTTATAGTTGACTGGACCTGTGTTTTTCCATTTAAGATTGTTGTCTACATACATTCCAAGTAGTTTTTCAGTGTTTGTATATTCTATTTCTTGGTTATTAAGATACAAAGTAGGGGGTTGCATATTATCTGGGTTTTTTTTGTGCTTTTTATTGATAAATGCATAGCTTTAGATTTCTGAGCATTCAGAAACTATGAAACTATGAAACTATGAAAAATGCTTCAATACTGATGAAACTTGGCACAAATGTTGACTGGACCATAGCCTCTGTAACATCATGCTCAATCGTTAATTTTCTCTTACCATGGCAACGGGAAACGTCTCAAACTTGCGAAAAATCACTATTTGACAAAAGCATAGTATAGTTTAATATATATATATAACACTATATTACGTTGATAATTAAAATAAAATTTGTTTTATTAGGTTTTACGTCGCACCGATATAGGTCATATAGCGACGTTCAACTTTACTGGTAGAGGACAACCTCAGGTGCCCTTCCATAAGCTAGCTTGATAGCTTCCTAACATGGAACAATCCAAAGTTCTTATCGGGGAATCGAACCTAAAGCAGTGAGGGGCAAGTGGTTTGAAGTCAATGACCTGCACCACTCGGCCGTGGACGACCCTTGAAAAAACATGTTAGGGACATGTGTAATGAATGGATCTCCATTCAAATTTAAAAACAATGATTACTTTAAATTTTGATTATTTAAAACAAATTTGCATTCGGGCTTGTATTGACCTCCCTATACCGTGATCTGGTTTCTCATTTTCTTTATAAACATTGTAACAGTAATGTTTTTGTAATTTGCATAATACGTATCTCTTCATTTATGGAGGAAATAAAAAAATCTTATCTTATCTTACCTTTATAAAAAATAAAGAAGGAAATTTGCATCTTTACGCAAATTGAAATAAGAAAAAAACACACACAAAAAAAACACATTTTGTTCGTAAGCGATGCATGATGTATTATTTATAAAGACAATTTTACTTTAAATTTGCTGATGCAAAAAGACTAGTTTATATTAATATTTTATTTTTTGCATATAAATCTGTTGTCAGAGTTGCTACTTTATTCAGAGATGTAGATCTATGTGTCTGCTTAATTCAGGTATTGGTATTTCACGTTTATTAAATGCTTAACATATTTCTTGTTATTTTTTCTTTTTCAATTTATGATGTTATGATAATGAACCAGCCACTAACATTTAGACAGTTTTATTATTCAGAACAAATGAGCCGCGTCACGACAAAACCAACACAATGGGTTTGCGACCAGCATGAATCCAGACCAGCCTGCGCATCCGCGCAGTCTAATCAGGATCCATGCTGTTCGCTATCACTTTTCTACTTGTTATAATTATGGTTTATAAGCGAACAGCATGGAACCTGATCAGACTGCGCGGATCGTAAACCCATTATGTTGGTTTTGTCGTGGCACGGCTCAAATGTTATTGTTATTTGTGTGTTTTGTACATTGTGTTTCAATAGGTACAATTTAACAAACACTATGTTTTGTAATTGGCTGTTTTTATAGGCGGGTTAAGAAAATAAGACAACACAGATATATTTATCTTATATTCTTCGTGCTCATCATTAATATAATGGAACTTATACATGTATTGTCGACTTTCTTTATAAACTAAATGATAGCATGGATATTTCACCTAATTTCTTGTGATTATCATTACCTAAATGATGACACGGATATCTGGCCTTTATTTCTCGTAATAATCATATATTAAATGATTACATTGATATCTGACCTTTATTTCTCATGAATATCATAAATTAAATGATAACACAGATATTTGACCTTTATTTCTCGTGATTATCATAAACTAAATGATAACACAGATATTTGACTTATGTTCCTCGTGATCATCATGTTCGGACCCGGCTAGTCTCGATGTTTCTCTGTTCATATAAATTCTAATATCTTCATCAAGTAGTGGGTCTTCTACTAGGTATATGCGTACTAACTCTGTATCATCACAAACTAGAACACGTTTAGTATTACCAATCATATTCCAGTGGTCACTACATAATGTATGAACATGTGAAAGGCCTTCTTCTGCTGGAATGACCGACTTTATTATTTGTCCTGAAGTATTTGCAAAGTCTACAGTTTTGCGATTACTACGGGCCAGCAGTAGATTGTCTCCAAATAGTGTTATCCCTCTACAGTCTGATATGCGCTTTTCCCAGACAACTGACCCTTCCATTGTTATACATTTCAAACATTGATGGATTTTGTCAGACACAAAAAATACTTGCTTTGATTTTGAGAATGTAAGAAACGTTGGACATAACATTGAGATAGTCCCTGGACTAACAATTATCTTTTCTACATGTCGCAGGCCAGAATATTGTAGAATTTGTACTGGTCGAGTACATATACACTTACTGCAAACCTATTGGTATTACTTTCATCATCTATGTAACATAAACCGTAACATTCTGCTTCAAACAGTATTGTTTTATCAAGTTCTATTTCTCGATCATATATGCTTAGCATCATCAAACATAGATCTAGTGGACACGTGACCACGATAAAATAGTTATTGAACGCGAGAACATCATGACAACGGGCTTTGAAGGCAGTAACGAACCGGAAGTGGTCATCAAATAGTTTCACTTTTTCGTTTGACTTGTCGGCAAGTACTAAGAAACCGTTTGGCAGAAACGTTGAACCAGTTATCTCTGCATGTACCACGTCAACAGCACTACTTTGTTTCTTTCTTTCTCTTTCCGATGTGATGTGTTTATCCCAAATTTTCGAGTTAAATACTGTTTCTAAACCTGCTCGAAGTAGTGCATCTGTTTTTAGTGTAATCAGATCCTCTATAAGCCATACTCTATGTTCCTTGGAGCGTCGCAGTAACCAGTGCTGATTTCCACACTCTGTACAAAAATATTCTTGACAAGCTTTGCAATATTTTGTTGCTACAACGCCTTTCCATTTTGACAAACAGAAAGCGCACTTTTCTTTCTTATCTCCCTGCTCTAATATCCGGATTTTTTCAAGTCGTTTGTCTAACTGATGGTCTGTGGGAATTGTGTCTGCCCATTCTAACAGTGGTAATGTCGGATCTTTAACTTTCACCATGGAACGACATCTAGGGCATGGAAATCCCGTGTCTGTTGCGTTGCTCAGGCAAAACTGTTGGAGACATGACCTGCAGAAAGTGTGGTTGCAGGTGAGGTTTTTTGGTGTATTCAAGTACTGCGCACATAAGAAACAAGATAAAGATGGTTCATCGGAGGTCGTCACTGAAATAAAAGATATCATATAATTACATGTCAACATGGGCTCTAAACACTCGTTAGCAATACTAAACAAACATACCGACGCAAAAAAAAAGAAGCAAAATATGCATGTCATCTTTGGAAAAAAAGCTTAACCAAACAGGAACGTATGTTGTAACTCCATTAGCTGTGAAAAACAATATCTGTCGCTATGTTAAATCCGTTAAACAAAATATGTGTTGATATGTTATATCCACCAGTCATCATTCAAAACATATGTTAATATGTCAGGTCCGTCAGCACTGAAACACAACTTGTGTTATTATGTCAAATACGTGAGCACCGTAACAAAACATACGTTGGTGTGTTATTATATTCGTCTGTACTGAAACAAAATGTGTGTTAATATGTCATATCTGTTAGCAATGTACCAAAAGATTATTGGTAAATTATGTCTATCAGTTGTGAAGCATAACATAACTGTGTTGGTATATTATGTCTGTCAGTTCTAAAGCATAACATGTGTTGGTATATTATGTCTGTCAGATATAAAGCATAACATGTGTTCGTATATTATGTCTGTCAGTTCTAAAGCATAACATGTGTTGGTATATTATGTCTGTCAGGTTTAAAGCATAACATGTGTTGGTATATTATGTCTGTCAGGTTTAAAGCATAACATGTGTTGGTATATTATGTCTGTCAGGTTTAAAGCATAACATGTGTTGGTATATTATGTCTGTCAGGTTTAAAGCATAACATGTGTTGGTATATTATGTCTGTCAGGTCTAAAGCATAACATGTGTTGGTATATTATGTCTGTCAGGTTTAAAGCATAACATGTGTTGGTATATTATGTCTGTCAGGTTTAAAGCATAACATGTGTTGGTATATTATGTCTGTCAGGTCTAAAGCATAACATGTGTTGGTATATTATGTCTGTCAGGTTTAAAGCATAACATGTGTTGGTATATTATGTCTGTAAGGTTTAAAGCATAACATGTGTTGGTATATTATTGTATATCAGGTCTAAAGCATAACATGTGTTGGTATGTTATTTCCGTCACGTCTAAAGCATGACATGTGTTAGTATATTATGTCTGTCAGGTTTAAAGCATAACATGTGTTGGTATATTATGTCTGTCAGGTTTAAAGCATAACATGTGTTGGTATATTATGTCTGTCAGGTTTAAAGCATAACATGTGTTGGTATATTATGTCTGTCAGGTCTAAAACATAACTTGTGTTGGTATATTATGTCTGTCAGGTCTAAAGCATAACATGTGTTGGTATATTATGTCCGTCAGGTTTAATGCATAACATGTGTTGGTATATTATGTGTGTGTCAGGTCTAAAGCATAACATGTGTTGGTATATTATGTCTGTCAGGTTTAAAGCATAACATGTGTTGGTATATTATGTCTGTCAGGTCTAAAGCATAACATGTGTTGGTATATTATGTCTGTCAGGTCTAAAGCATAACATGTGTTGGTATATTATGTCTGTCAGGTTTAAAGCATAACATGTGTTGGTATATTATGTCTGTCAGGTTTAAAGCATAACATGTGTTGGTATATTATGTCTGTCAGGTTTAAAGCATAACATGTGTTGGTATAATTATGTCTGTCAGGTTGGTAAAAGTTTAAAGCATACATGTGTTGGGTATAATATGTCTGTCAGGTTTAAAGCATAACATGTGTTGGTATATTATGTCTGTCAGGTTTAAAGCATAACATGTGTTGGTATATTATGTCTGTCAGGTTTAAAGCATAACATGTGTTGGTATATTATGTCTGTGTCAGGTTTAAGCATAACATGTGTTGGTAAATATTATGTCTGTCAGGTCTAAAGCATAACATGTGTTGGTATATTATGTCTGTCAGGTCTAAAGCATAACATGTGTTGGTATATTATGTCTGTCAGGTTTAAAGCATAACATGTGTTGGTATATTATGTCTGTCAGGTCTAAAGCATAACATGTGTTGGTATATTATGTCCTGTCAGGTTAAAGCATAACATGTGTTGGTATATTATGTCTGTCAGGTTTAAAGCATAACATGTGTTGGTATATTATGTCTGTCAGGTCTATAAGCATAACATGTGTTGGTATATTATGTGTTGTATTATGGTCAGGCTAAAGCATAACATGTGTTGGTATATTATGTCTGTCAGGTTCTAAAGCATAACATGTGTTGGTATATTATGTCTGTCAGGTCTAAAGCATAACATGTGTTGGTATATTATGTCTGTCAGGTCTAAAGCATAACATGTGTTGGTATATTATGTCTGTCAGGTCTAAAGCATAACATGTGTTGGTATATTATGTCTGTCAGGTCTAAAGCATAACATGTGTTGGTATATTATGTCTGTCAGGTCTTAAAGCATAACATGTGTTGGTATATTATGTCTGTCAGGTCTAAAGCATAACATGTGTTGGTATATATTATGTCTGTCAGGTCTAAAGCATAACATGTGTTGGTATATTATGTCTGTCAGGTCTAAAGCATAACATGTGTTGGTATATTATGTCCGTCAGGTCTAAAGCATAACATGTGTTGGTATATTATGTCTGTCAGATCTAAAGCATAACATGTGTTGGTATATTATGTCCGTCAGGTCTAAAGCATAACATGTGTTGGTTTATTATGTCTGTCAGGTCTTAAGCATAACATGTGTTGGTATATTATGTCTGTCAGGTCTAAAGCATAACATGTGTTGGTATATTATGTCTGTCAGGCTTAAAGCATAACATGTGTTGGTATATTATGTCTGTCAGGTCTAAAGCATAACATGTGTTGGTATATTATGTCTGTCAGGCCTATAGCAATAACATGTGTTGGTATTTATTATGTCTGTCAGGTTTAAAGCATAACATGTGTTGGTATATTATGTCTGTCAGGCCTAAAGCATAACATGTGTTGGTATATTATGTCTGTCAGGTCTAAAGCATAACATGTGTTGGTATATTATGTATGTCAGGTTTAAAGCATAACATGTGTTGGTATATTATGTCTGTCAGGTCCTAAAGCATAACATGTGTTGGTATATTATGTCTGTCAGGTTTAAAGCATAACATGTGTTGGTATATTATGTCTGTCAGGCCTAAAGCATAACATGTGTTGGTATATTATGTCTGTCAGGTCTAAAGCATAACATGTGTTGGTATATTATGTATGTCAGGTTTAAAGCATAACATATGTTGGTATATTATGTCTGTCAGGTTTAAAGCATAACATATGTTGGTATATGATGTCTGTCAGGTCTAAAACATAACTTGTGTTGGTATATTATGTCTGTCAGGTTTAAAGCATAACATGTGTTGGTATATAATGTCTGTCAGGTTTAAAGCATAACATGTGTTGGTATATTATGTCTGTCAGGTTTAAAGCATAACATGTGTTCGTATATTATGTCTGTCGGGTTTAAAGCATAACATGTGTTCGTATATATGTCTGTCAGGTTTAAAGCATAACATATGTTGGTATATCATGTCCATCAGGTTTAAAGCATAACATGTGTTGGTATATTATGTCTGTCAGGTTTAAAGCATAACATGTGTTGGTATATTATGTCTGTCAGGTTTAAAGCATAACATGTGTTGGTATATTATGTCCGTCACGTCTAAAGCATAACATGTGTTGGTATATTATGTCTGTCAGGTCTTAAGCATAACATGTGTTGGTATATTATGTCTGTCAGGTTTAAAGCATAACATGTGTTGGTATATTATGTCTGTCAGGTTTAAAGCATAACATGTGTTGGTATATTATGTCTGTCAGGTTTAAAGCATAACATGTGTTGGTATATTATGTCCGTCAGGTTAAAGCATAACATATGTTGGTATATCTTGTCCGTCAGGTTTAAAGCATAACATGTGTTGGTATATTATTTCCGTCACGTCTAAAGCATGACATGTGTTGGTATATTATGTGTGTCATGTATATTCTGTTACGTTATGCCGACCATAAATAACATAAAACAGCGGTCAAAACTGAATTCTATCTGAATAAAAATGAAAATGTATTTACAATTTATTCATGATCATTTAGATTTAAAAATCTTAATCATACAGTTATCAATGCAAATATAATCTGAATAAACCATTAATAAACATTCATTTAGATACCAATCACAAAACTTAATATGATTTGATTATTCGATTTATAATGATGCATGAGAAAAAAAATGGCTTTCTTTGTTTTAAATCATAAGTTGTATCACCATTGTAACATATTATATATCATTAGTTATATCACCATAGTAACATATCATAAAACATTAGTTATATCACCATTGTAACATATCATAAAACATTAGTTATATCACCATTGTAACATATTATATATCATTAGTTATATCACCATAGTAACATATCATAAAACATTAGTTATATCACCATTGTAACATATATTATATCATTAGTTATATCACCATTGTAACATATCATAACTCATAAGTTATTTAACCATTGTAACATATTATATATCATAAGTTATATCACCATTGTAACATATCATAAAGCATAAGTTATATCACCATTGTCACATATTATATATCATTAGTTAAATCACCATCGTAACTTATTATATATCATTAGTTATATCACCAGTGTAACATATTATATCATTAGTTATATCACCATTGTAACATATTATATATCATTAGTTATATCACCATTGTAACATATCATAACTCATAAGTTATTTAACCATTGTAACATATTATATATCATAAGTTATATCACCATTGTAACATATCATAAATCATAAGTTATATCACCATTGTCACATATTATATATCATTAGTTAAATCACCATCGTAACTTATTATATATCATTAGTTAAATCACCATTGTAACATATTATATATCATTAGTTATATCACCATTGTAACATATTATACATCATTAGTTATATCACCATCGTAAAATTTTACCTGTGACTGCACTTTTCCCTATTAAGGGCTTCCCCCCTTGAATGAATTCTTGCTTCCCACTTGTCAATTTCCGTACATGAATCATTTTGTTTGTGTCCTACACTTTACTTTATCTGATTATAATTATAAAATCTAAGTTATATCATGTGTTCTATAAATCAAGAAAGACTTATTTAATGTATATTTTGTATACTCAACTAACAAATTAATCATTGTATTTCGTATTATTTACATTGGCAAGCAATCAATGTTACATTGTCTATTTGTTATATAAATGAAATATAACACGTTACGAGTATAAACGATTATTTGTAATACTTGAAGTTGTATCATGTCGTATATCAATATTTCTTTATAGCACGGAACACTTAAACTATACTGTAGTTTAAATCTTATCATTAGTATTCATAATGTATTCTTATTGAATTGTTTGCTTATCGTGAAAAATAAAATATAAATGTTTACTTAACTTGTAAAATTATGCAAGCGGCACGCCTCTGAATGACTTACACGTGGCGGGGGGGGGGGGGTTAACAAATACAAACCGATTTTGAAAACGCACGCTTTACATAAGACCTCTTTCACAACGAAGACGCTTATAGTTTTTACATACACATATTATTTTAAAGATATACTGTGGTCATCCTTGAGTAAAATATATTCATCACAAAAATTTACAAAATTAACTAAAATCTGTGAAGTTTTAGACACTAATACAATTTAGATTGATTAAGTAATATAAAAAAAAGTAATCGCATAAATACGGTGTTCTTAACATGAAAAATAAAACTTTTAGGTAATCCTGTACTTACTAACAATATATATACACACGTACAAATGTTGCTGAGAATCTCAGTGCCAACATGCGCTTATGACGGATACCTTACCAAATAATTCCTGCTCACATTTCATTAACTATTTAGGTTACTAATAGACCTTATTCCGAATGTTCTGTAGATCAACTATACTTATAACGTATGCATTCTCCATGAGAGGGGGCAGGTATTAAATAAAAAATGTGTCTGTGGGCGCGGAGCAATAAACCACAATCTGGTTTCCTGCAGCTTCCGGTAAGTTCGGCACGGGGCAGGCGGTGTATATTTATTGTAATCTATAGTAAGCGTTAAATGTGCACTTTAGTTTACAATGAATCATTCTGACCTTCCATGTATCAATTTTACTTCGTTCATCTTATCTATTTATTTTACTTTTGCTTAGCGATATTTGTCCAGGCTGTTTAAACATAGTCGGGGTCAACTGTAGAAGATACATGTTTATGTAAATAGTGAGTGAAAGGGAATATATTAGTGAGTATGGTTTAATTGGCTTATATTTTTTAATGTTTCAGTACTTTACCAGGCTTAATACAATGGTTTTTACTTTTTGTGTAATTTAGAAAAGACTTAAATTAATTTTGTCGACATGCTCGCTTTTTAACCCTTATCCTTGTTTGACATAGACAACTCATGTAAGACTTAAGTATAAGTTAATGTTTATTTGTTAGCATTTACAATCAATTGATCAAAAGCGACACCTATACTTAAATCTTATATAGGAAAATTTTATAAAAAGAGTCTACCTCCGAAATACTTAAGCACGTCTTCAAGATTTATCGGTGTACTAATACATGTAATATTTCAAAATGTCTCTTCAAAAAGACTGTACATTAGATATTTGAAAGGTATCGTAATACCGATTTGAAACTTGCATATTGTGACATGTTTACTTCAAATTAGACAGTCCGCTTCCCTGATATCGGGATGTACCTTCGTTAGATGTACATATATATATTTTAAGTCAACCTTTAGTCTCTTGTAAATCTTATAGATTGGCAATGTGCATTTATATTGTATTTTATATGTATTTTAACTGTGTACATTGATGAGACTGTAATAAACTAATAAATAAATAAATAGATATATAACTAACTGATCTTTATTTGCACCATGGTGGTAGGAGTAAATATTAGGATCGACGCTCTATACGGTTGAAAATTTTGATATTTTTCCCATTTCGACAACATATAGTTCGCATTCAAATGGATGCATGTTCCGCTAGAATGATATTGTACTTGCATTTTGATGAAAAGATAACTGATTTAAGATTATATTTCAGCAGTTGGCTGAAAAGATATATTTATAGATTTTATTACATTGAAATTTCAATTTGTCATACATCAGAGCGTGATACCTCGTCTGCTTTCTTGTAAGGGAGCTAATGCCTTATACACAATTAATATAAAAAAAATTGAGTTACTTCCCATGCCGGAAGGCATCGTATCAAAATATGCACTGCTTAAATAATTTGTTAAAATAATTAAGGGTGAAATGTATCAAATATGCGATAATGTTCACATTTCGAAAAAAAAAAGAAATATTATGCTACCGTGTCACTAATGTCTTTAAAAATTTTACGTTTTTTTTCAATGATACATGATTAAGAAGTCTATGCTATTGTGCTTATCGAGCTTGGCATTGTCGTAGGATTACGTCACATTGTCGTGATGTCACTTTACAATGTCATGATGTCACATCACATTGTAGTGATGTCACTTTACAGTGTCATGATTAAAGTCACGTGTCAAATATCTCATTTTAAACTTTAGTGATGTCATATCACAATGATGTGATGTCAACTCACGCTGTCTTTATGTCACTTTACACTATCATAGTGTTATTTTCATATGAATGTCACTGCACATTGTCTGACAAGATAAACACTTCACGTTGTCGTAATGTCACTTCATAATGCCATATTGTCACGTCACGTTGTCGTAATGGCATTTCATAATGCCATAATGTCACGACAAGTTGTCGAAATGTCACTTCATAATGTCACGTCACGTTGTCGTAATGGCATTTCATAATGCTATAATGTCACGGAACGTTGTCATTATGTCACTTCATAATGCCATAATGTCCATCACGTTGTCGTTATGTCACTTCATAATGCCATAAGGTCACGTCACATTGTCGTTATGTCACTTCATAATGCCATTATGTCACGTCACTTTGTCGTACTGTCGCTTCACAATGTCACGTCGCGTTGTGGTAATGTCACTTCATAATGTCACGTCACATTGTCGTAATGTCATCTCATAATGCCATAAAGTCACGTCACGTTGTCGAAATGTCGCTTCATAATGCCATATGGTCACGTCACGTTGTCGAAATGTCGCTTCATAATGCCATAATGTCACGTCAATTTGTCGTAATGTCACGTCATAATGCCATAGTGTCACGTCACTTTGTCGTTATGTCACGCCATAATGCCATAATGTCACGTCAATTTGTCGTAATGTCACGTCATAATGCCATAATGTCACGTCAATTTGTCGTAATGTCACGTCATAATGCCATAGTGTCACGTCACTTTGTCGGTATATCACTTCATAATGCCATAATGTCACGTCACTTTGTCGTACTGTCGCTTGATAATGCCATAATGTCACGTCACGTTGTCGTAATGTCACTTCATATTGCCACAATGTCACGTCACGTTGTCGTAATGTCACATCATAATGCCATAATGTCACGTCACGTTGTCGTAATGTCACTTCATATTGCCACAATGTCACGTCACGTTGTCGTAATGTCACATCATAATGCCATAATGTCACGTCACGTTGTCGTAATGTCACTTCATATTGCCACAATGTCACGTCACGTTGTCGTAATGTCACTTCATAATGTCATTATGTCACGTCTAACTGTCATTATATCATAGTACCTAGGTCACGAAGCAAACAGTATAAAGTTTGTTTTCTGTGTTTTTTTTATTTTTCAGAAAATGTCTGAACAGCAGGATACTAAATGGAAAGCGGAGTTTAAGAAAGATGTCGTGTATTTACACGTGATTCCCAGATCACGTGCACGTGCTGTGGTTAATATATCTCCATACGCCATTAAACTTGAGTTATGGCTGAGAATAAACAATATACCATTTGAGGTAAGCATTACATGCCTTACAACATGTTATCTAGATATGATATATGCGGGATCACAGTTAATATTTAGTGCGTGGCATTAGTTAATAAATGCGTGATCACAATTGAATGAAGTTCAGACCTATGATGGTGGTGTAGTGATGGTGGTAGTGGTAGTGGTAATTACAATGTTCACATAAAGTATTGCATGATCAAACTAAACTGATACTGCCGGGTCGCACTGAGAGGTCAAAGTCATAAAGTGATGGGCCTCAAAGTAAATAACATTTGAAATATATATTTATTTTACAGTTCCTGTGCAGGCTTGCGGAAAACCTAAATTCGAACCTCAATCAACTAGAGGCGAATGTATCTTTAAAGGTCGTTTCTAAAAAATGAAATTAAGAATAATTTCTTTTAAAAAAAGCGTGTCTTTGAAAACCACTTATTTCGAATGCACTACAAATTACGCATGATGTTCCATTAGAGTAGAAAATAAATTCTCACAAACATGTGAGTGTCTGAAATTATTTTTTGTCCAATATAATTACAGTATTCAAAATGAATCATAACACATGTACTTTGGTAAAGTCTAGTAAATCGTCAGTTTTAGTAAAAATAGTTTCAAACACTTACTTGGTTACTGTTTATAATTATTAGTGTTTAAAATTATTTTGTGTCCAATACGATTGCAGTATTTCAAATGAACCGTAACACATTTACTTTTGTAAATCGGCAAACTGTTAATCAGTCTAGTAAATTTACTGTTTATAAAAATAATTTAAAACACTAAGCTGGTTAAAATCTAGTACGTATTTACAAATTTAAATTGGTCGCGCGGCTTTTGTTGATAGTTTACACTTTTATTTGTTCCTTGTCATGAAGAGTTTTTATATTCAGGTGAGCGAATTCAAGGCCATCATTGCCCTCTTGTTTAAGGACTACTTTGCCAAAGTTTAAGATAAACTATTTTAAGAATGTCATGGATCCTTTTAAATGGATCCAAAAACACTGTACTGCCACACAATGGATTCTGTTATTAATAAAAAATCAAAAAGATAATCTAAGAGTAAGTCTTAAACAAACACTAAAAACTATAACCATGTTTTTATTTCTCGTTAACATACAACGCATGTTACGAATTTCAAAGACTCGTAAAAATATTTATGTTTCCATTCCAGACGATTGATTGTCAAGCATTTTCCAAAAAAGGTCAAAGTCCTTTTATAATGTTTAATAAGGAAGAAATACCTGACAGTAATTTTATCATCGAGTTCCTCAGTGAATATTTCAGCGTAAATCCATTTCCAGGTTTAAACGCCACAGAGAAAGCAGTCGCACGTGCATTCATAAAAATGGTCGAGGAAAATACGTCATGGTGAGGAGAAAAACATGTTCTATACAAATTTTAGTAAAACATGTTCTATATAATTCTTAATGAAACATGTTCAATATAAATCATAGTAAAACATGTTCAATATAAATCGTAGTAAAACATGTTCAATATAAATCATAGTAAAACATTTTCTATTTAAGGTAGCTCGCTACTTTCCGACCGAAATATGACAACATCTCAGATCTTGATGATTTTTGGTATGCAAACATATAGATATGTGAGCTTTACTTCTGCAGTATTATTTTATAAATAAACAGCGTTACTATGACGTCAAAGCGCCCTCTATCGGTGGCGGCGAAATTGTGTCTTTTTATCAATAAACCGGTCTGTTCTTATCAATTTTCATCCGATTTCATTCATTTTAATTTTATAATGTTCAGTAAATGTATGTCTTTGTAATGATGTCTTTCTTTAACATTTACATAATAGTCTGCGATTTTACGTCATTTTTCTCTTCGTTCTGACGTCCATATTTGATGCAAACATCGCGCGATATCGCAATAAAGATTGTGGTATAAAAAAAAATCAACACGGTGAATTTTGCTATAATTTTCCGAGCGTGTAGTGAGATAATGAAGGAAAATATTTATGCAATAAAAATATAGGGTCAACGCGTAAGATATTTTGCTATTACTGTTTTAAAATAAAATAAAGGGTGAGTGAAACGTAATGACTTTGGTGGTGTTAATAGATGTTTGTGTTCAAAGAATAATACCAAATAACCATTTTCTTACGTCAAACATTACCATAGTAAGTATAAACAACACAGGGACTTGATGAAATGTATATTTTTTAAATTGTTGATTATTTTCTCATTGAAAGCATGCGATAGATGAGCACATTTACAATGTTTAATCCGACAATCCCTTTTTAAATACTTTCCTAATTTGCAGGACACAGTCTCATACATCTTTTAATTCTAATTTTAAAATGTGATGTTGTTAAAGTGTTATATTATTATATGAATTAACTAGTTTCAGCTAAAAAAATAGATTCACATATTGCTGTATGAATGAATTAAGAATTTTAGGTCGCTTAGCTTATACCCGTAGAATATTTATTTAACGTTACATTCAGCCTTTAAACACTTTCATAAAATCACATAAAGGCAGACGAGCCTCGGTGTCAAAACACATCGTAAAAATACAATTAAAATAGATATGCATACAAATGTGCCGAAATAAGTGATAAATAAAATTCAGAAATAGTATTCAAATATGTTAAAGGGACTCCACTGAGGTTTTTTGCCATGATGGAACTGAAAATATTTTTCCAGATAAATGTACCATTTGATGTAGGTTTAGACCATTAATCTTTGTGCAAAATTTCAGAGCATTCGCGCACTTCGTTTTTCCAGAATAATTAATCAAAATGAAAAGCGTTTAAACGCTTTTCACCCAAATCGGGCAAACAAAAGCATAAAAATACGATTTTCAATTTATTTCAAAGTATATTTCTTAACTATCTTCGCATATATTTCCGTTTAAAGTGCCCCAGCTCATTTATGTAAGAAATTCAAATGTTATGTGTTTGGCTTTTCAACCGAAGTGGAGTCCCTTTAAGAATATTTAAAAACAAACTGTACAAGAAACAAAAACCTTTATTTTATTTTTATTTTTGCTTACCATTTTAAGTCTGTGCAATACATAGATTATATAATTATAATCTATTTAAAATGTCATGATAATTAGAAAATGAGCACTTATGTGACAAACTATAAACTATTTTGGAAGCAAAATCATACTGAATAAAAAAAATATATAAGCATATTCGCAACTGCAGACTCAAATGTGAAACACCCAATATAACCATTACTCAACTCGGATTCATTACAATTTCTTTATAAATCTTTGAAAACATGCCCCACCCCTCAGAAATTTGCCTTACATAAATTTCCTCCCTTTTTTCTGTCAAGGTGGACATTTGTTTGTTTATTATCTTCAATCTACTGCACATTAATAGAAATAAAACAGTAATGACACATTGGAAAGAAACGGAACAAACTGCAAAAAATATCAAAAAGCAATTTTCCAACCTTTAATTTTCTAAATATTCTTAAAGGGTGGTGGTTGGGGTGGGGAATATCCGCCCTTTCAAAATATATGAGGGGTTGTCAGAGGCAACAAATGTTCTAACATCACTAGGTAAGTGTCTTTATTATAATCTGTATTACTATATTTATTCATTATTCATTATATGTAATTTTATGGTGCTCTAAACTAATTATACCATCGTATTGTACTAGTAAATATGTAATTTTCTTATTTCTGACTGTTTTACAGGCCAATTTTCATCTATCGTTATGTAGAGAACATAGACGAATACTCGGAATACTTCTCACCAGATCAGCCAGTCGAAGTTAGAAAACAAATTCTAGGAAAACTACAAGAATGGGTAGGTGCATGCAATAAAGCATACAATAAAAATAATTTATAATGTATGATGTAGAATAAGTAACGCAACATTAAAAACGCATACTGTAAAATAATACTGTATGACGAAGAATAAGTGATGTATTAATATGATGTAGAATTTGAAATGTTTGATTTATGGTCTAAAATAAATGATATATGATCTAACATTAATCATGGATTGTGTAAAATAAATTATGTTTGATGTAGAATGAATTGTGCATATTGTAGAATTAACTATGTGTGATGTAGCATCAATCATGCATGAAGTAGAATATCGGCATTTTTTTATTCTTTAAATGATATTTCTTTTGTACCGCCTTCTTGTCGATACATGGTGAAGACGTTTTCCAACGTCCCTAGCAGCATAGGTTCTGGTGCCAATTTTCGTCGTTTCTCATTTTGTGAATTTAACTACCTTTTTCAAAGAAAAAAATACACACATACACAGATAAGAAATATGTAGTGATATTATTATTTTTGATTGAACAATAATTGGACAATTTTAGAATGAACAACTTGTTAAAATATAAGGTTTATAGCGTTTAATATGTGAACAAGTTTATATATGAATTATTTTGCATTAAATATATTGTGTGATATCATTATGTATCGTTTAGGTAGGTAAACGTGCACATGGTCACGGTATAGGGCGTCATTCTAGTGAAGAGGTTCAGAAAGTAGGCTGTGACGACATTCAGGCCATTTCGGATTTCCTCGGACAGAAAAAATTTATGATGGGTGATAACCCAACAGTGGTAACACTATCTCCTATAACGTCTTTCTAAAATAAACATAAATATTCTTTTATATACAAATGTATGTACATTGAAATATTGGTGTATTTATATATGTACATTATAGCACTGATTTATATGTGTACATTGTAGCACTGACTTATTTATATATGTACATTATAGCACTGATTTATATGTGTACATTGTAGCACTGACTTATTTATATATGTACATTATAGCACTGATTTATATGTGTACATTGTAGCACTGACTTATTTATATATGTACATTATAGCACTGATTTATATGTGTACATTGTAGCACTAACTTATTTATATATGTACATTATAGCACTCATTTATATGTGCACATTGAAGCATTGGTGTATTTATATATGTACATTATAGCACTCATTTATATGTGTACATTGTAGCACTAACTTATTTCTATATGTACATTATAGCACTCATTTATATGTGTACATTGTAGCACTGGCTTATTTATATATTTACATTATAGCGCTCATTTATATGTGAACATTGTAGCACTGACTTATTTCTATATGTACATTATAGCACTCATTTATATGTGTACATTGTAGCACTGACTTATTTATATATGTACATTATAGCACTCATTTATATGTGTACATTGTAGCACTGGCTTATTTATATATGTACATTATAGCACTGATTTATATGTGAACATTGTAGCACTGACTTATTTATATATGTACATTATAGCACTCATTTATATGTGTACATTGTAGCACTGGCTTATTTATATATGTACATTATAGCACTCATTTATATGTGTACATTGTAGCACTGGCTTATTCATATATGTACTTTTTAGCACTCATTTATATGTGTACATTGTAGCACTGGCTTATTTATATATGTACATTATAGCACTCATTTATATTTGTACATTCTAGCACTGGCTTATTCATATATGTACATTATAGCACTCATTTATATGTGTACATTCTAGCACTGGCTTATTTATATATGTACATTATAGCACTCATTTATATGTGTACATTCTAGCACTGGCTTATTCATATATGTTCATTACAGCACTCATTTATATGTGTACATTCTAGCACTGGCTTATTCATATATGTACATTTTAGCACTCATTATATATGTACATTGTAGCACTGACTTATTTCTATATATACATTATAGCTCTCATTTATATATGTACATTGTACTGGCTTATTTATATATGCATATTGTAGCATTTTTGAACTACATAATCATATGTTATACGTATACTGTATTTGCCTAAAAAATCTAATTCAAGAATAAACTGTATAAGAGAACTGACGGGAACGTATATTGTCCAGGCATGCGTAGCGAGGAGAATAGCTGAAGTTTCTTATGACATATTTATATAATTTCAGGTGGACTGTTCTGTGTTTGGTGTTCTATCACAAGTTGTTTATGTTCCTATGGGATATCCTATGAGGAAATATATCATGGAAAAATGTCCAAATATTTTACAGTTATTTGACAGATTGAAGAATACTTATTGGACGAATTGGGACGAAGAGTGTAAAATGTAAAACAGAGCAAGGTTTAACCTAGAATAAATTGTGATCAAAAGATATACGTGTTTGTTTTATAACAATTTATTTCTTTGTTTCAATATTATATAAATATATATTTTAATGTCGTTCAAATAGAGAGCATCATTTTTGGACCCGAACTATCTTAACTTTAAAATACACTTTACGTTTTTCTTAGGTTAATCAATAAATTAAAACATGTTAACTTGTGAATAAAGTGTTCAAAGGTCATATAATTTGTGTGGTGAGAAAGTTTTTGGTATTTTAGGGGATTTGTGTAGGAAGATATTATCTTCTTGTTATACACCCGGTGGGTATTGCCAATTTGTTTGACGGTATTTAGGTGACCAGTCATGTGATCATTTATGATTGTATCTTAGGTCAATTGTCCGGATGAATGGTCATTATATAGATGAAGTATGTGATACAGTAAAATAGACATTTTATGATAAACATTACAACCATCTTCCTGTATCACTTTTAGCCTAGCCTCACGTTGTTTACTTCATATTTATACAATATTTGATAATCAACGATTTAATGTGGATTATATATACATAGACAAATGACAGTGTTCATTACAATAACATATCATGTAATATTTATCAATTAAGCATTTTTTTTTTAGTTTTTGTTTATATATAAATATAGAGAAATGTTTACAAAGATCATTATTGTATTTTATTGGAGTCTTCGATTCTGTAAGTATGATTTTGTTTTAAACTTAATACATGAATCAAGTTGATCAATTAATTTATTAAGAATTTATCTTCTATACGTATATTATTTAGTATACAACAACTTGTTTATATAAAGTAAATGTTTAAGCAAGTTTTTTTTCTAACTAATTAAACTAAAACACGCCATGAACTATATAACATTAAAGTTTTTAAATAAAACTCGATATAACTACCATCGTAACATGAAAACCGTGGTAACATGACATTTTGCCGTTAACATATATTTGTATGATTGACATTTTGCCGTGTACATATATTTGTATGATAAACTTAATCCATGATTGACATTTTGCCGTGTACATATATTTGTATATGATAAACTTAATCCATGATTGACATTTGCCGTTAACACATATTTGTATGATAACTTAATCCATGATTGCCATTAACACATATTTGTATGATAACCTTAATTCATAATTGTCATTTAAACCGTTAAGACATATTTGTATGATAAACTTAATCAATGATTGCCATTTGTAAGATAAAGTTAAAAAAACATTACCATTTTTGTCGTTAACAAATATTTGTATGATAAAGTTAGAAACATCTAAGATAAAGTTTGGATAAATACTAAGAATAATCACGAAACATTAAAAGTGATGGTATAAAAATGGATCAGAATATGCATAACAGCGCTGAAATACAGTATATTAGAATATGCACAAAAAACATAATTGTTTTGGAAATCGAAAAATATACCCATAACTTCAAAGTAGTGAAACACAAATGTAGCACAGTATGAGGACTTTCCTAAAATAGCGTATTCATGGACCAACCTACTTGATAACACACCTTATTATCAACCAACCAAATAATCCAACATCATCATAATCTTATACAATAACTCAACTTTCCGAATAACAGGACAATGTAAGATAGAATAGTTGTAAGACAAAAATACAACCGTCAACAGGACGGTGTTGACGGAAATGCTGTAAACAGGACAGTATATAACAAAAATACAACCGTCAACAGGGCAATGTTTGATATAAATATTGTAAACAGGACAGTATAAGACAAAATAATGTCAACAGGGCAATGTTGACAGAAATGTTGTAAACGGGATAGTAAAAGACAAAAAAATGTCAACAGGGCAATGTTGACAGAAATGTTGTAAACGGGACAGTAAAAGACAAAAATACAAACGTCAACAGGACAATGTTGACAGAAATGTTGAAAACATGACAGTATAAGACAAAAATACAAACGTCAACCGGACAATGTTACAGAAATGTTGTAAACATGACAGTATAAGACAAAAATATAACCGTCAACAGGAAAATGTTGACGGAAATCTTATAAACAGGACAGTAAAAGACACAAATACTGTCAACAGCTAGGGCAGTGTTAGACAGAAATATTGTAAATAGGACAGTATAAGACAAAAGTACCGTCAACAGGACAGTGTTAACCAGAAATGTTGTAAACAAGACAGTATAAGACAAAAGTACCGTCAACAGGACAGTGTTAGTCAGAAATGTTGTAAACAAGACAGTATAAGACAAAAGTACCGTCAACAGGACAGTGTTAACCAGAAAAATGTTGTAAACAAGACAGTATAAGACAAAATATCGTCAACAGGACAGTGTTAACCAGAAATGTTGCAAACAAGACAGTATAAGACAAAATACTGTCAACAGGACAGTGTTAGACAGAAATGTTGTAAGCAAGACAGTATAAGACAAAATATCGTTTCAACAGGACAGTGTTAGACAGAAATGTTGTAAACAAGACAGTAATAAGACAAAAGTACGCCGTCAACAGGACAGTGTTAACCAGAAATGTTTTAAACCAAGACAGTATAAGACAAATATCGTCAACAGGACAGTGTTAACCAGAAAAATGTTGTAAACAAGAGAGTATAAGACAAAATACTGTCAACAGGACAGTGTTAGACAGAAATGTTGTAAGCAAGACAGTATAAAGACAAAATACCGTCAACAGGACAGTGTTAGTCCGAAATGTTGTAAACAAGACAGTATAAGACAAAAAATACCGTCAACAGGACAGTGTTAGTCCGAAATGTTGTAAACAAGACAGTATAAGACAAAATACTGTCAACAGGACAGTGTTAGGACAGAAATGTTGTAAGCAAGACAGAATAAGACAAAATACCGTCAACAGGACAGTGTTAAAGTTCCGAAATGTTGTAAACAAGACAGTATAAGACAAAAAATACCGTCAACAGGACAGTGTTAGTCCGAAATGTTGTAAACAAGACAGTATATAGACAAAATACTGTCAACAGGACAGTGTTAGACAGAAATGTTGTAAGCAAGACAGTATAAGACAAAATATCGTCAACAGGACAGTGTTAGTCTGAAATGTTGTAAAACAAGACAGTATAAGACAAAAAACTGTCAACAGGACAGTGTTAGACAGAAATGTTGTAAGCAAGACAGTATAAGACAAAATACCGTCAAAACAGGACAGTGTTAGTCCGAAATGTTGTAAACAAGACAGTATAAGACAAAATACTGTCAACAGGACAGTGTTAGACAGAAATGTTGTAAGCAAGACAGTATAAGACAAAATACCGTCAACAGGACAGTGTTAGTCAGAAATGTTGTAAACAGGACAGTATAAGACAAACGTACCGTCGACAGGACAGTGTTAGACAGAAATGTTGTAAACAAGACAGTATAAGACAAAAGTACCGTCAACAGGACAGTGTTAGACATAAATATTGTAAACAAGACAGAAAAAGACAAAAGTACCGTCAACAGGAAAGTGTTAGACAGAAATATTGTAAACAAGACAGAATAAGACAAAAGTACCGTCAACAGGACAGTGTTTGACAGAAATATTTTAAACAGGACAGTATAAGACAAGAATACAACCGTCAACAGGACAATGTTGACAGAAATGTTGTAAACAGGACAATATAAGACAAAAATACCGTCAACAGGACAGTGTTAGACAGAAATATTGTAGAAATTTTATAAACAGGACAGTATAAGACAAAACGATCGTCAACAGGACAGTGTTAAACAGAAATGTTGTAAACAAATAGTATAAGACGAAAATACCGTCAACAGGACAGAGTTAAACAGAAATATTGTAAACAGGACAGTATAGTCAAAAATACAACCGTCAACAGGAAAGTGCAAGATAAAAATGTCTTTAACAGGACAATATAAAACAGAGATATTGTCAACATGACTGTGTAAGAACAACATTTTATTGTTGAAAGAAAATCGTTCTCTACGACAGTGTTTTTTATCGAGTTTATACAGACATATTTCTTAGATCCAACTCAGATCTTAGGTAATTGAGAAACAGACAGAGAATGACATTGACCAATGAAAACCCAAAGATTCATAACAGTGATGAGGTGTTTTCTTTTAATCTTGAGACCAGCTGAAACCAGAAAAAAATCTTACTTTAAAACACGTGATAAATTATGTAAAATCATTTAATTAAGACCATGACCTTGCTAATAAGTTAATAGCAAACAAATAAACGTGTATTCCTCAATTGTTGCTGTTCTTTTTTTTCTTTCTTTTTTTAAGTCACAGATAAATATAATAACCTTCAAAACACCAGCTATATAGTATTATTGTATCATTGTTTGGAGACCTTTCAGTATAAAGTTAAATCGTATACACATACCCATTGATTGGCGCATTTTTTTCTGGGGCGGCAGAGAAAGTGAAAGGGATAAAAAATATCATACTCAGATGCTCATTCATTGCTTACTTTTTTCAATGCTCTTTCTATAACATAACCAAAGTTAATCTAAAAACATTATATAAAAATAGAATACATGTATAATAAATTTGAAATAGTTATTTAAAAGCACTTCATTGCATCGTATTTTTGGGGCAAAGATTTCAAAGTTAGATCACTTAAAAGCGAAATCTATTTTTTCACAATTAAAGATTCTGCATATTTCACTCAAGTATTTTGACTTTCCTTTCAGTGCTCTATCTATATGTATTTATATCTGTATTGTTTACACACACTAAACTATCAGCGTAATTATACACCGTATTTTATAAAAAATTAAATGTTCAGATCTCGTCTGCTTTATATCAAAGTCACGAGTTTTATAGTAACATTGTCTCTGTGGGTATTTATTTGTTGCTAGGGGCATTTATTATAATCAGCATGTTAACAAATCAAGCGACGAGAGATGGTTTAGATAAACACATGTATCACATCTGCTGGACACCATTATGTCTTAGGGGTAAACAATAAATACTTGATCATTAAATCAACTGATACTTTTGACCTTTTGGAAGACATTCAAACACTGATTTATAATGAAGTACAAAAATCATAATCAAATATTTCTGCTTAAAGTCAGCAAAATCACTTATAATATCAGAAATGCTGTACAATATATAGAGGATATTTGTTTGTTTTGCATGTAAGATTGAAATATAATTTCACTGAGTGAACACCAGATGCAATATTTTCACGAGTGGCGTAGCCACGAGTGAAAATATAATAGCTGGTGTTCACGAATGAAATATATTTCAATCTTATATGTAAAACAAATAAATTTTCTTTTTATTTCATGCTTTCTAAGTGATTTTATATATTTTTTACTGATTTTGCCGCGTAACGTCGCGCATTCTGCTTTGTGACGTCATCACATCATGACGTCACATCATCAATTTTGAAATATAGTTCTGTTAAATTTCTCTAATTTTGTTACAATTTTAACATGATGTATGGTGACATCGACTTTCTTTTCCTAAAGAAGCAAAATTTACGCATGACAGTTTTTATTTCAGCTTGTTATTCCATTTTGTTATGATTCTCTTTTCATCCGCATTCAGATATAGTCCGGCTACAGTGAAAATTATATTTTATAAATTTCACTAGTGGTTTATCAGAATATAATCATCTGATATATTACAATAAAACACTGGAAAGCATGAAATAAATTGCAAGCAATAAAATCACGTGTACTTGATACATGCTATAAAATGAAAAAACAAAACTTTATAGGTAAATAATATACAACAGATTGTAACTCTGCTGTACATAAAAAGAAAGCATTTGTTTGTTGTTTTTTTTTCGTTAATATGACAATAATTATGATAATATGCCAGTTGCAGAATTCCGTGTACAAATACGTTGAGACAATAATAACAAACGCGTTTCAATTGTATACTATGCCTAGAAAAAATGAAATAATATTTTTCTACTATCCTATAGGCTTCTTTTTTTTTTTTTTTTTTTTTTTCATTTTACCGCTTAAACTTAGGAAAGCAAGACACACTTAAAGAAAATGACGTCTGGAGTTCAATGTTACCTAGAAAAAAGCAATTGAAGTTCATAGTCGTTTTTCTGGTAATGTGCCATAAAGAAGCAAACGTAACAATATTGCGTGAAATAACGCATTAATAAGAAGTAAATCGGACGCCAACAAAACAAAATTAATAAAATTTATATCTGTAATTATTAATAAACAGTGTACACGTGATGTAGACGGCAGATTTACTATATCCGAACGTAATAACATTACGTAGTCACTCGAAATATCTCAATGGCAATCGCACTAGGTGGCTACGTAAGATATTTAACGTGCGCACGCTATGGGTATTACGTGGCCACGAGATAGATATTTCAGGGGCACCCGACGTGCTTTACATGCGCACGGGCAATACCTATCGCGTGGTCACGTAATACTATAGGGTGTCCACATATTAAATATCACGAAGCCACGTAAAACCTTTCTCGCGCGCACGTACTTGTTATCAAGTAAACACGTAGTAAGTCCAGTATGTACCAGCAAAGATATATTGTAAGTGATACGGTTTTTATTTCACTAATGACATCCAGTGGTTTACTTTTTTGCATGAAATATTATCATAACATCATAACTGTTTTAGATGTGGAGTGCTGTGACAAAGGAAAGACTGGTCCTGAATGTTTATATAGTAAGTATACTGATTTTATAAGAAATTGGTTCTGAATGTTTATATAGTAAAGTCCTGTAGTTAAAATGTTGCATTTATGAATAACAAACAGGTCGTGATTGATTATATAGTACGTACACTGTTTATTTGAGAACTTTTTCCTTAATGTTTATATAGAATGTACACTGATTTTATAAGAAATTGATCCTGAATGTTTATATAGTAAGTATGTTCATATGAAAGATTGGTCCTTAATGTTTATATAGTAAAGTCCTGAATGTTTATATAGTTAAAATGTTGTCTTTATGAATAATTAATTGGTCGTGATTGCTTATATAGTAAGTATACTAATTATATGAGAAATTGGTACTGGATGTTTATGTAAGTACATGTATATCGTTTATGGTAGAGACTCGTCCTAAATGTTTAATAGTCAGTATACTGATTTTATAAGAGATTGGTCCTCAATGTTTATATTGTAAGTACTGTTTATATAAATATTAGTCCTGAATGTTTATATAGTTAGAATATTTTCTTTATGAAACGTTGGTCCTAATTGTTTATATATATAGTATACCGTTTATGTTTATATAGTTAGTATGTTGTCCTTATGAAGGATTGATAGACGAAGTAAACTGTTTATGAGGTCCTAAATGTTTATATAATTAGTATGGGGCTTGCATGATTATATACATGCAGTAATTATACAGTTTATTTGTTATCTCATAATTATCTTATGTTATTCTATGTATTAGTCCTTTTCGTAATATTTTGACTTGGTTTATGAAGTGTACATTTGACTAGAAATATATCTACACCCGTATAGAATAATATAGTACCATCCGTAAAATAGTTTATAATGTTAACATATGATATGTTAACTGGTAAAAGAAAACCTTTTTACCAAGAATGTAGTTCAATTAACACGTCACATCTTCATATAAGCCGGCCTTACTTGCTTAACAGCATCTAATATTTTATATCTGCATGTTCTCCATTGTTACAGGAAATCAGGTGTACTGGTCATCAGTATCGTCTAACTTAGGTCGTGATGAGGTCAGAATTAAAGATAACCGATATGAAACATGTTCCAGACAGCAAAAAACTGGCTCGGACCCTTATATCCTAGTTACATTGGACGATGTTATATATGTAAATGAAGTGATCATTAATTTTTATAATCTAAGTATGTTCTTCCTGTAAATTTATCATTTTTATGTAAAATATATTCTTACTCATAAATAAATCATTTTAATATAAGATATGTTGTTTCTGGTAGATTACCTATTTAAATACCAGATAATCGTCTTTCTCATAGATTAACCTTTGTAATAAAAGTAACTTCTTTTTCATAAATTATCATTTTCATATTAAATTTGTTCTTTCTTATAAATTTAGCATTTTGATGTTAGGAATGTTTTGTTTTTCTCATAAAATGATCATTTATTTATATTGATCAAGTTCCCTGTTAGTTCATGTGGTCAAATAGGTGAAACTTGTGATGTTTTTTGTAATGATCAAATATTAAGCAAGTGGTAATTTATTTGTTACATCTTACAGCTGCCGTTGCTGGTTTCCGGGTGTATGCCGGGCTCACATCTGTCATGGACCAGACGACACTTTGTTACACAGACGCTGGTGACGTCCGCACTGACAAGCACGTGAGCGTTATATGTGAACAAAGTATGCTTGCAAGATATATATCAGTTCACATCGAAGGGTCAGAAAACAAACTAGAAATTTGTGAGATAGAAATACCAATTGGTAAGATAAATATCTGGTCTTGACATTCTAATAAAATCAGATTATTACAAATTCCGGCCATCATATTTATAAATAAATCTATCCTTATGAAATCTATTATTCATTACATTTAAGTTATTGTATAGTTGTGAGTATCCTCGCCTGTCACGCGGGAAACCGGCGTTCAATTGAATCAATTCCCCGTCGGGTAGCCACTCGAAGTTAAAATAAGTCAATGAGTTTTTTTTATTTATCTAGGTACTATAAAGAACTTATGATAACAATAAAACAATCATAAGATAAATAAGAAAGATATTTTACAAAATCCATTTCAAACAATTCACACTTGATAGTTCACAATTATTACAAAATATACATTATTTACTTTTCACAATTCCAACATTAATATTTATATATACATAGGTTTGATATTTGAGATTACCTCAAAATAGATGTGCAAAGATTTTTCTATGAAGAAAAAATAACTGAAACCTTGATATTTGAAAAAAAAAATTAAACAGATGTTTCTACTTTGAAAGCAATAGAACAGAACATAACAGAACGTATTTTATGGTACAATATAAAATAAAATGAACATAGCAGTTCTTCGTCATTACACATATTTATATACAACATACGAGTTGATATTATCAGTTATATATTGTTCACAGGAGTGGACATTAACTAAGAAAATATGTTACTCCCTCCCATGAACCAAAAATAACAAAAAAATAAAATAACTTTCATACTTATCACTTATCCATTATATTACATGTAGCTATTAACAAAGGAATTGTTTATTTATAAATATAAATTATGTGTTATGTTTATACTTCAAATTTGTGTTCGCAGCTCGCATGTAAGAATAATGTTTAATGTACAGGTCGCCTTCTATCAGAGAAAAAACCGACGAACGGTTCGGAAGTAGAGAAGGATAAATATATCAGGTATGGAAATGACGGACAGCTTGGCACTTTTTACGCGAGTAAAGCTCTCGACACACCGTTTTGGTACGTGGATCTACTGCACGTGTACAATCTGAACACAATCATAATAACTACCAGAGAAGACCGTAAGTATAAACATACAACCATGTTACTTCTATATGTTTATTTGTAAGTATAACCATACAACCATGTTAATTCTATATGTTTATTTGTAAGTATAACCATACAACCATGTTACCTCTACGTGTTTATTTGTAAGTATAACCATACAACAATGTTACCTCTATATGTTTATTTGTAAGTATAACCATACAACAATGTTACCTCTATATGTTTATTTGAAAGTATAACCACACAACCATGTTACCTCTACGTGTTTATTTCTGAGTATAACCACACAGCCATGTTACTTCTATATGTTTATTTGTAAGTATAACCATACAACCATGTTACCTCTATATGTTTATTTGTAAGTATAACCATACAACCATGTTATTTCTACATGTTTATTTGTAAGTATAACCATACAACCATGTTACTTCTATATGTTTATTTGTAAGTATAACCATACAACCATGTTACTTCTATATGTTTATTTGTAAGTATAACCATACAACCGTGTTACCTCTACATGTTTATTTGTAAGTATAATCATACAACCGTGTTACCTCTATATGTTTATTTGTAAGTATAACCATACAACCAACCATGTTACCTCTACATCTTTATTTGTAAGTATAACCATACAACCATGTTACTTCTACATGTTTATTTGTAAGTATAACCATACAACCATGTTACTTCTACATGTTTATTTGTAAGTATAACCATACAACCATGTTACTTCTACATGTTTATTTGTAAGTATAACCATACAACCATGTTACTTCTACATGTTTATTTGTAAGTATAACCATACAACCATGTTACCTATATATGTTTATTTGTAAGTATAACCATACAACCATGTTACTTCTACATGTTTTTTTGTAAGCATAACCATACAACCATGTTACTTCTACATGTTTATTTGTAAGTATAACCATACAACCATGTTACCTCTACATGTTTATTTGTAAGTATAACCATACAACCATGTTACCTCTATATGTGTATTTGTAAGTATAACCATACAACCATGTTACTTCTACATGTTTATTTGTAAGTATAACCATACAACCATGCTACTTCTACATGTTTATTTGTGAGTATAACCATACAACCATGTTACTTCTACATGTTTATTTGTATAAGTATAACCATACAACCATGTTACTTCCACATGTTTATTTGTAATGTAGTTTTTGTAAAACTACGGATCGAGCTTGTAACCCAAGAGACTCCAGAACAAATGGTGAATTTATTGTACAAAACTTTTATAACAAGGAACATGAGAGCGGATATATTTGATATACATATATAGCATACCATTAACATGAGGGGTGATATTTGATGGTGATCGTGTCAACAAGAAATGATTAAGTTTATACAAATTTATGTTAGTTCGGTTGTGTTGGAAGTTGTAAGCTTATTGAAGCACTCTCGAATCCGTTCCTGGAACCGACCAGTACTAAGCAATGAATATAAAGTTTCTCGCTCAAGGAAACAAGAAATAATTTAATATAAAGCATAACATGGACACGAGTAAGAGTTTTTAATGTATAGCATAACATGGACATGAGTAGGTGTATTTTAATATATAGCATAACATGGACACGAGTAGGTGTATTTTAATGTATAGCATAACATGGACACGAGAAAAAGTATTTTAATGTAAAGCATAACATGGACACGTCGAGTAGGTGTATTTTAATATATAGCATAACATGGACACGAGTAGGTGTATTTTAATGTATAGCATGACATGGACACGAGAAAACGTATTTTAATGTAAAGCATAACATGGACACGAGAAAAAGTATTTTAATGTAAAGCATAACATGGACACGAGAAAAAGTATTTTAATGTAAAGCATAACATGGACACGAGAAAAAGTATTTTAATATATAGCATAACATGGACACGAGAAAAAGTATTTTAATGTAAAGCATAACATGGACACGAGAAAAAGTATTTTAATATATAGCATAACATGGACACGAGAAAAAGTATTTTAATGTAAAGCATAACATGGACATGAGAAAAAGTATTTTAATATATAGCATAACATGGACACGAGAAGGTGTATTTTAATATAGCATAACATGGACACGATTAGGTGTATTTTAATATATAGCATAACATGGACACGAGTAGGTGTATTTTAATGTAAAGCATAACATGGACACGAGAAAAAGTATTTTAATATATAGCATAACATGGACACGAGAAAAAGTATTTTAATGTAAAGCATAACATGGACACAAGAAAAAGTATTTTAATGTAAAGCATAACATGGACACGAGAAAAAGTATTTTAATGTAAAGCATAACATGGACACGAGAAAAAGTATTTTAATGTAAAGCATAACATGGACACGAGCTGGAGTATTTATAGCACAACATAGCCACGCCACGAGTAGGAGTATTTTAATGTATAGCATTACATAGCCACGAGTAGGAGTATTTTAATGTTTAGCATAACATGGATAATTTAAATGGTTGGCATACATTGGGAACATATAAAGGCATTTCAATGTATAGCATAACATGGACACGAGTACATGTACTTTATTGTTTGGTATCAATTTCTTAACAAGCGATCGACTCCGTACTGTTGTAAATCAAGGAGCTCCTATCATTTATCTAAATGTGAACTTTCTAAATGCATTATGACGGCAGCCCCTAAACTCTGGAATGCCCTACCTAGAACACTTAAAAGCTGTGAAACTCTAATAGTGTTTAAGAGAGCACTTAAAACTCACTTATGTAAGAGGTTTTATTTGGACTGATTATATTCTTAAGTCTTACCTGTATTTTATTATTTATGTGCTTTTAAAACTACATTTGATTCTTCACTTGAGCAATATTGATGTTTTAATTTGTTTTGTTTTTTTTAAATATTGTATCATTTATACTGTACAGCTCTTTTAACATGTCAATGTGCATGAAAAAAGTGCTTAAGAAAATTAGTATATAATAATAATAATAATAATAATAATAATAATAATAATAATAATAATAATAATAATAATAATAATAATAATAGTAATAGTAATAGTAATAGTAATAATAATAATAATAATAATAATAATAATAAGAATAACAATGATAATAATAATAATATTAATAATAATAATAAATAATAAAAATAATAATAATAATGATAATAATAATAATAATAATAATAATAATAATAATAATAATAATAATAATAATAATAATAATGATAATGATAATAATAATAATAATAATAATAATAATAATAATAATAATAATTAGACATGTTCATTTCAATAAAGGTTACTATGTAGAGAGACTGTTCAGGATTTTCCTGATCCTAATATCATAAGTTACTCAGAATAATGATAATATATTATGGATAATATTTTATCTTAACAAGTCACTGTTGATAAAAGTTTTATATGATAATATTTCAGTGAAAAGAATGATCGTAGGATTCCAGATACATATAAGTAACAGCTCGAACTTTGATGAGGCCAAACTTGTCTATACGGACACTAGTACAGAATCAACAGTTGACTACTATATTGTTGTACCACTTAAATCATCAACAGCACGATATGTTCGTATATCAGTACCAGGAATCAACCAGAAACTTAATCTGAAAGAATTCGAGGTCCTTGGAGGTAAACATTCTTGCGTTATTAACATGGATAAGAGGGTGAGGGCTTAGGACTACATACGACGTTGTACATGTAAACTTTTCAAGTCAAATAAAATAATTGAAAATACATGAGATGTAAATGCTACACTGCGAAATATATATAGTTGCTATACCTCGAAATAGAGGTCAAACTACTAAGTATAAAGGTCAAAGTGCGAAAACAAATTTTCTATCAACTGTAGCTGTAACATTATATCACAATTTTACAACTGACATGCATAATAAGTAATAGAAACGAGGCTATCTGATTTGTACGAGGGGGGGGGGGGAAGACTGCCGTATATTAACGTGTATAATAGACATTTAACTATCAATATCGTATATGAACATGTAAAATAGACATTTAACTATCAATATTGTATATAAACAATGTTTTCAGATTGCACAGATAATTACTGTGGTGTAGACTGTAGTAAAAGATGTTTCTGTGAGGATGACAAGTTAGGTATAGAAGACAAAATAGAAGGAAAATGTTCCGGTGAATGTCAGAGAAACTGGAGAAACATGGACGGTTATTGTAATTCTGGTACTAATTTAATATCACCTTACATTGTGATCATCCTTTACAAGTAATTGCATGTTGTGTTTTTTTATTTTAATTGTATTTCTTTGATATGGTTATTTGTCTTGTTGGTTTACAGAAAATCATAATTAATTAAGAATTATGTTCTTTCTAATTGTTAGATTTGAGCTTTTTGCTTACTAATTATGATAAGCTGTTTGTTTTATATTTATATCACAAGGAAATAAATAAATCACCGTTCCGTTGCCTTTGGATTTATGCAATTAGACGAGCTATGTAAATTTTCAAACATACCTTATATTTGAAAAATATTTTCACAATTTTCAGGGATTTGCTCTGGTTATGGTTTCGGGTACCAGTGTAAATACAGTTGTAAATGTTCGGGTACCTGCGAGCCGTGGACAGGTGAATGTCTGCCGGACACCACCTCATGTCGTAAACATTATTATGGGGATAATTGTCAAGCTCGTAAGTTATTTCTCCATGTCTATTTTTTATCCTTTAAAAGTCTCAATAACATAGATGTATCAATCAATCAATGTGCAATACAAGACACAATGGCATACATATATTAAATTAATCAAATATTTGATTTCCTCCAGACTATTAAAATAAGCTACACTATCGCACTAAAACATAAAACACAATCAAATATTTTTCAAGACTTTTTGAAAAAAATAACCAAAATAAGGGACAAACAGTTAACATAGAATAGAATAGAATAGAATAATGTTTTATTACCAATCATGGGCCTTCTCAGGCATACAATTACATAAAATATCAGTACATTAAATGTACATAAACAAAACAATAATAAGATAACATAAGCTAATTCTGATTTGATAACACAATTAACAAAGGACTAGTAACTATATGTATTCAACAAAGGCATTTTAAATGACAACACATAAAAGAAATAGAGTTTGTAAAAAACCTCAACAATGACTAACCCACATTATCTTTTGAGATGTACATTGACAAAGACTAATTAATGATGTTAATAAATAACTACAATTACTTATTATGCATAAAAGTTCTATTATTGTTGTACTGTATAAATGTATTTGACTAAAATGATTATTTATACAATCAGCTATTGACCTATAAACGCATATTAACATGATGATTGTTTTCACATACAAAATCTAAAATTGATATACCTCTGAGTCCATTTTAATCATAACTTTGACAGGTCAAAAATCTTGACGAGTGTACAGAGCGACATTCTATATCTATCAACTAACCCCAAAATGCTCAAAATTGAGTTGAATGTTTCTATCGATACGATTGAAATATTCTGCCCTAACAGAAGTTATGTTGTTTTTCAAAAGTGTTTTATTCCTATTAAAAGTGTAAATTACATAAATATTTTTTCTTTCCATCTTTAAATTAAAAAATAGAATTGTAATCTAGTATAAACACAGTAAAAATTTTCTTTTATCTTCAGAAAATGCAATTGCTAATTCTGGTTCGACACTACAAGGTTTTGATACGCGCTATAATCCTGCACCAGTTACTGTAGATGGCGTTCTCGAGACTTGTTCACCGGAACTGATTGGTATGACGTCATCCTGGTTTATACTTTTTGACACGCAGAGAACTGTTGATCAGGTACTCGTGTATGTCAATGGTAAGTGCATGTATCTTTATACCATCGTATTCTTTCTGGTTATTTCTTCACTATTTTATAGTTTTATAAATTCTCTATATTTAAGTTAACTTATTCTCAATATTTTAGTTCATTTTTACATATTATCAGTTAAAGTTATTTAAATATAATATTGTATCTGTAAGGTTTAGTTAAGTTCATTACTAGTATTTTGTCGTATCCCTTTTGTTGAGTTCTTACCCTCATCCTCTGTTTATGGTTTAGTGCGTTATTGTTAAGGTCATTTTAATGTCGATTTTTCTATAGTATCGGTTATACATATATCGTATTCTGTATACTTTAGTTCATTATCAATTTGTATTCTCTACAAGTTAATTTATTATAATGCCGTTTCTACTATAATTCAGTTCGTTCCTCCATTAAAATTTGTATGCTGTATAGTTTAGTTCATTATAATGCCGTATCCTGAATAGTTCATGATATTTAAAAATCATTTCTTACAACGATGTTTTACTTCTGTACAGTTTTATGTTTTAGAAGGTAATATAATGTTCAAGAGGTAACGTTATTATGTTTTGTAAGACACCTATATTTCGCCTTTATTTCACACATTAAGAATTCTAAGATAAATGAAAATATATTGTTGTTTTATTGCAGAGAGTGTTACAAAATCAGGGTTGATTGTAACAACAGAGAACGGGGATAACTCATCAACATGTGTAATAAACAAGATAGATGTAGACGGTTGCTTCTTGGCTACATGTTTTAACACCCCAGCAACTCATCTCCGTATCTCTACACGTTACGTCATACAAATATGTGATGTTGCTGTACTAGGTGTGTAAATCAATTTTTTCTTTCATAAATTATAGTTTAATTTATTTATTTACATTCCCTTCCTTTAATAGCGAGCATTACGGTATCATTACGGTACATAACGAGTACCTCCAAGTGATGGTTTTGCCGGGAGTTTTACAGGAAAATTATGGGCTCTTCATCCATTCGGATGATATTTTGGTTCCCTGTCCTATTAAATTTAGAGCACACCAGGAATCTGTACCAACAGACACTTGGGATGTGGAGCTCAAAACGCCTTTAAAATAAAAAAAATGCGTGTTAATGTCAATCCCAGAACATGCACTGATCATATATATAAAAAACTTAATATAAGCAGTTTTGAAAAAAAAAACATATTTCAACGTCTATAAAAATACCATAGACGTTGAAATATCATTTTTTTTTTGAAAACGGCTTTTTAAGTTTTTTTGATATATATGATCGATGCATGTGCTGGGATTGACAAATATGCATTTTATTTGGATTTTAAAGGCGTTTTTAGCTCCACATCCCAAGTGTCTGTGTCTGTACCAGCAGTAACCTGCACTGTTTACCAAGCATGATTGGTGACTGATTCAAGTATATAGTACATAGTTTGGTATATTATAATTAAAATAGTCACTTTTATACGCAACTTATCCATATGAAAACAAGAAATAGGCGCCCAGTCAATATCAAAATCCTGTAGGTTCACGTTTCGCGATATCCTTTTCCCGAAATTTATTTTAACATAATTTATGATCTCTGATGGGCGGATTCAATTGAAATATAATATTCAATATGATATAAGATAACGTAATAAAATAGTTTGATTTATGTTGTAGATTGTTCTGACGGTACATTTGGTTATCTCTGTGAGAATAAATGTTTATGTGTTGATGGTGCTCCATGTGACAAAACTAACGGATCATGTCCACCAGGTGGTTGTGAAGCTGGTTACCAAGGTGATACGTGTAGTCAAGGTATACCGTTAAAATATATACCGGTAAAATATATACCGGTAAAAATATATACCAGCAAAATATATACCAGTTAAACATAATTATAACAGTAAATATATACCAGTAAAGTATATACCAATAAAGTATATACCAATAAAATATATATCAGTAAAGCATATACCAATAAAATATATACCAGTGAAATATATACCAGTAAAATATATACCATATAAACATATACCAGTGAAATATATACCAGTTAAATATATACCGGAAAAAATATATACCAGTTAAACATATACCAATAAAATATATACCAGTAAAATATATACCAGTAAAATATGTACCAGTAAAATATACATTATATACCAGTAAAATATATACCAGTAAATTATATACCGGTAAAACATAATATACCAGTAAAACATAATTTTATACCAGTAAAATATATATCAGCAAAATATATACCAGTAAAATATATACCAGTAGAATATATTCCAGCAAAATATAAACCTGTAAAATATAAACTGGTAAAATATATACCAGTAATATATATACCGGTAAAATGTATACATGTACCAGTTAGACATACACCAGTAAAATATATACCGGTAAAATATATACCGGTTAAAATATACCGGTAAAATTAATACCGGTTAAATATATACCGGTAAAATATATACCAGTGAAATATAAACCATTAAAATATAAACCGGTAAAATATATACCAGTAATATATATTCCAGTAAAATATATACCAGTAAAACATATACCAGTTAAACTTATACTTGTAAAACATGTATGTACCAGTAAAATATATACCAGTTAAATATATACCAGTAAAATACATGTACCAATAAAATACATCACATTGGTCATCTATGTTTCAATGTAGTCTATGTGTACCATATAGTATATCATGTTGAATTATAAACAAAAGAAAAAATATAAATAGTAGATGCACTAAATTGTGAAAAAAATAAGATAAGATTATCATTTATTACAGTCACTTATGTTTTTTAAGCTTAACACGAAGCTAGTTTAAATAATTGTTTTGTTTTACGTATAAGCAACTATATATATTTTAAACCTGTCGTAGCTTGTTAATAAAATAATTTGTTACCATTTATTGATATTATATGTAATAGTATCATTAATAAAAGTCGAATCGTTTACAGAATGTACACCAGGTTTCTATAGTAACAATTGTACGGTAGAATGTGGTCATTGTTTGAATGGCGAGGCTTGTGATATATTTACTGGTGAATGCCCGGATGTTTGTGCACCAGGATGGCAAGGCGGTCGTTGTGATATAGGTATTATAAAATCTAATGTCTTTCAGTTTTGAAATTATTTTTAAACTCCTGTTTGAAAAACGGATCGTATTATAGTCCCCCAACCCCCTGCCGGCCGGACGGGCGGGCGGCGTCCGATTATTGTCCAGAGCATTACTCCTACATGCATACAGGAATTTTAATGAAACTTCAGAAATGTTCAACACTATGAGAAGCTGTATCGCGCACATGGACCCCAGGTCTCTAGGTCAAAGATGAAGGTCACACTAAATCTTAGAGGTCATTGAAAAACACTTGAGGGGTTTCAATATAACTTAGTACAAATGTACACCATTGTGAGGCGGAGTGTCGCGTACAAATTTAGGTCCAGTTGGTCATCAATTATTAAGGAATTGAAACATGAATAGTCATTATCATGACTACTGGTGTAGAACATGTGATTTAGGTTAAATTTATGCAAGGTCAAGGTCACGAAAGATGATAGTCAAGGTCACCAAAGATAATGAAATATAGTAATTTTGTTCAGAGCATATATCCTACACATATAGGGAGGTTCTAATGAAATTTCATACAAGTGTTCAAAACTGTCAGAAGCAATGTAATGCGCATGAATTAGGTCTCTGGGTCAAAGGTCAAAGCCAAAGTTAGAGGTTATTTAAAAACACTTCTCCGGAGCAAAACTTACAATACCTAGAGGGATTTCAATATAACGGCGACCAAGGTCAAGGTCACACATGAGAGTCAAAGTTCAGATAAAATATAAAAATGTGTATTCGGACAATTTAGTTATCATTTATTGAGGGATTGGAACACAAATGGTCATACATTTGTTTAGAAATAATAGTAGAACTTTCAATCTCTTACCTTCCAAACATCTTTTGAGATTGATGATCTTAAGAGATGATTTTCATCTAGGCATTAAAAGATAAAAAATAAAGCAAAGCGAAAATGTTGACACATGATTGTACAAACAGGATTTATTCGGTAACTATCTCTATATTATAACAGTAATATACAAACAAACATTTTATATACAAAAAAAATCATTGAATATAAGATAAAGATATATAAAGAATAAAGCATTATTGTGTATTTTCTCATAGAATGTTATAATGGTACATACGGTGACAACTGTGACGGGGTATGTGGTATGTGTTATGATGGTGAACCATGTGACAAGGTTTCTGGATTATGTGATGACGGATGTGATCGTGGTTACTTCACTTCTAACTGTACTCTAGGTACGAAAATTACATACTACATGTACTTGTAATTATACTCTAGGTGAGAAAAAAAAAACACTTTTAACTCCATCGTGTAACACAGGAACTGCGCAAATGTATTGACGAACCTGTGTAAGTCGAAACAAGTAAATGGAGTAAATCAAATGTAAAGAAATGAAAAAAAATCTAGTGGCTGCTATTTCATTATAATTTACACGAGTATTTTACAAATATTTTCAGGAAATTGTTACTTTTTAAGATCATTCTTGAGAATGACGATCTGACTACCGTTTTGAAGGCAACTTTTATGTTCCTTAGATATTCATAAGTACAACAACGCAGTTTTGATATTCGGTTTACCTTCCACACTTGTTCGGTGATATGAGGGAGGGACATATGAAACTTTAAATTTGATATGTGCGCACGCGATAGCTATCAATCTAGGTCGTAATGGAAGTACAATTTCTTTTTTTGTCAGAATATTGTTGCTCGGTATATCGCAAATGTTTGTTCTCTATAGTTTTATTTTTACATGATAGCAACGTTTCCAATTTATTACCAGATTTACAATCATGTCGTATTTAAATGTTATAAGCAGATCATATTTAAATGATATAAGCAGGTCGTATAAAATGATATAAGCAGGTCGTATAAAATGATATAAGCAGGTCGTATAAAATGATATAAGCAGGTCGTATAAAATGTTATAAGCAGATCATATTTAAATGATATAAGCAGGTCGTATAAAATGATATAAGCAGATCGTATTTTAAATGCCATAAGCAGATTGTATATAAATGATATAAGCAGATCGTATTTAAATGATATAAGCAGATCGTATTATATAAGAAACTAAGGGGTCTTATTTAAAAGATATAACGTTGATTTATAGAATGTCCTGAAGGAAGTTTTGGTTACAATTGTAATGAGACGTGTGGCTCATGTAAATTTGGTGACGTGTGTGAACCAGTCAATGGTCATTGTTTGAGCGGATGTGTTGTCGGAAAAAATCCACCCACTTGTATAGACGGTATGTATTTTATAATTGTTCTTACCATTGCTTACTGTTGATTGAAACGAATATACCAAATGTAATAACTGGTCACAAGACAATGTTTAACATTTATCATTTTACAGCGTCCATTTAAAATATGACAGCGTATTGATTAAAAATGTTTTATTATTATTTTATAGATTGTCCATTCGGGACGTATGGACAGGGTTGTTTGAAGACATGTGGTAGATGTCGTGACAACAATACATGTCACCTAGTAACAGGAGTTTGTGAGGATAGTTGTTCACCTGGTGTATACGTGAATAACGTGCAGCCAATGTGTGATACAGGTCATATATTCTAGTTTATTTATCACATTTAGAACGTGTGTAATATTGCAAATTGATAAAACAACAAGTTTATAATTATTCTAAGCATGTGGAGCTTATGACGGTAGTCATATATTGAAAATATTAACTTATTGTTGTACAATCCTAATAACAACTATATCATGTCCAATGAAATATGTCAGTCAAATTTTAAAAGTAAAGAAACCAGTTCCAAATGATCACTAAATATTATCAAATATAGTAATTTTGTCCAGCGCATATATCCAATTACATATATCCAATTGTATTACAGGTATTGAAGTAACTATATTATACTGCATGTAAATTTTTAAATCTGTATCAATGCTCCTTTTTCTAGTCGGTAATTTTTAAGTTATGACTTTGGTTATATACATTTAAGTATGCCGCATGATTAGATGTTCTATAAATAATTCTAAAGTTAGGAATACCTTTTAAACTGAGTGTATAAGTTGTAATTGTTGTCAGTGGGATTCGCCTGAAATAGAAATATAAAAAGGTAATATTTGTTAATGTCAACCATTTAAAATTATATATTGTATTTTTCTGTATTGTAGAATGTCCTGATGGTCTGTTTGGATATAATTGTAGTCGTCAATGTTCGGAGGACGTTTGTGTTGGAGGTAACGTGTGTGATAAAGTTACAGGTGGATGCTTGCAGGGTTGTCTAAATCCTGGATACCGGTCTCCGCTCTGTCAATACGGTACGGTACACACGATGACAGTTTTTTCTATATTTAAATAAATAATTAACATTCCGAAGTTTGATTATTTGACATGATAGATAACGTTTACAGGTTACTTATATATCTATATTTATTGTACATAATTTAGAGTGTTATGACGGTACATTCGGGGTTGACTGCCTGTCTATGTGCGGTGCTTGTAGAGATCGGACACCCTGTAACAAAGTCACTGGTCAGTGTCCATTTGGTTGTCAAAGTGGATTCAAAGGTCCAAAATGCCTTCAGAAAGGTCAGTGTTTTTTTTCTTTTTCTTTTTCAATTTATTTTACAATAAAACTATAAAATTATACGAAAAAAAAGTTTGTATAATTTACGAATACAAATGCAAATCATTTTGATAATAGCGAATGGACAAAAATATACAATGATTACGTTTTATAATAAAATCACTTCCTTCCTCTTTATCGTTACATTCAATACCCATAAAACATAAAGTTTATATCAGTTAATAAACATACTCCTATTTTATACAGAGCCAGTATAATATAACAGCTAAGTTATCAAACAGCTTAGTTATAATACATTAAAGTTACACAGAACAATCAGTCCATGATCAGTATAATAAACAGCTAAGTTATAATATAGAGCAACCATTCCATAATAAAACATCTAAGTTATACAAAGGAATCATTCCGTTCTTTATTTTAAAGACTTGGTGTAGAAATGTTGTAAAACTCCGTAACTAATACTTAGAAGTCTCTTACAATGCTATTTTAGAATGGCATAACTATATAAAGTGTATGTACTGATGATATGAGTTTGACAATGATAAGACTTAAATAAAATAAAAGTCGTTTAATCAACAAGTCACATCAAATCTCGTTATAGACATTCTAAATTATAAAAATATACAACATTTTTTACATTTAAATGTTTATATATGTATATATTATTGTAAACTTCTAGATGTACAGTTATCTGCAGGAAGTATAGTTATGTTAGTGTTTGGATGTTTACTGGCTGTTGCCGGCCTCGTTGGTGTATTCATTGGATACTGGATATATAAAAAGTAAGACATATGTTCAACTAGTATACATTAACTATACCTTTATTGTTTACAAATTAATATATTCATTTATTAGTGTAAGTAAACTGTTATATACACGATGTAACTTTTATATACAAGATGTAACTGTTATATACTCGATGTTACTGTTATATACACGATGTAACTGTTATATACACGATGTCACTGTTATATACACGATGTTACTGTTATATACACGATGTAACTGTTATATACACGATGTAACTGTTATATACTCGATGTTACTGTTATACAAGATGTCACTGTTATATACACGATGTTACTGTTATACACGATGTAACTGTTATATACACGATGTTACTGTTATACACGATGTAACTGTTATATACACGATGTTATTGTTATATACACGATGTGTCTGCTATATACACGATGTTACTGTTATATACACGATGTTACTGTTATATACACGATGTAACTGTTATATACACGATGTAATTTTTTATATACACGATGCAACTGTTATATACACGATGCAACTGTTATATACACGGTGGAACTGTTATATACACGATATAAGTGTTATAAACACGATGTAACTGTGATATTAACACAATGTAAAGGTTATATACACACGATGTACCTGTTATATACACGATGTAACTGTTATATACACGATGTAACTGTTATTTACACGATGTAACTCTTATATACACGATGTAACTGTTATATTCACGATGTTACTGTTATATACACGATGTAACTGTTACATACACGATGTTACTGTTATATACACGATGTAACTGTTATATACATGATCTTACTGTTATATACACGATGTAACTGTTATATACACGATGTAACTGTTATATACACGATGTAACTGTTATATACACGATGTTACTGTTATATACACGATGTAACTGTTACATACACGATGTTACTGTTATATACACGATGTAACTGTTATAATTACTAGTACGTGATGTTACTGTTATATTATTAGTTATAAAGATTGTTGACAGGACTGTTATATGGCCCTATATAAACGGCTATTTGTAAATATAACCCGAGCCGCTAGGCCGCTATATTCACGGTGTTACTTTTACAGAGGAACTCTTCCATGGGCTTACGTTAAACGTCGCTTGAAGAAAGATGTGAAGGATGAAAAGTCACCAAGAAGTTTATCTATTGTATCGAGAGTTTATGAAAATGATATCAACATGGAATCTGGTACAATTCTCACTTGTAATTTGTAAATTGATAAAATGACAGTTTATAAATATATTTGTACATCCATTTAATTATTAATTAAAAAAAATCCAAGACTTAATTTGATTTACTTTAACTTAATAAATGTCAGCAATTTATTTATGTTATTGTTTATTGTCAGCATTATATTAATGCAAGCAGTTAATTAATATCAGCAGTTTATTAACGTCATTGTTAATGTCAGCAGTTTATTTGTGTCAGCAGTTTATTAATGTCATTGTTTATTTTCGGCAGTTTATTAATGTCATTGTTTATTGTCAGCAGTTTATTTAATGTCCTTGTTTTTGTCAGCAGTTTATTAATGTCAGCAGTAGTTTATTAATGTCAGCAGTTTATTAATATAAGCAGTTTATTAATGTTATCAATTTAATAGTGCGACTTCATTTGATCAATATTTATTTTTCAAAATACAGCTAAATTAAAGAGGACAAACTCTAATGCTAGTAATTATAAGCTATCAGAGATGAAACCGAGGGGAACTATAGCAGTCGGTGATTTTTGGGATTATGTTCAAGATAAACAATCATCCAAACAGGAAATAGTTCAACAGTTTAAGGTAAATATCATTTTATAATGACAGCACATTTTATCAGTCTAAAACAAAGAATAATAAACATTGTATAGCTCTTCGGAGTATGAAACTTTAAGCTGATGAAATATCACATATACAATACATGTAAATCATAATGAAAGATATTTGTTAACGTTGCAATTAATCTACCCATCAGCGGTCATTATTAAAATTTCTAAGATGACATAACCGTTGTATGCGTTAAGCAAATTATTGCTAGGGTTATTTCCCTTTTACCAGTGACCATAGGATACGAGCTAGTACCGCTGACAAATCTGAATTAACTACCTAGTACCGCCGACAGATCTGAAGTAACTGGCTAGTACCGCTGACAAATCTGAATTAACTACCTAGTACCGCCGACAGATCTGAAGTAACTGGCTAGTACCGCCGACAAATCTGAAGTAACTAGCTAGTACCGCCGACAAATCTGAAGTAACTAGCTAGTACCGCCGACAAATCTGAAGTATCTAGCTAGTACCGCCGACAAACTTGTTGGAACTAGAAGTACCGCCGACAAACTTGTTGGAACTAGAAGTACCGTCGACAAACTTGTTGGAACTAGAAGTACTGCCGACAAAACTTGTTGGGACTAGAACTACCGCCGACAAACTTGTTGGAACTTGAAGTACCGCCGACAAATTTGTTTGAACGAGCAAGCTATTAAACAAATCATTTTAATTGCTTTATTTTCATTGACAATGAAGTAAAAAAACAAATATGACAGCTCCACAAGTAAAATTTACTCTTGTTTTGTTATTTCTTTTTATTTACGTGTTATTTAATAAAATTTATTTACCAGTGTTTCCCTTTTTAGGACCTTGCAGTAGGCCTGACACCACCCCTGTGAAACACGGAAAAAGCGCAACTGAAACTAGCGTAAAAATTAGAATTATAAAGAAATCTTTTGCTTTGTACTGCCACAATTAAGTAACAAGTTTTACGGACAAAAAAGCTTATACTAACAACAAACAACGAGCAACTAAATAAACAAAAATTAATGATTTGCGTTTTTTTATATATTCAATATGCCCTTTAAAACCAAAAATTACTCATTTCTTTTAAAGTTTATAAAAATATTACCAGTTGCTGCCTTTTTATGACCTTGCGAGGCTGACCCGCCATGAACATCAGGTCCAGATAGTAAAACTGATTAGAAACTTGTGCATTTCTGTTATAATAATTTTAATCGCAATGCAAAATTTTAAATAATAAAAAATTCAACAAAACAACAGAAAGTAGTTTTGTAGCCAATGCATATAATTTAGCATAAAATATCTTACTAAGGTTTCGATACTTAAATCAAATGAGGCTAGTGAAGTAGATAATTAAATCAAGCATTGCTAGTGAAGCAGACTGTACTGTTATATAATACCTGTATTAACTCCGAGCACTTTTTCAGATGACCACAGTCGAGTGAAGCTTGACATGATAGCAGGAGATTCCGGCAATGATTATATCAATGCCTGTTATATAAGTGTAAGACGTTTTATTTATATGTAACTGAAAATATCTTTGTAAGAAAGTGTCTAATTCAAATCACTGTCCCGTTTCTCAATAAAATATAGTTTAATTTGGAATAATAGAACCAAAATAATTAATCAATCTTGACACACTGGTGTCGTCGGAGAGTTAACTGAGTACACTGGTGTCGTCGAACAGTTTACTGAGTACACTGGTGTCGTCGAACAGTTTACTGAGTACACTGGTGTCGTCGGACAGTTTACTGAGTACACTGGTGTCGTCGAACACTTAACTGAGTACACTGGTGTCGTCGAACAGTTTACTGAGTACACTGGTGTCGTCGAACAGTTTACTGAGTACACTGGTGTCGTCGGACAGTTTACTGAGTACACTGGTGTCCTCGAACACTTAACTGAGTACACTGGTGTCGTCGAACAGTTAACTGAGTACACTGGTGTCGTCGGACAGTTTACTGAGTACACCGGTGTCGTCGGAGAGTTAACTGAGTACACTGGTGTCAACAGACAGTTGACTGAGTACACTGGTGTCGTCGGACAGTTTACTAATACACTGGTGTCGTCGGACAGTTTACTAATACACTGGTGTCGTCGAACAGTTAACTGAGTACACTGGTGTCGTCGGACAATTTACTGAGTACACTGGTGTCGTCGGACAGTTTACTAATAACACTGGTGTCGTCGGACAGTTTACTGAGGTACACTGGTGTCGTTCGAACAGTTAACTGAGTACACTGGTGTCGTGGGACAGTTTACTAATACACTGGTGTCGTCGGACAGTTTACTAATACACTGGTGTCGTCGAACAGTTAACTGTGTACACTGGTGTCGTCGAACAGTTAACTGAGTACACTGGTGTCGTCGGACAATTTACTGAGTACACTGGTGTCGTCGGACAGTTTACTGAGTACACAGGTGTACATTTATGTTGTACAATTTTGCTGTACATTTATGTTGTACATTGTACATTTATGTTGTACAATTATGCTGTACATTTATGTTGTACATTGTACATTTATGTTGTACATTATGTTTTACATTTCAGGGTTATAACCGTCCACACAAGTACATAGCTGCCCAAGGTCAGTATAACATTTATTTGCATATAATAGAATAGATTTATTAAAGTTATACACTTAACTAAAAATAATCATAGCTATAGATATTTTTATTTCTTAGTTTGAATAACTTTATCTGGCAGATTTTATGTTTGTTAGGATAACATACCATATGTATGGCATGACATGATATTGTTAATAACTTATACTTGTACATAAAATCATTGTATATAAACGACATTCAATAACAACATTTTTTTTTAGAAACAACATTCAATAACAACATTTTTTTTTAGAAACAACATTCAATAACAACGTTAACATTTAATTATGATACAAACAAAATTCAATAACAGCATTGAATTTTTGTATATTTGAAAGTGAAAGTGACAATTCTATTTTATTTTCTACAGGTCCGACGGAGGAGTTTGTTTGCGATTTCTGGCGGATGATTTGGCAAAAGAAGTGTCGTAAAATAATTATTTTAACCAGACTTGTTGAACACAATAAAGTGAGTTTTCTATATATCCCTCTTTATTCAGTTTAAATATACATGTATATCTAAATGATAGTTACTATATATAATAATCTATACGTACATTTTCTTGTCTTTGATAATTATAATGATGAATGTATCTTGTTACAGGTAAAATGTTGTCAGTATTGGCCGGATGATGGAATAAAACAGTATGGTAGTGTTATCGTAGAGTACCGTGAATCAGAAACATTCGCTGACTTTACAATCAGGTCTTTCTTTATATCCCAGGTACAGTAGCCAATGTAACACTTCATTATGTGGCGTGTATACATCCTAACACTTCATGTATTTGCATAAATACTAGAAAAAAATGATAACTCACAACTACACACTAGAGGATACACACGCTCGAACTTTGATGTGAAAATGGAATATTGTATAATTATTATCATATCACTGTTGAAATCGTACAAAAACATTTGAACGTTTTTCTATGACGATATTAAGTATTTTGTGTATTACCTGTAAAATTTGTAATTGTGTCTATAATATAAGCATAATTATATAAGCATATATTTTGGGCCAAAATGATTTTCAACATAAACTAGAAAATGTACATGTGTTTGCAGTCATATGACTTTCATTTCACTATATACGTATGTAAACCATATGAAAAATAAAGAAAAACAAATATCGTAGTTAAACAAAAAAAATATGGCAGCGGTGGGATTCGAACCCACGCCTCCGAAGAGACTGGTGCCTTAAACCAGCGCCTTAGACCGCTCGGCCACGCTACCAAGTTATGTGAAAGCGAAAAAAAGTTTAAAGTGTATACCGTAAAGCAGTAAAGTTAAAAATAGAATTAACGGAAATTACCGAGTTTACTTCGTAATGACACGATGAGGCATGGAGCTAAATATAGATATTGTAGATATGGCTATTAAATTTCTATACAGTAAACAGGATATACAAAACAAAATATACACGTATTATTAAATCGGTTATATTGACTCGCTTTTAATTGCATTAAAATTAAAAATCATCGCATTATTGAATAGAAGAAGTTATCCTTGGTGTATTATCTTAATTTTAGATATGTCAAATAATTAAAAGGCGGTTGACATGAGGCCGGTTAGCTCAGTCGGTTAGAGCGTCGTGCTAATAACGCGAATGTCGTGGGTTCGACCCCCACACTGGCCAGTTTTTTTCCCCATATCAATAATTTATTATTATATATACCCTTTTTTACTGTTTTACGTGTGAACTTTATGCGGATAATATTTCACTTTTCGGCTAGCTCATTTATAATGACCTAAAATCTCGTGACCGTTTGTTAGACGTGCCGGGACGCAAACTCCAACTCTGTCACGTGCCATCATATCCAGCTGAAACCATAGCCAATTTTGTTATGTTTAATGGTAATAAATTTATTTACTAATTTTCTCTATTTTTAGACAAAATTTTACAGTCATAATTTATATATTTCATTTAAGGAAGGGATAGAGGGTCGTTTAGTCCGACAGTTTCATTTCGAGTCTTGGCCAGATCGTCACGTGCCAGAGTATGCATCATCAGTGGTACATTTTTGGAACAAAGTTCGGACATCTGATGTTAAAGATAATGTTCCTATTGTTGTACATTGCAGGTCAGTGCGAGCGTTCTATATAGTTCAATGGTTGTTTTAGACACCAATGCAATAAACAGTAAAAAGTCAACATAAAACAATTGTATTCTGATGACAAAATAACTACACGTATTAATTATATTATGATAACAAAATAACTACACGTATCAATTTACAACATGACATAGACAAAATCCATGTAAAAAGAATCTCATATTCGTTGACATATAAGACAGAATTTATTTACCTCGTGTAAGAAAGCAAGTCTCGCTGTACATCAATTTCTTGAACTCGTTTGATAAAGTTTTATATTATAAGGCAACTCACGTAAGATTAATTCAATCAATTCAAATAAACAAATAAATTTATGCTGCATATTAACATTTTCTAACATAAAGAAATAATTTGCAGGATGTGTCGTATGTAGTAGTAAAAGTACATTAACAAAAACACTTGTTAGACTAATTAATCTATATAATTAGCTATGATAACTTAAATTGTTTTTATTGATCCCCAGTGCTGGTATAGGGCGGACGGGAACGTTTTTGTCTCTCGACTATTTGGTGGAACAGGCAGATGTAGAAGAATATGTAAACATTTATCAATGTGTGCAAAATCTACGACACCAGCGAGTAAACATGGTCCAAAACTTGGTAACACTTTAATTTTTCACTATGTGAAATTAACATTTGATATATGAATTTTATTTGTTTATTATTTTAGTCTACCGTACCTGGTTTGAAGGTAACCAGTATCATGTTTTACTGTGAAGTACAGCGTGAAGTTGATTTTATCTAATTAATATGATAATATTAATTATAAAATTCAATTATTTGTCATTTTTTGAGTGGGTTTCATTATTTGTCACCTCAACTTTGCAAAGGAAGACCGTTAGATGGTCAGCATGTGTATGAACTATCTCTAGATGGTCAGCATGTGTATGAACTATCTCTAGATGGTCAGCATGTGTATGAACTATCTCTAGATGGTCAGCATGTGTATGAACTATCTCTAGAAGATAGAACATTTGTGTAGATTTTATGTATATTTACTTTAGAATATTGTTACTATCATTCAGACACATTTTATCGTTGTTTTTTTCAGGATCAATACGTATTTCTACATGAGGCATTATCCGAGGCATTGTTTTGTCCGAGTATAGCTATACCATGTGAACAGTTTTGTAAAGTGTATAAAAACATGCTCGAGCTGGATAACAAAACAAAAATAATTCAATTAGAAATGGACTTTGAGGTAAATTTATCAGTCTGGTACCCAACGATCTGGTGAAACCGTGTAAAAACGGTTGCAAACATCGTTTCAAAACTATACATGTATATAATAACAATGAAATAATAAAAAAACATCATGACATAGCGTACAACAAGTATAAATCCGATTCTGTAGTTATCTCTGTCTGTAAATAGCTGTACTGTAACTACTATAAATTACAAACATGAGTGTATAGCAAATAGAAACAGTGATATGTATGAATTACTGTAAGACAAGTATGCTGCCATCTTGAATAATAATACAAATTTATCTTAATAAAATTTAATATATGAGCACATTTAACAGTGAAACTTATTAATTATTATATTCTTAGTAAAAATACATCTACTGTATAACAACAAAAAAATACCCAACAAATATTACCTAAGATGACCGGTCTGACTGCTCAAAGGGACATAATTATACAAAAAAATGTTGTGTTGAAGTCAAACAAGGTCGACAGAGTTGTCTTTCCTGAATAGTTATATTTATTACTATTTAACGTCTGTTTTATGCAACATTTTGCTGGCAGATATGTCGCGTCCAAATATTTGAAATGTTTGAAGATCTATATCATAGTCACGCTATGAATGATACAAATTATAATGATTTATTTAGATTATTATTTATCTATTTCATTCGAGTATTTATTATATACAACCAGTAAGATATTTATTTATTTGTAGAGAATTCAATGTGTGACAAAGTTCAAGGAGAGTATGAGTCCAAGTTTCTATGACAACGGTAACTACAAAGGGGCAAATAATAGTGCTAATATAGAGAAGAATCGGGTACCCCACATCCTTCCCAGTAAGTTACATGCGGTATTTCATAGAAATATTTTTTATTTGATATAAACGTGCAGTGTTTAGGATCGATGTCGTTTCTTTATTATAAATACATGAGGTACATGATTGCAACACATGTACTTATATATACAATTATAAACATACCGTCTTTGAAAGCAATTAGTACGGAAACGTATAGCGACCATCCCTATATGATATATATCAAATGACTTTTTTACAGTTTTATAGTATGTTTGTTATATGCAAATATGATCTGAGGAAAGAATTACATATTTAAAAATATGTAAGTGTTTTATTTTTTCATTTTGTCAAAAAGTTAATAGTTGTTTATCTTGCATTATAAGATAAAAACGTACGAAAGATTACAAAAAATACGTATTATATATGATTAACAATATTACTTGATTTAATTGCTTCCTTTATCAAAATCAAATGTTTGACTTTTCTCGTGTCACGTATCATATAAGAAGAAATATCGCTTGCGCTTTGGGATCTATGTTCCTATAATAACATCAACTAGTCGAATATTCCTTTTTATATAATATATTTCATGTACCATCCTCTGTATATACATTTAAATTGGTAAAATTTGTCAGTAGTTATCGTTTTAAGCTCTATATTATATATCTTACAAAAATGTAATGGTTTCTATGATAACTAATTACATCAGGTACTACTTCAGTAGCTTATTTTATGCTTATTAACATATTATCAAATATAAATTGTAAAATATGTTATATATATTTTATAATGTTAGGGGAATGCGAATGAAAAGCCTCAATATATAAAACTAATACATATAAATGAACAGAAAAAATGTCACATAAATTTGAATCAGGCAACAAAACAGCAGATTGAGTAAATGATATATATTCAAGATCTAATATCGATGTAAATATTGTCAAATATATATCGTGTATAAAATAAATTGTCTTAAATTCTGTTTTCACCAACATGCAGGGGCTGTATATATTACTAGATAAATATTTCAGATCAAGTAAGTTTGTAAAAATTGGTAAGGTATATAATATGTATTAAATAAATTGTCAAAATTTCTGTTTTAACTAACATATAGGGGTGGTCGCTATACGTTTCCGTAAATTAGTACATTTTATTATATTGTTTTTCTAAACGCATGCGGTATTATAAAGCGATTTATTTTTTACTATAACTTGAAAGCACGATGACAAAATCATTAAATACACGGAAAGCCTGAGTGCAACATAAATAACTTACATTCCCTAATTTATGCCGCCGATTTAATTATAACGTTGAACTGGCATAATATAAAGCTATAAATTAGTTTTTAAAAGTTTTCAAAGATAAGAGAAGACCCACGGAACGAAACTTTTTGGATTATTTTGCCAAATATTTGTACACCATCGAATCATTTATACTAAATACTCCAAGGCATACATTTTCTTTTTTTTTTGTGTCTTTTTTTTATTTTTTACTATGTGCAGGAAGTTCGGTTTCGTATATTTTGTGGCTAGAATCAAAACTACGGAAACGTATAACGGCCACCCCTATATGTTAGTAAAAACAGAATTTTTGACAATTTATTTAATACATATTATATACCTAACCAATTTTAACAAACTTACTTGATATGAAATATGTATCTAGTAATATTTACCGCCTTTGAATGTAAGTAAAACAGAATTTTAGACAATTTATTTAACACATGGTACTAATAGTATATATTTGACCAATATTTTAATTGTTATTTGATATTGAATATAATTGTTTACTCAATCTGCTGTTAATATTGCTCGATTAAAATTTATGTGAGTTTCTTCTGTTCATTTATATGTATTAGTTATATATATTTGACGTTTTTTTATTATAATATAACATATTTTACAGTTTATAGATAATGAGGACAGAAAAATCCCACGCAATATATAAAGGAAGCAATTAAATCAAGTTATGTTGTAAATCATATAATTTTATAATACGTATTTTTTCGTAATCTATCGTACGTTTTTTATCTTATAATGCAAGATTAACTACTTTTAACTTTTTGACAAAATGAAAAATAATACACTTACATCTTTTTAAATATGTATTTCTTTCCTCAAATCATATTTACATATAACAAACATACTATAAAACTATAAAAAAATGTCATTTGATATATATCATATAAGGGTGGTCGCTATACGTTTCCGTACAAAACAGAACAGCTTCCTGTCTTATTATTTTATATTAATGTTAAGTTTTATAAATTAAATCCTTCAAAAAGATAATGTAATGTTATCAGTTTTATTTTATCAGTTTTATGTTTATACATTATTTTATCTTTATGATATATAAGGTGACGCTCATCGCCCCTGGCTTATTACACGAGTATCTGATCGTAACGACTACATCAATGCTGTTTATCTACCTGTAAGTATACATTTCTCTAGGCCTATCATATATAAATTACTCTGATCGCATATTTCATTTAGACATGCCTTGTTTGATTTTATTTACCTCACTATTGAGTACTGAACAAAAAACACAAATGCCCGACAATATGTGGTTTCTCTTGTTATACCATTATTATAACTCACCGGTATTATCCACAGACACTTCGGATGTGGAGCTCAAAACGCCTTTAAAATTCAAATAAAATGCATATTTGTCAATCCCAGCACATGTACTGATCATATATATCAAAAAAACTTAAAATAAGCCATTTTGAAAAAAATTCATATTTCAATGTCTATAATAATTATAAACGTTGAAAGTCAAAGTTGACCACCAAAGTCCGCTTTGGAACACAACATCGTTGCGTATCCTTGGCAACTATTATGGGTATCATAACGCCACAAAAGATCTTAAATTCTACAGTATTCGACGGAAATAATTTTTTCATTCATTCTTACATGAAATGTACTGTATCGTTTGACGCCGCAAAATGTTTGAAAAATGGAAAGAAACTAAATTTTGTGTAAAATTTGGCGTTCAGTTTATATTAGCTACAATTTTCGGCTTTAATAATGCGGCTTATTAAAAATACCTGAACTATTTTATTTTTTTTTTGGATTTTTTCTTAAAATGTCTTTTAAACTGTATAATTATCCTACATGAATAACATTTGGGTCACCGACTCAAATTTATCGGTACACGTGATTTTAATCCCCCACCCGTTGCGTTATTTTTGTAACGAAATTCGACGTATGCAGATACGTATGAGACTACAAAGTTCGGCAATATTGTTCAGCATATCAGGGGCATTGCTCCAGTTAATCATACTACTGGTAAAAAATGAACCCGCACCTTGCTACAATATTTGCTTTCATGAAAATATTTGATCAAATTTTGTTTGTTGTGAATCCTTTGAATTTAAATTTGCAATTTTTGTGTTACAACTTGATATATTATGACAAAGGAGGACTATAAATATCATTTGTTGTTATAGCTTCCGGGAATTCTTCCATATTCTAGATTTTTACAGGATAATTGTTATATATTTCAGTCTTATCGGAATGACAAGACATTCTTGCAGACACAAAATCCTCTACCAGACACTATAGTTGATTTCTGGCGGATGGTATATGAGAACAAAGTATCTACAATTGTAAATCTTGACCGTATCACTAACATGGTAAGCTATAAACATTCCTTGTACAATTATATACTTTCAGTAAAAGAAATATTGACCAACTTTAATCATTATGTATTATCCAACTTTAATCATTATGTATTGTCCAACTTAAATCATTATGTATTGTCCAACTTTAATCATTATGTATTGTCCAACTTAAATCATTATGTATTGTCCAACTTTAATCATTATGTATTGTCCAACTTTAATCATTATGTATTGTCCAACTTTAATCATTATGTATTGTCCAACTTTAATCATTATGTATTGACCAACTTTAATCATTATGTATTATCCAACTTTAATCATTATGTATTGTCCAACTTAAATCATTATATATAATGTATTTGTCTCAATTTAACGTGTCCATAAAATCAAGTATATCTTGGTTCAGATAGCAGTGCATATCTTGGTTATAGCAGTTATAATATATACATGTTACCACAATATTTGACATAACTACATTTATATGGTGTTTTAAATTACAGTCAGAGATTTACTGGCCAAAAGAGGGAGAAACGGTAACATTTATACCATTTACCTTACATCATTTGAGTGAAACAGATCACGTGACCTTCACAGAGATAAGCATAAGACTTCAAAATGCCGAAGAGGTACGATATTACTTTATGTTGACTACATAGATATTTTTTTTTTCATACGCAAAAAGTAAAATACAGGAGTTTTTTTATATCTCTAAAGTATCAGACATACAAATAGCAGTGTAAAACAAAACTTTCTTTTCAATGATGACTTTCGTTTAAATAATTTATTATTAACTTCTTTTTTAAGCCACACGAAAAAGCGAAGATACTAAAATTGTTTGTGTGTAAGTTTTGGATGAGTGAGGACCGGGTACCAATCGGTGGTGAATCAAGCATCTTGGAAGTTTATGAACATGTTAAAGTCTGGCAAAAAACAACAGGCAATCAGCCTATTGTAGTCCATTGTCTGTAAGTATAGCGTTCTTCCATATACAACAAATGTTTCAGTGTTGAAGTACAGCGTTCTTCCATATACAATAAATGTTTCAGTGTTTAAGTACAGCGTTCTCCCATATACAATAAATGTTTCAGTGTTTAAGTACAGCGTTCTTCCATATACAATAAATGTTTCAGTAAGTACAGCGTTCTTCCATATACAACAAATGTTTCAGTGTTTAAGTACAGCGTTCTTCCATATACAATAAATGTTTCAGTGTTTAAGTACACTTTTATTGTCTGTAAGATTGTCTGTAAGTATCATATTTTCATTTACATTACTTTGTTCACTGTTCTCTCGGTTTACCCATGGTTATTATAGTAGTAGAAATCAAACTTTCGTACTACAGTTGGAGTCGTTTACTCCTCTTTTTTTCTCACATTACGGCGTAAAGTAACTATACAGCCTTCTTATATTATACATTTAGCAAACCAGTCGTTAGTGTAGAGAATTTGAGAGGTCGCTCAAGGAAATGAAATTAGACGTGTAGCCATGTAGAGATTTTGAGAGGTCGCTCAAGAAATTAAAATTAGACGTGTAGCCAATTTGAGATTTTGAGGGGTTGCTAAGTGTAGCCATGTAGAGATTTTAAAAGTTCGCTCAGTGAATTGAAATTAGACGTGAGCCATGTAGAGATTTTGAGAGGTCGCTCAAGATAATTAGTATTATCCCGGATATGTTTCGAACTTTCGATCACGTTGTGTCAAATCACTTGATCTTAATACCCCAGATCGTACATTTAGAGTATTAAGTTGATAGTCGTGAAGATGATCTCTGTACACGTAGGTGATAGTTGTGTAGATGATCCTTTTGCGTGTAGATGGTAAAATTGATAGTTGTGGATATTTTTGTAGAGGATCTCTGTGCACGTAGATGGTTGGGTATGATCCTTGTGTATGCAGATGGTTAAGTTGATAGTCGTGTAGATGATCTCTGTACACGAAGATGGTTAAGTTGATAGTCGTGTAGATGACCTCTGTACACGTAGGTGATTAAGTTGATAGTCGTGTAGATGATCTCTGTGCACGTAGGTGTTAAAGTTGATAGTCGTGTAGATGATCTCTGTGCAAGTAGGTGTTAAAGTTGATAGTCGTGTAGATGACCTCTGTGCAAGTAGATGTTAAAGTTGATAGTCGTGTAGATGATCTCTGTGCACGTAGGTGTTAAAGTTGATAGTCGTGTAGATGATCTCTGTGCACGTAGGTGGTTAAGTTGATAGTCGTGTAGATGATCTCTGTGCACGTAGGTGGTTAAGTTGATAGTCGTGTAGATGACCTCTGTGCACGTAGGTGGTTAAGTTGATAGTCTTGTAGATCGGATTGATCTCTGTACACGTAGGTGGTTAAAGTTGATAGTCGTGTAGATGACCTCTGTACACGAAGGTGGTTAAGTTGATAGTCGTGTAGATGACCTCTGTACACGAAGGTGGTTAAGTTGATAGTCGTGTAGATGATCTCTGTGCACGTAGGTGATTAAGTTGATAGTCGTGTAGATGACCTCTGTACACGTAGGTGATTAAGTTGATAGTCGTGTAGATGATCTCTGTACACGTAGGTGATTAAGTTGATAGTCGTGTAGATGACCTCTGTACACGTAGGTGATTAAGTTGATAGTCGTGTAGATGATCTCTGTACACGAAGGTGGTTAAGTTGATAGTCGTGTAGATGACCTCTGTACACGTAGATGATTAAGTTGATAGTCGTGTAGATGATCTCTGTACACGTAGGTGATTAAGTTGATAGTCGTGTAGATGACCTCTGTGCACGTAGGTGATTAAGTTGATAGTCGTGTAGACCTCTGTGCACGTAGGTGATTAAGTTGATAGTCGTGTAGATGATCTCTGTGCACGTAGGTGGTTTAGTTAATATTCGTTTAGATGATCTCTGTGCACGTAGGTGATTAAGTTGATAGTCGTGTAGATGACCTCTGTGCACGTAGGTGGTTAAGTTAATATTCGTTTATATGCACCATTGTTGCTTTAATCAATAGAACTAATGACAGAGTTAGTGTAAGTAGATGAAACCCTTATTATATTATCTATGGTTGTTTTTATTGATACCGTCATTCGTTTACTTTCAAACAAAGGTGCAAATGTTTAACAAAGATATTTACAACCGCAGTACCAAAGAACACCCTCCTTAGATATATTTGAATGGGCAGGGGTTTTTACACAAGCTTTGACTTGTAAATATATTCGTTACTTTGTTCTGTATATTGTTTTTTTTTCATATATGATTTCTAATCATTTTACAGGAACGGTGCTACGAAGAGCGGATTGTTTTGTGTTGTTATGTCAACATTAGAGCGCATGCGTGAAGAACGGGAAGTTGCTTTACAGCAAGTTATAAAACAAATGAGAATTCGTCGACATCACATCATTCCTACATACGTGAGTGTTCACTAAAAGTATTTCATGTAAAGATATGATTTTACAGTTCGCGTCCAATGGTATTTAAATCCATATCTCATATCATATCTCTAATTCTAAAAATTTTTTTAAAGTACATGTATGTAAAAAGGGTCCTTCATTCTATATTTTGTTGAAATTTCAATTCATTGTTATAGAACTTTATAGAATATGTCTGTGGTATTATTGCAGGACCAGTACAAGTTTTGTCATGACATCATAGTGGAGTTTCTCAATGGATGTGATAGTCTCTCAAACTTCTACATTTAACAGTAGATCTCCACTCTTGCGGGACACATGAATGATTTAACAGCAGTTCTCAACTCTTATTGGACACTTCAATGTTTTAACTGCAGAATTCCACTCTTACTGGATATATGAATGATTTAAGAGCAGTTCTCCACTCTTACTGGCCACATGAATGATTTAACAGCAGACCTCAACTCTTATTGGACAATTGAATGTTTTAACTGCAGAATTCCACTCTTATTGGATATATGAATGATTTAACAGCAGTTCTCCACTCTTAGTGGACACAACTTTATTGGACACTTGCATGTTTTAACTGCAGAACTCCCCTCTTACTGGACACGATAATTTGAATAACAACATAAAGGAACGGTCTCTATATCAATAAACATTGTATATTATTCTTGAAATATTTCCCACAATCAGAATTACCAATACCATGTCTTACTCTCATTTGTGATTGTACACGCATATAAATTTTAAGTAAAGAAACGCGATACAAAATTTGTATTTAATTCATCTAGTATCTAACTTATTTTGATATGAGCAAATTAAGTAAAGAAACTTAAAGTTCACGTATAAATACGTATGTCATAGAAATGTTTCTATATCTTAATCAAATGTCTGAAATGGCGACTACCTGCACAAGTGACTTTAATGAATATAAATATGGCATGCTGCATAGACTAAATTATTACAGTACAGGTACAGAAAATATTTCCCACACACAGGTAATTTTATAAAGCATATGTCTGTTTTTTTTTTTTAATTTTCTAGTAATATTTTACTTAACTGCATCAATTAATTGAATTATGTATGCTTCTTGTTATTTTGCTCGTTTAAATGGCTGAAAAAAAAACAAGATCCTATAACATAAAGTTGGAATTTTATTTTTCTGTAACGCATGGCTGAACTGTGAAGTTTTTCTGCAATGCATTTCAGAAACGTGAATTTCTTGAATGATATCTTTATCTATATAGAAGAACTCTGTGATTGTGTTGAACTACATCTATATCTGTATGGATAAACTCTGTGTGTTGAACTATATCTAGATCTGTATATATGAACTATATTATGTTCTTGATCTAGATCTGTATAGACGAACTCTGTAATTGTGTTGAACTATTTCTGTATAGATAAACTCTGTGTGTTGAACTATATCTAGATCTGTATATATGAACTATATTATGTTCTTGATCTAGATCTGTATAGATGAACTCTGTAATTGTGTTGAACTATATCTAGATCTGAAATAAACTTTGTGTTTTGATGATGATCTATATATAGATAAGTTATCTGATATTTTTACAAGCATGGTTGATCTATCCTTTCGTTAAATCATTGTAATGATAATATCATATTTTATGTAAATATCCTTAACAAATATCTTGAATAAATGAGCACAGTTCTATAGAGTTCGAATATCTGTTTCAGGCAAGTCATGTATATAAATGAACACCGTACATACATGAGAAAGATTTTCACTTTGCGAAATGAATTTTTGTTTGTTTTAAAAACGTATAAAAACAGTCAATTACTGAACTTGTAGTAGTGATGATTGTGCACAATGACATAAACGTTTATATGAACTCACCCTGTTATAGCCTCGGATTTTATTTATCTCTCATGTTCGACCTGCCAGCAGCTTGTTGAACATAACATAATATATATAAAAATATAACAAAAACGCCCACTAAAATAGATTTAGTGTTTGAAATTATTACTTTTGTCCAATAGGATTGCAGTATTTCAAATGAATCGTAACACATTTACTTTGGTAAATCGGCAAACTGTTAATCAGTCTAGTAAATCGACCGTTTATAAAAATAATTTAAAATACTAAGCCGGTTAAATTTATTAGTAAGTATTTACAAAAATTAAATTGGTCGCGGGGCCGATAAATACTATTCAAATGCGTATACACCTGCTTTATTATTTCATTACTAATTGTTAATTTGCACAACTTAAATCTCTCACCTATTTAACAGGCTCCACGAATGTTGTAAATATATTTATTTTTATCTTTAATGTTTACATTAAGATTAGGATACTTAAACATTTTCTATGAACGAGATATTTTTCTAATATCTATAGTTTACATGAAATCCAGTGACCGAGAACAATGAAAATATACTTATGCATTTTCTTTGGTTTTCTATACTCTTCCGTAGTTTTCTGATGGATGAAATGATATTCGTTCTAAAAGGCGTGACAAGTCGTATCGGCCCGAAGTCGTTAGAATTTTGTCAGTATCTGAATTATATACATTGTATAATTATTTTTAATATATGGCATTACATTTTCAACAGAAAGGTCCCCAAACTATGATACAATATAAAGTAAATATGCATTAAGTTAACTAAGTATACATTTTAATTTTGAAGTCATGAGTTTAATTACAACACTGATTTCTTTAAATGTCGATGAGATTGATGGAAATATTCAGTCCAAAGTAATGAAGTATGAAATCAATAGTAAGCCAACTTTTATTATATGTCAGTGCTGTATAAAACAATGTACACGATAATAGATCAATTCGAGTACTATAGTAAAACTTAGGATTAACTTCTTTAACATGAGATTATATTAATCTTACTGATTATTTCAATTTTTTCCAACTTACTTTAAAGTCCACAATATTTGTACGTCGGTCAAAGTTAAGTGTTAAAAAAATGATGTTACCTGGTTTTATTATCTCTTCAATGTTGGTGATAGGATTAGCATACTACATGTATATACCGGATACCGAACTATTGTCGTCTGACTCCGTTTTTACCTCACAGTTCAAATCCCTGTGTACTTATTTGCGAGACATAATTTATTCTAACAGTGCACCGGAAGTGATGTCACGTGATGATGGGATATTGGTGAGTGTACTAGAGAAACTATTAACGTTTATTATATGACGGCTTATTTATTACATAATAATGTTATATCTTAACTACCTACATGACACTTATATTACCCGAAACTCATATTTACAAGAGACTTAATACTTTCTATCAGAAGAGATAAAATACACCTTTTTTGTTTTTATTTTATATAAATATTAGTAATAAACATAAACAGACACTGTAAGGGTGTGTTTTGTTTGTGATGTGTGCATGAAAGGGTGGGGGGGGGGGGGTTAATACTCCATGCATGCACAAAAGCACGCTCGCACATATACACCGAATTCCCCTAACATTAGAGTGGGTGGTGTTCTGCTATAAAGATTTCATCATCAAGTCAGATGCTAGTTATGTTTTCTTATAGTCAAATGTACTTTTGCAATTTATCATAAAAAAATAAAATATATAAAATCTATACTTCCTGGCTGTTGAATTAACTAAGATAGTGATGTTGTCGAATGCTGTTCAATGCAATGTAATGTCTGGCGGCGACACCCCACGATATAAAATTTCTGGTAGCGACATTGTTGCGCTATCCCCAACGATATGAAAGATCTAGTATCGACGTTGTTGAGCGAACCCTCCGAGATGTAAAAAGGTCTGGTCTCGACATTGTTACGTGATTCCTATGAAGTGAAAGGTCTTGCAGAGACATTCTGCGCGACCCCTTTTATGTTAAAGGTCTGGCAGCGACATTCTGCGTGACCCCTTTAATGTCAAATGTTTGGTAGTGACATTCTACGTGCGACATTCCGCGTGACCCCTTTTATGTTAAGGGTCTGACAGCGACATTCTTCGTGATCCATTTATGTTAAAAATCTTACAGCGACATTCTGCGTGACCCCTTTTATGTAAAGGGTCTGGCAGCGACATTCTTCGTGACACATTTATGTTAAAAATCTGACAGCGACATTCTGCGTGATCCCTTGTATGTTAAAGGCCTGGCAGCGACATTCTGCGTGATCCCATTTATGTTAAAGGCCTGGCAGCGACATTCTGCGTGATCCCATTTATGTTAAAGGCCTGGCAGCGACATTCTGCGTGATCCCATTTATGTTTAAGGCCTGGCAGCGACATTCTGCGTGATCCCATTTATGTTTATAATCTGGCAGCGACAATTTTCGTGACCCATTTATGTTAAAAATCTGGCAGCGACATTCTGCGTGATCCTTTTTATGTTAAAGATCTGACATCGACGTTGTAAAGAGTTCCTACATTGTGTGTTTCATAGCTCGACTAATTATCTTTTTAATTTGAAATGACGGAGAATATCATGACAACTCCTCCTGTGTTAGACACAAGTGTAAACCAGAAAATGTATGAAAATTGTCAATCATTAATAAATATGAAACATGTTTTTTAAGACCAAACACGAAAGTATTGATGGTGTCGATGTTTTGATACATAGTCCAGTGAATACAGAAGGAGTGTTGCATCCGGGCATTATATATTTCCATGGTGGTGGCTGGATATCTGGCTCAACAGGTATGTTATATATGTCGACAATGTATTTTGGACGTTTGCTTTTGTTACCTGAATGAGTTATTTGTTTAAACCTCAAAAGACGGTAGGATTTAGTTGAACGACACCAATTAAAAGTATAATGTACAATCTAGTCATCATATTTCCCTCCAAAACATTTCCCTTCAAATGGATCCTTGAAGAATTTACTAGAATATGTTAAATGTGATGATTGTTGGTATTAAAAAAATAGGAAATTGTTTTAGAGTTACACCACATGGTTCGGTCACGTATAGCATGGAGGCAGCATTTAGAAAATTGTCATGTCCTGGAATAAACTGAATAACTGAGCACCCTAAAGTCTGTTCTAGAGTTTGCTTTACGGTAGATAATTTTGTTTTATTTGAAATGATAGAAATTCATCCATTTTTTAAACTATTATGTCAATAATCCTTAGCTGGTAAATTTGGAATTCGAACATCCAACAACTTCGGGGCTTCCAAGCGTTTTTAACATCCCCTTTACTTCATTTTACTACTATAATGTTAATTTTTGTTCTGGAAGAACTTCATTCAGTACATAACAAGGTTATAATCTGGATACTCGTATGTCACTTATCATCGCGGGCGGGTGTTTTGTACAGCAAGAAATACAAAAATGGAACATATCCTATCCTGTATTTCTAAGTTTCACAAACTTAAGAAATAGTAGCTTACACACATTAAAGGTCAGTGACCCGCATAATCCATATGCATGTGCCAATTTTATAATTGATCATGTTTAGAACAAACTTAAGGAAGTTTATTTTTCATTCTTTACGCGTGAAGTTTTTTTGTAATTGCCTTAGTATAACTCTTAAGCGGTAACAGATGAAGAGTTGCTACGTGTTATGCAGGTGCGACCTTAAACCGGAAGTGATGTAAATATATCTCTATGTAAAATATTGTAAGTTCATGATCTAAGGATATTTTTCAGTAGTCCTCGTTATATGACTGACATTGATGTACACATTGTGGGTGAATGAAATAAAAAGAAAATTTGCATATATTTATTACCAGAATAAGTTGTATATATATTTTACTGGCATAATTTGTATATATTTATGACCAGAATAAGTCGTATATATTTATGACTAGAATAAGTCGTATATATTTATGACCAGAATAAGTCGTATATATTTATGACCAGAACAAGTCGTATATATTTATGACCAGAATAAGTCGTATATATTTATGACCAGAATAAGTCGTATATATATTTATGATCAGAATAAGTCGTATATATTTATGACCAGAATAAGTCGTATATATTTGTAACAAGAATAAGTTGTATATTTTTTATGACTGGAATAAGTTTTACTAAAGCATAATTTGTATATTTTTCACGGGAATTAACAACAGAGTTGTGTGTTTTGTGACAAGAAAAAAATTATGACATTGTGGAGAAGAATACATTTGTAATAGTTTGTTACGAGAAAGTGTTTTCGTAATCAACAACAACACGAACCGTCTATTTACAAATAAATAAACGAGGACAATATACTTTAATATATATGAACACGTGATGTTATTTATATTTTAGAGGAATATAAGGCATTGACACAGTACATCAGCAAGATGTCTGGTTTCGTCGTTATATCAGTAGAGTAAGTTATTTGTTTAATATTTTAATGTCAACTAGTCTTACTTGATGATTTGCGTTAAAATTGTTGTACAAACAAATACAGAAGTTTAATTGTTTGACCATTATAAACATGTATATTTTATTTAAACTGTTGTCGATTTTCCTTTTTAAAATATCAAAATGTATTTTGTATTCTGACTAAAACTAAATGATTGTTATCTTCTTACATAAGTTATGCCTAAAATATCACAATAGCGGATAGATATTTCAAAGATGTTTTTTTTTTTCAATATTTGTTTGACAGGTATCGGTTGGCACCTGACTTTCCTTTTCCCACAGCCTTCGAGGACTGTTTACGTGCAACGTTATATCTGTTAAGAAATCCGTCAACGTTTGGTCTCCTGACCAACCAGATTACACTAGCAGGTAGTAAATATATCATCAATGTTTGCTTGTACTTAACATTTTTTTCTTCTTACTAACTATAAATCATATACCTGTACATTCTGTCTTACATTTAATGCTTGTATTACATGCGCAAATACGACCCGACAAAATAAATGTCGTACTATATACTAATTTTATAGTAAAATACCAGCATTTATCAAAGATTTACGTATCAAAGCCTTCATCTTTTATTTAATTAATGGACATGAAGATTTAATAACAGATTATATAAATGTTTCTTAGAAATTATTTTAAAACTACGGTAAGTCTTCTTAATTTCATTTTTTCTATCAAGACCCTCACAATTTTTCAAATGCCGGGGGCGGTGTCTGAACATTTTTAAAGGTACAAATCTTTAAAGACTCCCCGAATTTTTCGAATTGTTGTTTATTTACTTATGAACCATGAGCTGCCTTTCATGGAATGGAGTTAACTTGTCTCATTGACGGTTCCATGGTCATCGCAGTATGAACATATCTGCGGATGTTTCTACATGTATACTTGTATTCAAAATTTTACCATTTCATATCAAATGTTGAATTTTGTTTATTTTCAAATTTCAGGAGGTATGAGGGGTGAAATTTTTGGGTAGAGGGTGTTCGTAAACAGTATCTTGCACATACATGTATCAGTACCGTCCTTAAGCAGGCTCAATCAAAATGAGCGTGCAACAATTTAAATTATACTGTTTTTGGACATTCTATAGGAATTCATTTTTATAGTTAGTTAAAATCCTTTTACAACTTTTGCTTTATTTATACAGGTGACGATGTAGGTGGAAATCTTGCTCTCTCCGTGTCCTTGAATATAACAAAAGAAGAACCAACACTCTCAAAATATATTCGTCTGGTTGGGATGTTTTATCCCCCATTACAAGCATTTGATTTTAATCTTCCGTCTTATGCTAAAAACACTAGACAACCTGGACAGATTGGGAAGGAAGATATCGTAGAACAATTTTCTCTTTACCTTTTCGGTGAAAACAATACAGAACTCGTCAATCAAATGATGAAGAATTTACATACGACTACTGAACAAAAGAACTCAGAAATGGCTGAAATTTTAGATCTTAATATGTTACCATTTTCATTCAGAGAATACTCCGAGCCTGGCTTGACGAAAGATGCTGGTAATGAACAATTGTCACGTGATGTTTCACATCTTATATTAGACGACAGGGTCTCTCCCATGCTTACAGCTATGCAGCACTTAGAAAATCTACCGTACACGTATTTTATTTCACCGGAAGTTGATCCAGTTAGAGACGAATCGTTCATGCTTTACGCTGCATTGCGGGAGTTAGATATGAACAAACATGAACATGCTTATTACCGGGGACAGAAACACGGGTTTCTAAAGCATTTCCATACAAATGATATAGCCAAGCAAGCAATTTCGGAATTTATTGCACATCTCAAAAAGACACTTTTAGGAGAACGTTGAACATTTATTTTCTATTTTAGAAATTACATATTTACAGGATGTTGTGTTATAATTATCATTTGTATTTATTCTATGCTTTTCGACATGTCACCTCAATAATGTTGTTTTTGTAATAACTTTTTTACTATTCTGTAATACCTACCTGTATAATGAAGTATGCGGCTAGAGACTGTATAATTAAGTATGCTACTACTGTACAATTTAGTGTCCAACGAGATACCAAAAAAACTAAGTATGCGACTAGGAACTATATAATTAAGTATGCGACTAAATACTGTATAATAAAGTATGCGACTAGATACTGTTTAATTAGGTATGCGACTAGATACTATTGATAAAGTATGCGACTAGATACTGTTTGATAAAGTATGCGATTAGATACTGTACAATTAAGTACGTGACTAGATACTGTACAATTAAATATGCGATTAGATACTGTATAATTAGGTATGCGACTAGATACTGTATAATAAGGTATGCGATTAGATACTGTATAATTAAGTATGCGACTAGATACTGTATAATTAAGTATGCGACTAGATACTGTATAATAAAATATGCGACTAGATACTGTTTAATTAAGTATGCGACTAGATACTGTAAATTTAGTATGCGACTAGATACTGTACAATTAAGTATGCGACTAGATACTGTTTAATTAAGTATGCGACTAGATACTGTATAATTTAGTATGCGACTAGATACTGTACAATTAAGTATGCGACTAGATACTGTATAATTAAGTATGCGACTAGATACTGTATAATTTAATATGCGACTAGATACTGTATAATTAAGTATGCGACTAGATACTGTAAAATTTAGTATGCGACTAGATACTGTACAATTAAGTATGCGACTAGATACTGTATAATTAAGTATGCGACTAGATACTGTATAATTAAGTATGCGACTAGATACTGTATAATTAAGTATGCGACTAGATACTGTATAATTAAGTATGCGACTAGATACTGTATAATTAAGTATGCGACTAGATACTGTATAAAAAAGTATGCGACTAGATACTGTACAATTAAGTATGCGACTAGATACTGTATAATTAAGTATGCGACTAGATACTGTATAATTAAGTATGCGACTAGATACTGTATAATTAAGTATGCGACTAGATACTGTATAATTTAGTGTGCGACTAATTACTGTACAATTAAGTATGCGACTAGATACTGTATAATTAAGTATGCGACTAGATACTGTATAATTTAGTATGCGACTAGATACGGTATAATTAAGTATGCAACTAGATACTGTAAAATTTAGTATGCGACTAGATACTGTACAATTAAGTATGCGACTAGATACTATATAATTAAGTATGTGACTAGATACTGTATAATTGAGAATGCGACTAGATACTGTTTAATTAAGTATGCGACTAGATACTGTATAATTAAGTATGCGACTAGATACTGTATAATTAAGTATGCGACTAGATACTGTATAATTAAGTATGCGACTAGATACTGTATAATTAGGTATGCGACAAGATACTGTAAAATTAAGTATGCGACCAGATATTGTACAATTAAATATGCGACTAGAAAATTTATAATAAATTATTTGACTAGAGACTGTACAATAAAGCATGCGACTAGTTACGGTATAATTAAATCTGCGACTAAATACTGTATAATTAAGAATGAAACTAGATACTGTATAATTAAAAATGCGACTAGATACTGTATAACTGCGTATGCGACTAGATACTGTATAATTGCATATGCGACTGTATACTGTACAATTAAATATGCGACTAGATAATTTTAAATTGAGTATATGACTAGAGACTGTACAAGTAAGTACGCGACTAGTTACGGTATAATTAAGTATGCAACTAGTTACGGTATAATTAAGAATGCGACTAGATACTGTACAATTAATTATGCGACTAGATACTGTACAATTAAATATGCGACTAGATACTGTATAATTAAATATGCGACTAGATACTGTATAATTAAGTATGCGACTAGATACTGTACAATTAAATATGCGACTAGATACTGTATAATTAAATATGCGACTAGATACTATACAATTAAGTATGCGACTACATGCGGTACATTATAATTCAGTATGTGACTAGATACTGTATAATAACGTATGCGAATAGATACTGTATAATTAAGTATGCGACTAGATACTGTATAATTAAATATGCGACTAGATACTGTATGATTAAGTATGCGACTAGATACTGTATAATTAAATATGCGACTAGATACTATACAATTAAGTATGCGACTACATGCGGTACATTATAATTCAGTATGCGACTAGATACTGTATAATTACGTATGCGACTAGATACTGTATAATTAAGTATGCGACTAGATACTGTATAATTAAGTATGCGACTAGATACTGTTTAATAAAGTTTGCGACTAGATACTGTATATAATAATTTAGTATGCGACGAGATACTGTATAATTTAGTATGCGACTAGATACTGTATAATTAAGTATGCGACTAGGTACTGTACACTTAAGTATGCGACTAGATACTATATAATTAAGTATGCGACCAAATACAATATTATTAAGTATGCGACCAAATACTGTACAATTAAGTATGCGACTGGACACTGCATAATTAAGTATACGACTTGATACTGTTTAACTTAGTACGTGACTAGATACTATATAATTTAGTATGCGACCAAATACAATATAAATAAGTATGCGACCAAATACTGTACAATTAAGTATGCGACTGGACACTGCATAATTAAGTATGCGACTAGATACTGTATAATTTAGTACGTGACTAGACACTATATAATTAAGTATGCGACCAAATACTGTACAATTGAGTATGCGACTATAGATACTGTTTATAATAATTTAGTGTCCGACGAGATACTGTATAATTTAGTATGCCTGTAGATATGGTAAACTTAAGTTTATGTCTGTATCAGTAAACTGAAGTTTATTTCTGTATCAGTAAACTCAAGTTTATGTCTGTATCAATAAATCCAAGTTTTTGCTGTATCGGTAAATCTAAGTTTTTGCCTGTATCGGAAATCTAGGTTTTTGTCTGTATCGGTTGATTTTTGATTGATTTTCTTTAGACCGGACGGTCAAGGATAACCTACGAAAGTGCAAGCACTTATTTTCAGTAGGGTCCTTACCTAAGCAGACTCTAGAGACAGCTATGAGTTACAAGGGAATCCGGGAAACAGTCCCTAGCTCTTATTGAATATAATCCTTGGTTCTTTTACATGCCAAGTGCATAGCACTGATACATGCGAGTATTACCTGGGTTTTGAACCAGTAAACCTCTAGTTAGGTGGGAAACACTGAAAGTGTTTCTGAAAAATCCCAAGGGTGTTACCAAGGATCGAACCCGGAACCTCAAGACTGACAGTCAGGGGTCTAACCAACTGAGCTATCGCGCCACCTTATCGGTAAATCTAAGTTTTTGTCTGTATTGGTAAGCTCAAGATTATGTCTATAAGAATAAACTCAATATTATGTCTATATCAGGAAACTCCTGTTCATCGTAATATCAGATAATCAGGTTTAAGTATTTATCAGTAAACTTAAGTTTGTGTTTAAAAAGTAAATTACAGTTTATCATGAAATATTTCAGATGTTGTGTACATTGATGAAAGATAAAAAATTACTATCAGACACTTAGACAACTAAGTGATCAGCACAATTTAGGACTGACTCTTGTTCGTTTACATTTGTTCGACCTTTAATAAATTTTTGTTTTATCGTTGATGACACTCATTCATTACTTAGGATCAAGGACCATATACCGCTTTTCATAGAATGCCATAAAAGTGCCACACTAAAGGTTCCTTGATCACCGCAGTATAAACACAAAGTAATTTAACGGCGGGACATTATCTGATTTGTGAGCTTATATGATAATTCATGACCATTGGCTCCAAGTGAGGTTATTCGACAAGAGGTCGATAGATTAACTTTTCCAGCATCAATTCAGTACAATATAGGACTGCTCTTTACTTTTGAATGTTAAAATATAAACTTCAAATGCAGCACCTTCTGGACATATTGGTTGGAAACCTACTACCAACCCATTGGAGAAAATTGTCTGTCAAGTTGGTGTAGATACACTGTAATGGATGCAAATAAACTTATTTTGAAAAACATTTTCAAGTGGGCAAATTGATTGTCAAATACGAGATACAAGAATTGCTATGTTCAGGTATATAAGAAGTTTAGACAAAATGATTTGGATTGATATCGTAGCATTGATACATCTTATGCAACAGAACACATTGTAAGAAATTTGCTGCCCAAAATTTATGATGACTATGTTCAAGAATGGAGAACCGATGTGAACCGACATACTTTTCGGAGAGATCCAGGTGGAAATAAACTTCGTACATACGAAACTTTTATACTAAGTTTGAAACATAACATTCTGTTGTTTTTTTATTATAAAAGATATAATAGAGGTGCCTTGGTAAAAGTGGAACAACTTGAATATGTATTGAACTAGGAATATGAAATAAAAGGAATATAGCTGAAGATGAAACTCATCTTTTGTTACATTGCCTTTGCAATTCAGTTAGATTAGATTTACTGTAATCAGCAAATAGACTTTGAAATGGTTTTGATAATCTATCTAACATTGATATGGTCAGATACATATTATCTTAGACATGTACAAACGTAGCAAATGTAAATTTCGAAACCTGTAATCATATGTTAGATAAACGAAAACTAGTTTTATATTATAACTGACCATAAAAAACTCTATGTTGTTGTATATGTGTCTTTTAGTAATAATGTTTTTAACGTTTTGTCGAAGTGCTTATAGTATTCCTTTATTTGTTTTAACGATATATCCAATGTTTTAGTACTGTCCTAAAGTTTCTTTGTTAATCAAATTGTGTTCTGATCTGATCAAACACATACCATTATTTTAGTCCCATTTTGAGATTGTGGAGCATATCTTTGAATGTTATATTCAAGTAAGAAATCCTTCTAAAATATTTTTAGACTTTCAACGCACTTTACTAAATGATGTGTTTCATTTATGTAATTTGATACTGTGTACATTGGTAACACTTTAATAAATGATAGATAAGTAAATAATCCCTTGCGATGAAGAAATTAACATGAAATCGTGAAATACAACTTTATGTCTTTTTGACGTTTCTCCTCGCTTTTTATGATACAGCGATATAATCCTTAAAATTAAAATCGGTTAACACCAACATTACACCAAAAAACATTGTTGTTTACTTTTTCTGTCATGTATTAAATACTGTATTGTATAACGATGTCTTTGATAATATAAAAACCTCTACAGTCTTATATCAAGAGTCGCTAAATCTTTTGAGTATTTCACATTAACATACGAGTCTTGATCTGTAGCATGTTTATACGATACGCTGATATTTTTGCCGATATTTGCATCGTGTCCTTTCCCAACACTCGTGCTTAACTTATATCTGACATTTTTGTCATCTTTTGATTCTTTGATTTTTTCTCTTTGTCTCTCAAATCTGGATAGGAACGCCACAACAAGTATAATAAGAAAACTGACAAGTACAATACAGACGCCAGCTACCACCTCTATCCCCATGTAAGCGGACGATTTCTCTGTAGTATTTGGTACATTAACCCTAGTCGACGAAGTTACCGAAAATATCCGAGAAAATAAAGTAGAGTATTCCAAAAGAGCCGATGAGTTTAACGACTTACTTATAGTTTTTGTGTTAGTCATTACGGTTGATGATGCGGGCATAACAGATTTCTGTCTAGTACTCGGTACACTAGTAGACGAAGCTACCCTAGATATCCTAGAAGATAAAGTAAAGTTTTCTTTAATAGCCGAGGAGTTCAACGAATTACTTCTACTTGTTTTTGTGTAAGTCATTACCGTTGATGATGAAGGCAAATATGATTTCTCTGTAGTACTTGGTATATGAGTCGACGAAGAAGTCCGAGAAGATAAAGTAGAACTATTAATCATAGTCGAGGAGTTCAAAGACTTACTTCTACTTGTTTTTGTGTTAATCATCAGCATTGATGATGGCGGCAAAGAAGTTTTACTAGGATCCGTAGTCCCGTTGCTAATGTGTGTATGAGTGATTATCCTGTTTACGAAAGGAGTTTTTGAAGTGGAAATTGTACAAATAATTCCATTTTGTATAAACAAAACCAATCCCAATAATAACGCTATAAATCTATTATCGAATGATTTCATCTTTATGTAACATACACTCACATAGAACCATAAAGATTGAAGTTTTATCACTATAGTTTAATCTTACTAAATGGACTTTGGGTTACGTTGTGATAAAGCAATGCAAAATTAAGATTAACAAAACTTTGATCGGGTTATAAAATAGAATGAAATGAATAGGTATTTGAATATACCATAATTAATAAATGCCGAGTCATTCAATAAAAATGCTAAAGAAAGAAATATCAGTATAGATTAATGCCTCATAAGTTTAGAACATTGACAAAATCTATGATACAAATACTTTCTTATTGATGATAATAATTATGATTTTAATTGTTTTGTAAAATAATATACTAAGTGCTTATGTTTTCAACTGTTCTTATCTTAACGCTATGTGATTGCTATACTTACATGCTAATCACAAAATTAACGCAATCCAAATTTCCGTGCCAAAAATATCAATAAATATTTTATAAAGTGATTAAATGATAGCTTAACACTTCAGACATTATTCACATACAAAATCACTTTGCTGGGTTATCAAAAAAGAAAATCAAAGCAGAAAAAACACGGGAAAATTATAAATGTAAAGGGAATGAACAAACAATTTGAATTTATTGTTATAAAACTCGACATCCATGTCGGCAATTAAATAATACATAACATCCCTATATATCTATTCCATGTAGTAATTTATTAATTCTTAGTTGATAACTCAATCAAATGTTTTGTTATTGCAACATTTTGAAAGTCAATTAAACTAACAGTTGCGATTTATGTCATTTACCACCAGGACTATAATTTTTTAAACCATAACAAACAAAATGTTACTCTGATATGATATCAAACTAAAGACAAAACATGCATACAGCAAAACCATTGTAACCAAAATTATAATCAAAGTATAAAAAACTGTGTTATAAAATCTATTGTAGACAAATATTTTAGCTAGTTAGATAATACTGTAGAATAACATAAATGTAAATAAAACAGAGCCAGTCGCCGTGTTATTGTCACTTTAAGTGCTTGCTAATTGTGATAATTGTTAGTGTCAGTTTTATTATATTGACAGTTTTGCATATAGTATCGGATGATAAGGAACCAAAAAAAAAAACGAGATTTCCAATGTCATTTAACAAAGTCTCGGTCATCAAAGTACTTTCAATACTTTATCCAATTTAAAGAAAATTACATGTTCCATAGTTTTCAATATTCCACTTATAATTTATGTATCTAATCTTATAACATTCGTATATTATACTCCATACCGTTATAAACAAAAAGTACTTAAGGTGTGAAAGATATGATAATTTATCATTCCATAAAAACCAGAATGTTTGTTGTTATTGATGTTAATTTTGTAAATTTAACGCCTTTGTATTAAATTTCATCTACATGTATTTAGATGAACATTAGAGTCACTTATTTTTGTCAGTCATTTCAAAAGCTTCATTGTTATGTGAAGTCATTGCCTGTAATTTTTCTTTTTGTCTCTCAAATCGTGCGAGAAATGCAATAATCAGAATAATAACTATACTGACTACTACGATAGAAATACCAGCCACTGCTTCTATACCATCATACGCTTTGCTGCTTGCTGATGCAGTTGTTACCTGTGTTGTAATGGTGTTTGTGGTAGCTTCAGTTTGAGATGTTTTTGTTGGTGTTGTTGACATAGTTGTTCTTGTTGTTACAATTGTAAGTTTCGAATTTGATGTTGTGGTTGTTGTTGACGTTGTTAATACATCTGATTTAGTTGTAGAGGTCTGATTTGCGAATGTTATATTTTCTGCCGCTGTAACATTTTCTACAGCTATTGTCGCTGTTGATAATGTTGCTGTCCCTTCTCTTATTGCGGCTGTTGTTATTCCTAATAATGATGTTGCTGTAGGTATTACTACTAACGATGCTGATGTCTGTATGCCTTCTGTTGTGGGTGATGTTGTTATTCCTGCGGATGTTAATCCTTCTGTTGAATAAATTTCTTTCGTAAGTGGTTGCGTTGTTATTGTACTTGTCACATTTGATACTGAAGGTGTAATTGATATCTTTGTCGATGCTGACATTTCACTGTAAGTTGTTGCACTTGATTCTAAACTTACAGTCAGGTTAGGGAATGACAAGTAACACAAAAATAGTATAATCATTTCAATCTTTCCCATAATTGTATAAATACATTCCATTTGTGTAGGATAGAGATTTCCGTATATTTAAGAATTATTTTACCACATATAATCCGTCTTTCTTAACGTTATTTACACATTTAGGTTTAGCCCAAGGCTTTATCAGTAATAAAAATGTTCATGCTATTACATTCATTTATTGAATTCGTTATCAGTAAAATTCCCCTTAAAGATAAAACACAATATTACACGAAGCCTCTTGAACCTAACACATTTATTATTTGATAAGCTTGAGGGCACTTTGGCTCTCTTTCTTGTTTGAAACTAAATACATGAAAACTTTCGATTCACACTTTATCAAAACAATGAAATAATTAATAGCAAAAAATTCTGCTTCAAAAGCACTTTTACATTGAGAAATTCTGACATGTTGTGTTGCACTCACACAACACAAAAATTAAATTTTCTGAAACCTTCACTAATTTAACTAGTTTTATCGATATAATCCAAGATTTGAAAAATTTTAAATCCAAATTTTATAGGAATAACAATTCGGTTGAGATAAGCAAACTTCCTTTACGTTTCATTCACATTTAGAATAAGTTTTACCCGCGATATTATCAGTATTGAAATTCTTCATACTTTTTACATTCGTTAATTTAATCGTTATCAATAAAATTTGCCTTATAGATAAAGCACAAGTATAACATTAAAGCACTTGAACCAACTTTATGTTTTCATGAATTTAGTGCGTTTTGAGATCAAGTCAAATCAAGTCAAATATTTTATTGGAAAAAGCAAATACATGCATGTTCATCGCCAAGTTACCGTGGCGGTTATAACATATTTACATAAAATAAGAAAAGTATGGTTAACAGTTAACAAATATCAAAATGTCAATTAGAGTCACAGAAGTAAATACAGAATATGATAATTTAGAAACAAATACATACATATATAAAATTAAACGTTTGAGCTTCTCTTAGCACAATAAATAAACTTAGCTAAATTAACAATTCTTTTCTTTTGCGAAGATTGCATAATTGATATAAACTTATTGATGGTTGGCCAAGCACAAAATTTTTAAGGAAAACATTCATCTATCAATTCACTATAGAGTGGACAAACTAATGCACTTCAAGATTTACAAAACAAACTAAAAGCATATTGTGATACTTTGGGCCTAAAAATAAACACCAACAAAACAAAAATATTGATTTCGGAAAGGGACCGTCATACACAACATAATTTTATTTTATGTGAACAACAATTAAAGGTTGTTAAATCCTTCAAATACTTACGAACACACCTTTTTAAATGGTTCTTGGTACAGAACGCAAAGCAGGATATCACAGCACGCATCAAATGCTTTACAATCATAATGTTCATTATTTTCAATCAAGTTGAATTAACCAATAAAGATAAATGCAATCTGTTCGATGGCCTAGTTGGATCAGTCCTAAATTATAATGCACCACTGTGGGGAAATCACGAATCAAATGCTATTGAGTTGATACATTGTAAATGTTTACGTTAGGTGCTTGGTGTAAAAACATCTACAAATATAGAAGGGCTATATGTTGAGGTTGAAAGAAGGCCTATGAAAATATATAGAAAACTATTGATGATTAAGTACTGAATTTAAATATTGACATCTTCCATGTATTTATAAGAAAAGTTTATGCTATGTTGTCAAATGATACTAATCAAACTATTACATATAACAATATGAAATGGGATTATCAGATAAAACATATTATAGGGTTATCTGACATATGGATTAATCAAAATAATATAGTCATCCCTTATTATTTCATCAAACAGAGAATCCTTGATATTTATAAAAAATCTTGGTACACTCATATCATTAAATCTAACAGACTTTCTTCATATTGTCTATTTAAACATACTTTTAATTTTGAAAAATATCTAGAATGTATAAATGAAAGAAAATACCAAATAGCATTACTTAAATTACGATTGTCTTCTCATCAACTAGCTGTCGAAACTGGAAGATACACAAATTTCGATCGACAACTTCGAATTTGCCAAGACTGTAATATGCACATGATTGAAAATGAGTATCATGTTTTATTAGTATGCCCGAAATATAGAGAACTAAGAACCAAATACTTTAAACAATATTATTGTAGATGGCCATCAATCCAAAAGTTCATAACCCTTCTATCATGCGAATCCTCAAAAAGTATTACCAATGTTGCTAAATTCATATATTCTGCTTTCCAATAACGAAATAACAATGTTTGAATACACTGACGATTACTAAGTATTTTATACCATCATACTATATACTGATCAAAGAGACGCAAATCTTATAGTAAATTAACCATTGAAAACCTCTAGTCAAAGTTGCAGATAACTTGTACTGTCTTTTTGAACATTGACTGAATGTACATTTTACCAATATACTTATTCTTTTTGAATTGATCACGTTCTTCTGTTAAAAATTTCATGTCTGTATTTCATGCATTGTAAATGGCTATATATGTAAACACATTTTATGCTAATAAACTATGTTATGAAAGAGCCAACAGTATCATTACGCAAGTCACTGTGCATATCATTGACGAAAAATATAAATAAAACAGGTGAGAGTGCCTCCCCTTGCTTTAAACCCATATAACTATCGAAATAATCAGACAATCTTTCATTCGCTCTTACACATGACTTTACACAGGTATACATACAATGTAACATTTTTACAATTTTCAATGATACTCCCATTTATACCAATTTTCATTTCTTTACAAAAGGTCAAAACATTTTTAAAGTCTATAAATGCAGCATACATTTTTTTTTTCCTTTTCATGTTTTATTATCCTATCGATTATTGAACTCAATACAAATATACAGAGAGTAGTGCTTTTATTGTTTCCATAATCAAATTGAAAATCGTTTAACACGTGATTTCTCTCAGCCCATTTACGTACACGAAAATCCAGCATAATTGAAAACAGTTTTGAAAAAACACTGGTCAGAGTAATTTACCTATAATTATTCACATCATTATTTTCAATTATTATCAATTTATTTCAGTTTTGGGCTATGATATCATTCACAATTAAATCAATATTCATAATTTCTTTTTCAATGGATTTTTATATACAGTTATTTTTCCTTCATCATCAGTCTCATTTTACTACATCATTATTAATATCGTCGTTTACATTATAATTATAGATACATTTAAAACAAAAATCTAATTGTTCCGGTTTATGGTGCGAAAATGTATACAAATCATGTACAATGAAACTACAAACAAAGGGAAACAACTCTTGCGATAAAATAGCATAATCGAATTAAGCTTTTACCCAAATTAGACAAAAATGTAAAATTTCCCCATTCACAATTTTAAGATCGGTACTCAAACATAAATCTAGAAGTTTATTTCCCGATGGATTAACACCGTCATCTAACGTTTTTCGTTTGGGTAACGTATAACTAAAACTATTATATGCGCTGTCTTCAATAAGAATGCTAAAGCGGTCAATACAACTGCTTGTATCTAATACAACGGATTTATTTACACATCGAGCACTAGGATGACCAAAAATTGATATTTTAACGTAATCTGAATATTTTCTCAGTTTCAAAGAAACCAGTTTTATGTATATTATAATAAATTGAGTTACTTATAGGTATATACAAAAAAGCAACTCAATAATGCTAACCCTTATAGAATAAAAAAGGAAACGAAATTAACTATATTAATATAAGTTTGCTTTAAGCGATTTTTTTCACCGACACAAAATCAGTTGCCGTCAGTTTACCTTCAATTACTTTTTAAATTATAAATTTAAGCCTCTATAGTTTTGATAAAATATGTGTCGATCCTATCTTCACATCTGCAATACAAAATATGCAATTGTTATCGAAGATATATGAATAATTAATAAAATACACTCACTCTGACTGACTCTGGTTCACCCTCCCGCACTACTTCATCCGTAAGTAATCCGTATCGCATGATTTCACCTCACGTAAAGAAGTATCGCACCACTATACGTTGAACCCCTGGTAATATGCAAATTATTACTCGCATTGAGATTATTCTTCTTTTCGTAAACTCTAAGAACATTTTTTTCTTGTTGTTTTTATAATACAATTGTGCTCATCTAAAGGAATGCAGCTTTAAATCGGACAAAAATCTAACAAAAAAGAGATTTATCGTCTTTTTTTTAATGAACAATATGAACGCATTGTATTCATTATATTTCTAGAAATTTTAATTACATATTTGGTTTTTTGACTTGTAACACCACTAATACTTTAGTTGTTATTAGAAACAGAACAGGTATTTGCTTGACATTTGCTTGACATTTAAAATGTATTCATGGATACTCAACAAGCACAGACAGGAGGCAGTTTCCGTCCATCTCTTCTATTTAAATTCCTAGTCAGAACTTTCATGCCCCATCTTCTTCTATTAAAAATGTTTTGACAGCATTACTCTCTACTTTACCTTTAAACTTCGCGGCTATCTACTCAGTCGACTATCACTCCTTGAAACGAATTACCTACAAGCAAAGCTCTATTCCTCTACTTTATTCGCACCTGCTGCTACATGTAGCTTTACTTAAAAACTTAACAATTACAATTTATCAATTGAAACCAAACACGAACATGATTTGAATTCATAGTCAAGCTCAGCTTTCACGAGTTTCACCACTCCATAATTGCTTTTTTCGTAAATGCTCTGCTTCAACTTTTTTCTCAAATACAAGTCTGTCTTGACTGTTTTTCTTCATAAGAAAGCACAATCAAAGTTTATATTACCATATTCAAACCTGTTTTTACAGTTGAAATATTTGGTTTTTAATTTAAATAACAGTAGATGTAATCACAAACGTTGCTGCAAATAGTTTATGGTCATGTTCCACTATTTTAAAAAATAAAAGTACTCAAGCTATTTTTATTTCAATACATTTACATGTATTTTTACCGTTGCTTTTGTTTCTATCTATAGGCAGTTATAGTGGACTTATCTTTATGGTATAAATCTTATTTTTTTTAATCTG